TCGAACAGGATAAGCCTAGGTAACCTGGACCAGAGGGAGTGACCAAGGCCATCTGGTACTCTTGCCAAGGAGCTACAACCACCACTGCTAGTGCTTTTAAGGCTGGGAATGTTGAAAGAAACTAGAGGTTTGAGTGAACTGCTGCTGCTGAAGTGACACTGATAAGAGCTGGAAAACAGAAAGGACGTCTTTTTTCTTAATGTTTCTGCATTCTGATAGGCAGAACTGAATGGGAGAGGGCAATGAAAAGTCCCTGAAATGAAGTTTGCAATCTTAGCCCCATCGTTACAAAGCAGAGCATGAGAGGGTAAACTTGGAGCTGAGAGACAACTGAAACAGTGACCACCATGCACATTTTAGAAAGAGAAAACTGAAGCTGGGAAGTGCTAATTTATTTGTCAAGCTCATTGCTCCAGGTCTGGAATTTAAACTCAGGCCTGTGTTTTTTCTCCTGTTCTTTTCATTTAATCTGATGTACCATTGATTGTTACAAAGCACCATTATCTTATTTACCACTAGGAAACTAATGTTATCAATTATAAGTTAATACCAATATCAGAGTTTTTAACAAGTAAAAAGAAAGCGGCTGTCTTAAAGTTGATGAAATATGGTATATTATGTTGTCCTGTAAAGAATTTGGTTTAGAGGGGAGGCCCGAAAATGGCAGATAGATAACAGCAAGCAACAGAGACTCTCTGAGATAGTCAACTTAGATCCAAAAATAATACAGCATGGGGAGTCCCAAACAGAGGCAGATAGACCCTCCCGATCCAGGAACAAACTAAGCTGAGAAAAAACAATTAAAAATTTAGTCCCGGTGATACAATTGGAACAGCTCCAGTCTCAGCACTGCTGCTTGAACTCCCTGTTTGGACTCGCTGCTGCTGTCCTTGAACTGATGTAGCCGGGATAGCCCACCAGTTTTATCTCACTGGGGAGGCATTTGCACTGAGGATGGAAGTTGGCGAACTGAATTGAGAGCAGAGCTGGCAGGGAATCCTCCATCGATCTGCAGTGAGTGAGCAGAATAAAATCTCTTCCATAGAGAGGGGAGAGCTCCAACAGATGACAATCTGGGACCTGGAAGATAGGCTATAACAAGGAGCAGCGGTGACTTCAGGTGGCTACTCCCTTCTCAAGAGGGATTGGTGGGGTGCACTGGACCTGGGTAATGCCAGGACTAAGACCCAATAGGCTAGCCCAAATCAAGTCCCTGTGCCTGGCAGTGCACCCTAACGCAGTGAAGCCTGCAGCAGGTTGACTGACCTGGAGGGGCAGGACCATCATAGGCTGCCCCGTCTGTGTCTTCCTAGTACACTACAGTGGGTGGGAACACCTAGCTGGCGGGATTCAAACAAACTGTAAAGAAACAGGGCCTCCTGGGGCTGGGGATTTAGCTCAGCGGCATAAGCGCCTGCCTTGCAAGCAGGCAGCCGTGAGTTCGATCCCTGGTACTGATAAAAAAGGAAAAAGACAAAAAATAAAAAATAAAAAAAAAAAGAAACGGAGCCTCCTATATATGCTTGTATGGAAGGAACAAAAAGTATGGGAAGAAGGAGCAACAAGAAAGGGTCTTCAGTCCCCAATCCTGAGAACATTGATCCAGGAAAGGTAAATGCAAAGGAAAATGAGGACAGCAAACATGTAATATCAGATAAGACACCAACAGACATAAAACGGTATCTTCGGGACCTCATAGACGAGTTCAAAAGTGAAGTATTTAACCAAGTAAAGCAAAATATAAGTAGAATATTTAAAGAAATGCTAAGCACCTCCCAAGAAAAAACAGATGGAAGAACAAAAAAAAAAGGGGGGGGGAGAATTGTTTGATGGAGAAAATGGAGAAAACATAGAATACATGAAGCAGGTTCAAAGAGATTACCAGGAAATTAAAAACTCCATTGAAAGCTGGCAAAACTGCTTGAAAGAAACTAAGGATAGACTATCTGAACTGGAGGACAGGTTTGCAATGTAAGAACATGAAAGGAAAAATTTCTTAAAAATAACAAAGAAATAAGCAGTGACAGTTCAAAAGTTACAAGATGACAAGAGGATCTATAACAAGAATAAAGAATGTAGTTGAAGAAGCAGGGTTGCAAACAAAAGAACTGCAAAGGCTATTTAACAGAAATAATTAAGGAAAACTTCCCAAACATAGGAAAAGGAAAAGATACTCAGATGTATGAGGCATACAGAACTCCAGCCACCTACAACCAAAACAGAAATACACCCAGGCATATAATAAAAATCCCAGAAATCCAAAATAAGGACAGAATATTAAAAGCTGTCAGAGACAAGAAACAAATCACTTACAAGGGAAAGCCCATCAGAATTACGTCAGACTTCTTGGCACAAACCAGCAAATAGAGAAGAGCATGGGGCTAAATAATCCAAGCCTTGAAAGAAAATAACCTCCAGCCAAGGTTGATCTATCCTGCACAATTGTCCCTAGAAATTAATGGAGAAACAAGATGCTTCCAAGATAAAGAGGAACTGGAGGAATTCTCAATCACCAATCCAACTCTACAGAGAATACTACAGGACTTTCTAAAAGAAAAGCACCAAGATTTCAGGAACAGTGGCAGAAAGGCCCCAATGAATGGAACAAAAAAATAGACAACTAATGACACAAAAAGAGCACAGCAGAAATGAGGCAGAGAAGGTTGCATATAATTTTTAATATAGATGGCCTAGATACACTAACTTAAGGGAAAAAAGAGAATCATAGGCAGAGTAGATCAAGAGTTAGGGTCCACCGAGATGCTCTTTATAGGGAATATAATTAACCTGAAGAAGGGTATATGGACCAAAATCAAATATGAAAAAACAGAACTCGATGTGATAGGGAACCAGAGAGTAATAGGGTCAAATAGACCAGTACTTACGGATTTTTTTTTTTTTTTTTTGGTCTTTTTCATTTATCGGTACCGGGGATCGAACTCACGACTGCCTGCTTGCAAGGCAGGTGCTTATGCCGCTGAGCTAAATCCCCAGCCCCAAGACCAGTACTTATGGATAGGTTGAAAAGACAGCTTTAATAAGTAAAGAAATACAGTTAGAGATCAAGCCCAGGAGTGAGAAAGTTCGGAAACACTTAGGTAAATAGCAGGTTGTCCTCCTAATATAAAACTGAGAGTGTTGGGGAGACCCAAAAATACAAGTACATCCTGGGGGAGTGAAAGAGGAGGAATAGTCTTAAAAAAAAAGACAGCAGAAGATATTGCTAATAGTGTATCAGGAATTAAAACCCATATTACTCACACCACTCTGCTTGGATAGAACTTGTTCCTTCCCAGTTTGTATATAAGCACTGGATCTGAAGGCACAGACAGCTGTCCTGAAGATACCAGGATATAGCACAGTGGTCATCTTTAATTTCCTATTAACTTAATCCAGATCCCTGAATAACTTATACTGTTGTATCTTGACTGATCTTAGTTAAATCTGATTTGTTTGTTTGCTGCTTATTATTGACAGATTTTACTCAAAACTGATCAGTTGATGGTATCAAGTCGGAGAGTATAGACAGGTATACTGAAAATGACAATTCACTACGATACCCATTCTGATTTGACTACTACCTGTTTTTGTAACTCTACACTATCTACAAAGTTGTATTTCTATTAACTCTGTAATGAACTGATAGATTCAATTATACTTTATCTGATAATATAGCCAATTCTGTTGATGATAACGAGATAGCACAGTAACCATGATAGAACTCCTTGTACAGTAGTTTTACATGTCTTTTTAGTTTTATGTGTCTATAGGAATATGTTTTGTTCTATCCTGTTCTGTCCTGTTTCTCCCTCTAATATAAAAAGAATAGAAATAAATGTTAAGACTCATGTTTGCCTGTTTACAATCTCACTGTTTCAAAGTCTACTTTATATGCTTTAATTTTGTAACTTGAACAACTATTTCTAAGATAACAATATGTAATCTATTAACTAGTGATTTCCTACTGTTTATTCTTTCTGAAATTCTGTATAACTTCTACCCTTTTTCTGTTTTTTTTTTCTCCTTAAATAAAATTTTTAAAAAAAGACTCATGTTTGCATAAAAGCTCTAAACAGTTTTTTAAGAACTGATCTTTCAACACATGATGAAATGAATAAATACTTTGAAGGAAAAAAAGGGGCACTGCAGTACTTGGTGCTGATTCCGGAGTGTCATGATGTGAAATCCAGCAGTATTATTAAGCTTTGTTCAGAATGATTTTAATCTGCTATGTTTTGTTTGGTCTCAACATAAATGAAGGTGTGGATAAATGCGTACATGTCTAAGTGTACAGGATTGATAGCCATATTACTTAGTTTTTGTTGGATAGTTGAACACAACTGTTTACAGTCTTCCTGGTGGAATTCCCATTTATATGCTCTACTTTTGTATCTTGAACAATTATTTGTGGGGGGACAATATGTAAACATTAGTGATTTATTAATGTTTTTTTTTCTTTGAAAGCATGTACTATTTCTGCCATTTTCTGTTTTATTTTGTCTTTAAATTAAAAAAAATTTGGTTTTGAGGTTGTTGGTTTGGGGATGCCTGTGGGATATCCAAGCAAAATATTTATCAGGCAATTAAAAATACACAGTTACAACCCATAAAAAGATGGAGATTAGGGATACAGATGGAAAGGTTGTGTGCACATCATAGTCACAATCTAGAAACAGCCTTGCTCAGTGTTTTTAGCTTTCATTCTCAGTGAAATATTTATACCATCTCATTTCAGTATTTCTTTCCCTATATTTTGTGATTGCATCTGTTGATAAACCTTGATATTATTTTTTGTTGTCCAGGAAAACTTTTTTTTCCTTAAATTTCTTCAAGTGAAGGTTTTCTTTTTTTCTCTTTTATTTGAAAATTGTGTAGTTTGCCAGAATGCAGACTCTAAAAGGATACAGGTGGAAGTACTATTATGATTATGATAATAAAAGCAGGTATGAATAGTGAAGTAATCCTACCTATAAACTCTCATGGTTTATCTGTTTTTGTAGGTCTAGTATGTCTGGGTTACACCTCGTAAAACAAGGTCGAGACAGGAAGAAAATAGATTCTCAGCGAGATTTTACTGTGGCTTCTCCTGCAGAATTTGTTACTCGTTTTGGGGGAAATAAGGTGATTGAGAAGGTAAGTTATGACTTGTTTGTTAAAAATACTTGAGATACAGAGATGTAGCTTAGCTGGTAGAGCACTTGAGTAGTATGTGTGAGGCCTTGCACTAGATCCCTAGTACTACAAAACAGGTGTGATTTAGTGCTTAGATTTGTGGTCTAGATTTGTTCCCTAAATTGCTATTTAGATTTTCTAAGATTTTTACTCTTTTTTGCTGTTGTTCTTTCTGTTTCCTAGCATCCTGTTGTATAATTTCATTATTTTCTGTAAAATATATTTGCCACTACTAATTTAGTCATAATTAAGGTACTGAAATACTGCTCAAAAAACAAAAACTATCTAAAGAAAAATAAACATTCCTCATAAAGTTATTCTTGAAAGATTTTGTGGTTTTACAAAGTGATGCTCACTGATGATGCTGCACTGATATGGTAGAATATGAGGAATTGATTATCTTGTGGAGTGTTCGTGGAAAGATAATATGGGACAGCATTGGATTTAGGGCTAAGACAGTAGAGAGTTTTAGAACAGAAGACTGAAGCAACTTGATATGTTGTGACTTACACCTTCCACCAGTATTTGAGATGTTTAACGGGAATATATCACGTGAAATACTTGAAAGATTTCAAGTATTTTGAAATGTTTTGGTAATTTTTGTGTCACTTTTATCTAAGCCGAGTGAAAGCTGAGTGCTTGATAGAAATACTTTAAAGTGATTAAAGGATTTAGACCTTTTATTCCAAAGTATTGCCTCAGCAGTGCACTTCTATTTTTCTTTCAATAAAAGTAGACTGCACAGTGTAGTCTTCCCCCGTTCTTTTTTTTGGGGGGGGGGGTAGCTGGGATTGAACTCACGACATTGCACTTACTAGGCAAGTGCATGAGCTGCTGAGCTAAATCCCTGCCCCTCCATTCTTTTTTGAAAATAAATTATCCCTCTGAAATTTGTTTTTTTCAATTCCCTCATAAAAGATATGGTGGACTAAACAGAATGTAATTGTGACTGTTATTGTCTTCCAAAAATTGATTCAGCAAAGAGTAGGTTCTACCTGGCACATATTGAAGTATTTGCTTTTCTTTTTTGCTTAACAAACATTTAAAAATACTACTTCAACACGTGGGAATTGGTTCCTTACAGTATTAGCTACCTAGAATTCTGTTGAAATTCTAACTTTTTTCAGAGGAAGAGAGATTTACAAAAGTTCTAATCTTTTTTCTTCTGTTACTGTATTTTTTTCTTTTCCTCCATTTTTCCTTCCTTCTAGGTTCTTATTGCTAATAATGGCATTGCAGCAGTGAAATGTATGAGATCTATCCGGCGGTGGTCGTACGAAATGTTTCGAAATGAGCGTGCAATTCGATTTGTTGTCATGGTCACACCTGAAGACCTTAAAGCAAATGCAGGTGAGTTGTTAGCTTTAGAAAAGCATCTCTCTTCTTTAGTAGACCAGCTTTTAGGGCTTTAGACTGGCCTTTTAAATAGGACAATTATTAACTTAGTGGGTTTCCCAAGTAATAAAAATCCTATTAAAAACTTTTAAAAAGAGTTTGGAATAGCCACATAAAAGTGATTTTATTATAGTCAATCATAACAGTTTTCTGTGTTCTAAGGTATGTAGAAATTCAGCAGTTTCTGTTTTTGAGACAAGGTCTAGTTTTGTAATTTGAACTCCCTATATAACCCAGGCTGACCTAAACCTCAGTAGGAGCAATCCTCCTGCATCAGCCTCCTGAGTGCTGGCATTACAGCCATGCACCACCACACTAGGATTAACATAAGTATTGATTTGAGTTTTCAGGTGTATGCCTTTTTCATTGTTAAATATTTGCTATTTCACATGCTTTATGTATAAGTGGAAAGGCTTGAAAGGAAATGCTATTTCTTTTGTGAGTTATACTTAATTTTAAAGTAGAGATTCTTTTTTCTCTTCCTGCTGACGGAAAGATCTTGTGACCAGAATGGGTTTCACTAAGTAAGCTTTTTGCACATTCTTTCCTCTCAGTTGGTCCTCTGCCCAGGTGTTACAGATAAAGATAATTGGGATAGCTAAGAGATGTGACTAGACTTTTTGTTCCATACTTTTTATCACTAAAATATAATCTCTTTAGGAAGAGTTTCACTGATAATGTTAGCTCTTTAAAGAACTATCTTTTAAAATTTAATTTGATCTGTGTATGTTGTCTACATATATAACATTTTAAGATCGAGTATCCCTAAATATTAAAAGTCATTGTGACACCACCAATGTATTGACAAGTAGGTGTTATTATATAAAATACATCTGAGTTTTTTTTTTGTTTTGGTTTCGTTTTTTTTGTTTTTTCAGGTACTGGAGATCAAACTCACCTTACATTTATACTGCTGAGCTAAATCTCTGCTGCTTATATAGTTTAGACATGCCCTTCAATGTTGCTTCAACACAGTTCAATACAGTTTTTATACCTATAAAAGGAAGTTCATAATGTCTGTTTCACAGAAGAGTTATTAAAAAATTGTATTTTAAAAAAACTGTGAACTGCAGGGGTTGAGGATATACCTCAGTGATCTCATAGTATGCATGAGGACCTGAATTCAGTCCCCACTACCAAAAAAAAAACCACTAATGGATGATTTCATTAGTATCTTGAGAGATCTGTTTGAGGAAGACAAATATAGAGCATATGTCATGGGGCTGAGGATAGAAAAGAAATGGATAGTCTAGAGCAGTGATGGCAAATCTTTAGAGCTTTCAATGATACAAACATCCTGCCCTGACTTGCATGCCATAGGTTTGCTACCACTGATCTAGAGAGATAGAGGGAAATACAGCAAGACTTGGTGATTAGGAAAAGAGCTAAATGTTGACTGTTGCGTTTAAAATTTGGTTGACTACTCAAAGGGTAGTTCTACCACATAAAATAGAATAACAAGAAGAGCAAGGTTTTTCTGTAGGGAGATGGATTAAGTTTGACATAATTGTGGCACTTACAAATTCTAAAAATCCTGCAAAAGACTTGACTATGTCCTTCTAGAACTTAGAAATAATGAGAACTGAGGGTTAATTATTGGCAAATATGTGGTGTAGTTAAATTACCTTTCAAAAGACTGTAGAGAAAATCAAAAGTCAATTATAAAATTTTTGGAAGATTGAAAGTTAGGGATAGACTAAGGAAGACAGGCCCATGAACAATGCCGTGAGATTATTAAAGAGATAGGAGAAGAAATTGAAAAGATGAGTTCAGAGAAAAAAGAATTTCAAGCAGAATGTGCTGGCACCTGCTATAATCCTTGCCACTTAGGAAGGAGACTGAAGAAGGTGGATCACTAATTTGAGGCCAATCAGGGTAATTTAGCAAAGCCTTCCCATAAAACAATAACAAGGGGCCAGGGATTTAGCTCTGTGACACAGGTGCCTGCCTGGTAAGCGTGAGGTTTTGAGTTTGATTCCTCGTACCAAAAACAAAACAAAACCAACCAACCAAACAAAAAACAACAACAACAAAAAAAAAAACCCCAACAAATTCTAGTAGAGGAGGGTCAAATGTGTCAGCAGTCTAAAAATAGAATCAGAAATCACCCAGTATTAGAAAGTCATTATAACCTTTGCAAGAGCAATTTCAGTGAAACAATAAAAGAATATGCAGACTAATATAAGAGCTTAAGGAATATGGGAAATGAGACAGAGATAGCCAATGTGGACTAGTTTTTCAGCAATTTTGGATGAAAGGCCAAGAAAAAGCTGTAACTGTATAGCTAGTCATGGTGACTTATGTTTGTAATCCAACTATGTGGGAGGCTGAGGCAGGAGGATATAGTTTGAGCCCAGCTTAGGCAATTTAGTGAGACCTCGCAGAAAATTTTTAAAGGGGCTGGAAATATAGCACAGTGTATAGCACGAGGTATGGGAGTACATCCTGTAATCCCAGCACTCAGGAGGCTGAGGCAGGAGAATCATTTGAAAGTTTGAGATCAGCCTAGGCTACAAAGTGAGCCCAGGGAGAGCCTGAACTGCATAGTGAGACCCTATCTTAAAAAGACAAAAAAGAAAGAAAGAAAGAAAGAAATCTGCCTGCCTGCCTGCCTGCCTATCTGTCTGTCTGTCTATCTCAGTGATAGAATTCTTGCCTAGCATACACAAGACCCTGGATTTAATCTCCAGCACCACAAAGAAACGGGAAAAAACAATATAAATAACTTGAAGAGAAATTCAAAATCAAGGGAAGATTTAATAAAAAACTTCTTTGAGAGTGAAAGACATTTGGGAATGTCTGACAGCAAGGAACTAACGATTAAGGAAGGCTTTAAGTACAGTAGGGGCACAAAGTGAATTAGAGACCTCAAAGAGATAGAAAGGAGTGCTTCAACAGCACAAGGTAGACAAAAATATGCATTTCTTTTTACCACAGAATTCTTTCTTTTGGTATTTATTCTGAGGGGAAAATCAATAATGAGGGTAAACATTTATACAAGGTTATTCACTGTGTATCACTCAAGAATAATGAGAAACTCGGGGCTGGGGATTTAGCTCAGAGGCATAAGCACCTGCCTTGCAAGCACATGGTCATGAGTTTGATCCCTGGTACCGACAAAAAAACCAAACAAACAAACAAACAAACAAACAAAAAGAATAGTGAGAAACTGAAATAATTTAAGTGTTCAACTTTAACAGATTAGTTAAATAAAATGTAGTGCACCAATTTTATGAAATGCCATGCAGCCCTTATAAAACATCTTGTGGAATGACATTTCTTAGAATGAGAATGTATTTTTATCAATTACTATGTTTATCACACTGTAACAATATTATCATAAATTGTGTTAGATCTTCTGCTTCAAGTATTCAAGGTTGCAGTCAGTTATCATTTGGCACTGTGGTCATGTCTGAGGCTTTCCTTGGGCTGGATATTCTTTCAAATTCATGTACTATAGTTTTTGGCGATATGCAGTTTTTTGTGGACTGTGAGACTGTATGTCTAAATATTGGACTGATTCTTGACCATAGGCTACATCTCAAAATAACTGTCAACTTTCCCAAAACCAGCAAGGGAGAGATAATAAGATGTGTTATATTTTTATGTAATCTTGTTGTGGAAGTGACATTTCATCACCTATGCCATATTCTCTTACCAAAAGCAAGTCATAGATCTTGGCTATACTCAGTAGGAGAGAACTACATAAGACACAAAACCTAGAGGTTGGGATCATGGGAACTTCTTGGTGTCTACCTACAATGATTGCTAAGTAAAATGTTGACTATAGAAGGAAATTGATAGCATGATATAATATAAAAAATACACTGTCTATACTCATAGAAAAAAGATTGTTAGAACATGTACTAAAACAGCAATAATAGTTTCCTCCAAGGGTAGAATTTTGAAGTGTTTTTATTTCTGTTTGTGTTTTGTCTTTTTTCAGTTTTTTACATATATTTTATAATTTTTTATAAAAAGTTAATAACATGTGGGGCGGGGGGTTTAGCTCAGCGGCATAAGCGCCTGCCTTGAAAGCAGGCAGTCGTGAGTTCAATCCCCGGTACCGATAAAAAGGAAAAAGACAAAAAAAAAAAAGTTAATAAAATGCTAGAAAGCATTACCATGTGAAATGTTATTGAATTAAGGAATCTTGTAAATAGTTTTTCATTTTTCCTTTCTCCCACAAACATTATGTTAATTATTGTTTAACAGTTTCATTGTATATAATTTATTACCATAAGTTCTGTGGGTTTTCAGCAAATTATACTATTGTGCAGTTGCCACAAATCCAGTTTAAAACACTAATTTTATAATTTTAAAAAGCTGTGAAAAAGCGGCTTTAGATATTAACATGTATATTAACTCGAAGAGAAGACTTCATTCTCTAAAACTGGAGGAGACAGGCGAAACTGACCAAATTTCCACTGGCTTAAATCTCCAATGGTACATGCACAAGCTTGTGTCGCTCAATGAGACTGTCCTATGCTGCCTAATAGGATAGTCATACATGAAATACAGGTGGTTCAGAGCTGCTTGACATCAAGGCATACAAACTGTGGCCTCATCATCAATGTGTTAACAGTGAGGATGATAATTACTAACGCATTGCATATTTTGATTCAAGGTAATTACTGAAAAAATTAAAAATGTCTAATTAATGTAGAGTAAGGAATTATGTATAGTCATCCCTCAGTATCTGTGAAGGATTGGTTTTATGTCCCTCTGCTGATACCTAAATCTACAGAATCTCAAGTCCTTTTTTTTTAAAGTGTAATATTTCTTTATAACCTACTCTCGTCCTCCTGAATTTTAAAGTCATCTTTAAATGCTATCACTTAAAACAGTATAAATCCTATGTAAATACTCTTTAATCCTATATTTTTGACAAATGACAAGGGCATTTAAAAAATGATATGTAAATAGTCTCTAATCCTATATTTTTGACAACTGAGGCATTTGAAAAATGCCTGTATTTCCAGTATAGATGCAGTTTTCCCCCTCAAATATTTTAGATCTACAGCTGGTTGAATCTATGGATGTAGAACCCATAGATACAGACTGACTAAAGCCTCTTTTGAGGGAGAGTTTTCTTATTTGTGAACGTAGTCTAGAATAGTATCTGTGGTGGTACTTATGGCAATTGTGGGAACAAAAAGGTGATAGTTGCCAAGTATACAATTAGAGCTTTCTTTTTCTAAAATTCATTTTTATTAGTACATGTTTACAGTTCATAATGATTACATTCCTTGTGTGGAGTCAGTACATGTACATAAAATGTTTTAATTCCTTTTTGTATCCCTTTTCCCTCCTCTTCCCTGCATCTCATAATTCTCTATCATTTGTGAAAGAGTTACTTCCCTACTTCCTATTGTCTTACCTTTTATTTTGCTCTTTATTTATAATTTGGGTTTTTCATATAAAAGAAATCATGTGCTGATTAGCCTTGTGAGTCTGATTTATTTCACTTAACATTGTGGTCTCAAGGTGCATCTATTTTTTTCTGTTTCCAAGGCTTTCCTTTTCTTTGATGTCTTCAGTAATGACCATGAAAGGTTGATTGGTATAGTATTATGAATTATTGTAGGTTAGCAGCAACAGTTTATAGTCTGTGTGTGTGTATGTGTAGATATAGGTCAGCAACTTTCTTCTTGATATAAGGCTAATAAACTACAGATACATCTATGTTGGAAAAGTTGGATAGATTTGCCTGTTTAGAAGATAAAAGACAAAGTTAAAGATAGTGATAATCTGGAAAAACACTGGAAGCAATGAGTTTCTACCAATAAGAAGGTATGTGATGCAGTCCTGTCATAGGGATTTAGGAGGCCAAGACAGGAAGATTCTAAATTTGAGCCCAGACTGGGCCACTTAGCAAAATGCAGTCCCAAATTTAAAGAGAAAGAAAAAAGAAGAAACAAGGAAAAGAAAAGGAAAAAGGGTTGGGAATATAAGTTAGTGGTAGGGCATCGTGGGTTTGATCCCTAGTATTATGCCCCCAAAAGCACCCATTAGTCGGAAATAAGCAAAGAACGTGAACAGGTAGTCCATAAAAGAGAAATAAGTCAAGTGCAGTGGTACATAATAGTAGTCCCAGCTACCTAAGAGGCTGAAACAAGAGGACTGCCTGAGCCTGCAAGGTCAGGGCCTCCCTGGGAGAGACCTTTAAAAAAAGAAAGAAGGAATTGGGTTGGAGGTATAGCTCGGTTGTTAGAACACTTGCCTTTAGCTTGTATAAGATCCTGAGTTCAGCCCACAGTATTGGAAAGAGAAACAAAAATAAAAATCAGGTTGACTATAAAGCATAAATGTCTAGATTCAGTCCCAAACACTGTACACAAATCATCATCATTATCATCTTCTTCATCATCATCACTATCAGTAATTAAACAAATTTTTTTAATAAAAAGTGAAATAGGGTCTGGGGATTTAGCTCAGCGGCATAAGCACCTGCCTTGCAAGCAGGCAGTCATGAGTTCGATCCCTGGTACCGATTAAAAAAAAAAAAAAAAAGAAATAGGAGCAGTAGACATATGGAAAGAGATTATCAGTAGTAATCAGAGAAGTACAAACAAAGTGGGAGGTATTTTTTTAAAACGTAAAACTGGCAAAATTAAAAAATTAAATTAAATTAATACTGAATATAGGAAGATTGCTAATACAATATCTAATATAGATAAGGTCGTTTGCACCCATATTGCTAGTGAGAATCTGACCATGTGAATACTCTTGAATATTTTTACTTCTAGGAACACATCTCCTATACATTATTTTTTTTTCCTATACATTATTTTACTATTTTTCAAATTTCAAATAACATGTGTTTCCAATAAGTTAGTAGTAACATGAATTATGGACTATTGAAGTATTAGTTATCCATGAAAATACTAATTATGTTACATATAATTAGATATATCTGTATCATAACAGGGGAAGAGAATTAATAGTATACTGTTAAATTAACTAACAGTTTGTGGCTATTTAGACATATAAGTGTACCAAAGTATGAACTGGTTATCTCTGAGATGAAACAATGAAATGACTTTTGAGTTTTTAGAAAATGTCATTCTACTTGACTCAACTATTCCTCTTCTAGGTATCTTCCTGAAATAGTTAAAAGCATTATATTACAGTTGCATATCCATGTTTATAGCAGCATCATTCATAATAGCTGAACATTAGCACAGGCCTATATGTCCATCAAGAGATGAATGATTAAACAAAATGTATTTGTACACAATGGCATATTACTCTGCCATTAAATTTGTAGGAAAATGGATGCACCTTGAAACCATTAATGTTAAGTGAAGTAAATCCGACACATAAGCTTAAATATCCCATTTCTTTTATGTGATTAACCCAAAATATAAAGAACAAATACTAGATAAAATAATAAGAAATAGAGAAATCTTTTGCAAAAGGGAAGAGGAGACCAAGAGATGGAGAGAGGGGCAAAGGAGAGGATAAAGAGGGCAAGAGGATGAAAATGAGTTGTGTTATGTCCTTGTGCTAACTCATGAGGTATGTAATCATTATGTACTAGTAAAAAATAAAAATTAGGAAAAAGGAGTTATCAGAAGACAAGCATGCACACTTATTTTAAAGAACCAATAAAGTTCTTGTTCATCTGTAAAAAAGGAACTATTAGGTGGTCCTATTTATATATACCTATAATTCCAGCACTAAGGAGGCATAAGTAAAAGGATTGCTAGTTCAAAACCAGACTGTGTTACATAGTTCAAGACCAGCCTGTGGTATATAATGAAACTTTGTTTCAAGAAAAAAAAATCTTACTAAATTCTGATACATTATTTAAGTGTTCCTCCTTCTTTTCTTGCCCCTAGTAGTGGAGATCAGGGATATTTTTAATTTTTTGTTTTGAAACAGGGCCTAACTAAATTAGCATGCTTTCTCTACTATAAATAATAGACATTTATTTGTTTTGAAAAATATATAAGCTTTACAGTTATCAGACAGATGTAAGAACAAGATATAAAAAATATTAATAAACTGACAAGGATTTGAGCAAATTACTTAACTACTCTAAGCCATTACACGTAGACTGAGGCACTAATAGTGCCCATTGTATATAGAATTGTTGAGAGAATTAAATGAGGTAATGAATACATGAAATACTTAATGAATCCCTGAAAATGTTAAACGGTTTGCTACCGTTGTGTTACCAGACTAGAAAAAAAGAGACATCAAATGACAAACTGGGAATACAAAGTGAAAAAAAGAAAAAAAGAAAGTAATTATCTTTTGAAAATTCTAACATTCCTGGTAAACGTTTTTCATGCACTAATCAAATTCCTATAGCTAATTTTTCCTGTTTAGTCTAAAGTTAAAGAAAAAGGACACCAGCGTTAGAACTTTTCCTCAGAATAGAGTAATTATTACATGGGCCTATTAAGTGACAGATTACTCACCCTTATACAGATTAATTTTTCTTTTCTTTTCTTTTTTTTTTGTCTTTTTCCTTTTTTATCGGTATCAGGGATCGAACTCACGACTGCCTGCTTGCAAGGCAGGCGCTTATGCCGCTGAGCTAAATCCCCAGCCCCTATTTTTCTTGATACAGAGATTATAAGAGCCTTCAAAATGATGTTTGAGAACTGTTGTTTTAGTGTAGAAGATTACTAAATATGTGACTTAACAAACTCAGAGTCTTCAGCTAAATAATCCTAAACATTATCCCATTAATGCTGTTTGCTTCCATGGTTACTCCTGTCCTTTACATGGTTTTACTATGTGATTGTATTTATTTTTTTTTTTTGTACCGGGGATCAAACTTATGACCTTGTACTTGCCAGGCAGGTACTTATGCCATTGAGCTAAATCCCCAGCTCTGATTGTATTTCTAAAAACAAATCATGTATTCTCTATTAATTTGTTTGCATTTTCAGAATATATTAAGATGGCTGATCATTATGTGCCAGTGCCTGGAGGACCAAACAACAACAACTATGCAAACGTGGAATTAATTCTTGACATTGCTAAAAGAATCCCAGTACAAGTAAGAGTTCTTTAAAGGGAAATTCTGCTATTTTAAATTAGGAAAAGGCTATGTACAGGGAACTTATATAAAGCATCTTTTCTGAAAATTCTTATCTGCCTTTATGTGGGGTAATCAAAACAGACCAAAAAAAAAAAAAAAAAGATGAAAAGAAGAGAGTGATTAAAAATAAATAAACTAAGCCACGCATGGTGGCACATGTCTGTAATCCCAGCAGTTGGGAGGCTGAGGCAGGAGTATCGTTCCAAGTTCAAAACCAACAAGGGCTACATAGTGAACTCAAAGCCAGCCTACACTGTGTAGTGAGACCCTGTCTCAAAAAGACAAAAAAAAAAATTTTTTTTGGTAATTAAAAAATAAACATAATAGAAATGTTTGAAAGGTGCTTTCGCAGATTTTAAAAAATATATACATCTTATCTTTGAGTTATTTCAATTAAGTACATATTATTTCCTATGGAATATTGTTCGCTTTGAACATGGTGGTGATTTTAGAAATAGGCTATTCTTATCACATTGTGTTAGGAAGTTCAGGATAGATAGCTTAAAGCCTAACAAGGAAAAAAATCTCTAGACTTATGTGGCAGTATAATTGCTGGATAGAAAGGTAAAATTGGGTGGACAGAATAATGGAACATGTGTAAGATGGCCAGTATTTCCAGAAAGGGCTCTATACAGCCTAGCAGAAAGGCTATAAATTTGAGTTTTCTAAAAAGCAGCAGGACTAGCTTGATCTGAATATTAAAATCAGCTTGGTTTTGACCACTCTCAGAAGTTTTATTGTATTTAACTGCTTATTGTTCTGTAAAACATTTGTCAGCAACCAAGCACAGAACCTGAATTAAGCATGGGTTGCTATAGAACTAGTTGTACATCATTTAATAAGAACAACCTAGATATAGAGTAAGACAGTTTGTGGTTTTTTTTTTTTTTTTTTTTTGGGTATGGATTTTAAGAATCAATCACATTATATTCCCTTGTAGGCAGTGTGGGCAGGTTGGGGTCATGCTTCTGAGAATCCCAAGCTCCCAGAACTTCTCTTGAAAAATGGCATTGCCTTTATGGGTAAGAAGTTCGTCTTTCTTTTCCTTTTGTTGATTTTGTTCATATGTTATTATATAGTCTGTTTTTTTTTTTTTAATGGTGAAAAGTTAATTTGGAAAAGTAAAAGTGAAGAGAAACTGGATTTGTAGATAGAGCAAACTTGGGCTGGATAAAAGAAGGAAAAAGGTACACTCTGAGGAATACAGGGTGGGCTACCAGGAGGAAAGCCACAGGAGCCTTATTTTCTTTTATTTAACATGTACTAGGCTTGTTTTTCCTGTTTTCAAGTCCATCAGTAACTTTCAGAGTAACTTTCTTCACTTCTTTTTTTCTTCCCTTCTTCATTTTCACTTCATCTTCATTGTATTTTCTGTCCCTGGGTTATTCTCCCTGCAGTCTCAAAAACGATTTTTAAAACATTTACCTTTTTAAAATTTTTTTCTCAAGATAACATGTGAAGGAAGGACCTGTTTTAGATAATAAAGATAATTGAATACTTAGTATATCTTGGCAGTGTGTCCTTAAATGTGAATCAGCACCTTTACATTTAAATACAGGTTACATTTCTATGAATAACAGCTTTTTGGGGGGGGTGGGTTGCGGGAGTGGGAGGAGCGCAGATCGGACTCAGGACTGCGTGTTTGCAAGCCAAGCGCTTATGCCGCTGAGCTAAATCCCCAGCCCCAAATAACACTATTTCTTCTAACTTTTCAGCTTTCATTATGGCAGAAAGAAAAATTGAGATTATATGGCTCAAAGTGTTTATTTTTTGGAGATCAGGCTATGTAAACATTATTAAAGATAATTCTCTCACCGGAGATTTAGCCCAGCGGCATAAGTACCTGTCTGATGAGCATGAGTTCGTGAGTTCGATCTGAGTACCACACACACCAAAAAAGAAAAAAAAAGATAATTCTCTTCTTTGAGTTCCCCTAAGACCAATGAGGGTCAGTATTTCAAACTTAAACCCAAAACTTTGTCATTCTTACTTTAATACATAGGTTAAAAAAAAAATGACTTTGTTAGTTGGTAAAGGTAGATTTATGAAGGTTGATAAAAAAGGATTTTTCAGGAATTCAAACCAGCATATTTTTATGCAGATTGATCTCCCATTGTGTATAAGCAGCTCACTTCCTTAGATTAGTACATCAAATTACTACATTAGATACAAAGTCAAAACTTGATGTCCCAGACATTAAGCTTCTGATCTCCATGCTCTATGATGAGGGAGAGGGGAACAAGAGAAAACACAAAAATAATTGTAATATAAGGCAAAATATATGTGTCAGAAAGGAATCTTTATTTTATTTTATTTTATTTTATTTTTTGGTACCAGAGATCGAACTCAGAATCTTGCTAGGCAGGCACTTAGGTCGCTGAGCTAAATCCCTAGCCCAATGCAGAAATCTTACAGTTGTGTTTTCCTATTTTGTTTTTAGGTCCTCCAAGCCAGGCCATGTGGGCTTTGGGCGATAAGATTGCATCTTCCATTGTAGCTCAAACTGCAGGTATCCCAACTCTTCCCTGGAGTGGCAGTGGTAAGAAATTGTTTCCTGTTTGTATCTTGGAGTGCAGAAAAGCTCAGTAGAATATTTGGTACTGTGCCATGGGGCTTACATTGGTTTAAATATATTAGATTATAGTCGTAATATATTAGTATATTATACTATAGATTATAGTCGTAATATATTAGTATATATTATTTACTTTATAAATAAGAATCCTGACATCTCCTGGTTTAATATACCTATGGTTTTTGTCATATCTTAGTAATACAAATTTAGTACCAGGCACATAGATGCTAAACTGTGATTTGGAATGATCTTAGGAATTAATTTGGGAAAATTCATATTGTTTTGGGGGTTCATATCTACTTGAGGTAGGCTAGAGTTTCAGAAGCAGGCTTCTAAGGGGGAATTAGGCTTTTGGAGTGGGGCTAGATCACCTGGAAAAACTTAAAAGTCCTAAAAATCTGATGTTTACCTGCCAGCTTTTTCTTGATGTCAGTACATGATTGACTGATAATTTAGTTTGCCTAATACTATTCCGCTTCAGTTGCCCTTGATGTAGAAAATGAGATCATTAGTCAACCTTTCTTCTAGATACACAGAGGGCTGAAAGAAAATTTTTTAATTATTTATTTTTGACAAATCCCTTGAGAAGTGCCATGCAGATTGTTATAGCTGATAAAAAATATGAACTTTCCTTTCTTAGTGGTCATTTATGTTGAGCAGACTTATACTAAAACCTTCTTTTAAAAAAGAATGACCATTGGGGCTGGAGATTTAGCTCAGCGGCATAAGCGTCTGCCTTGCAAGCAGGCAGTCGTGAGTTCAATCCCCGGTACCGATAAAAAGGAAAAAGACAAAAAAAAAAAAAAAAAAAAAAAAAAAAGAATGATCATCAAAGCAAATTACAAGAGGACAAAAAAAAAAAAAAAAAAAAAAAAAGAATGACCATTGTCTTGAGGCTGAACATATTTGAACTTTTGTTATTCTGGTTCTCCAGGGGAATTGTAATATCCTCTTCAGACCTGCTGGGTCAAATAGTTTAAAAGGTTGAATTTGTTCTTGTGTGAATGTAGAGGCTATAGTGTTTCCCTTGAGGCCTAGTACTGTGGCATTCAGGGAGAATGGAATCATGCCTCTGTTGAGACCAGTAAAACCGCCATTTCCATTTCCAAGGGCTCATAAAGATTGAATTATTTCTCAGACCTCTGGCTCTGGAGCAGCCCTGAACACACAAATTGAAGGTATTTTTGCCTGCTGGGTTGCAGTGAAAAGTCTGCCTTTTTTTTTGGTTTTTATGTCCTTGTGTTTTTGTAAGTTGGCTCCTGTTAGCTCTCCTGGCTTTTCCAACATAAAAATCCAAATTGCCAGCTCATGCTATGGCTCAATACTGTTAACTCCAAGGACTGATGAGGGTTTTATAGCACCTTTTTCTATCTGCCTTCAATTTTTGGTAAACATTTTAAAGAAGGTGTAGCATAAAATTGACTTGACCTTTGGTAGTTGCTGTCACGTTGCTATTTTGTATTGCAGGTCTTCGTGTGGACTGGCAGGAAAATGATTTTTCGAAACGTATCTTAAATGTTCCACAGGAACTCTATGAAAAAGGTTACGTGAAGGACGTGGATGATGGGCTGAAGGTAGGTTACTAACCTTTCACCTGTCCAGTTATAGTCGTAAATATGGAGATTTGGTGCTTGGATCATGATGTATACCCATGACAGCATGAGAGTTGTAAGACCAGGAGTTTTTTTTTTTTTGTTCATTTGTTTTTTTTTTTTTTTTTTTTCTGGTCTTTTTCCTTTTTATCTGTACTGGGAATCGAACTCATGACTGCCTGCTTGCAAGGCAGGTGCTTATGCCACTGAGCTAAATCCCTAGCCCCCAGACCAGGAGTTTATTAAATACAAAGTGGAGAAATGACTTTAAACTTCAGCAGTTAAATTAGCTTTGAAATACCACCCATTAGGGTGGTGAGGGTTGCCACTGAACAACACACTTCTCTACCTGCTTGAGTTTAGTAGAAGCCACAAACTATTACAAAGAGATGTTAGTGAAGATGGCTTAAATGTTAAATGTATAGCAACAATGAGATTCACAAACTGAATGCCACAATTAACGAACCTCACTTCATCACTGATTACTGGCAATGCTGATTAGCCATAGATTTTTCTCTGCAGAGATGATTTTATCACTGAGTTTATTATATATATATGTTCTATGCAGTGGACTGATCTCCAAAGGGAAAAGGTTGAGCAATTCATGCTCAGTTTCTAAGTTGGTCAGTCACGTAATTTATGCTTTTCCCTTTTGGGGAAGAATGAAAGAGTAAACCAAGAGAGGCTGAAAGTATTAGTTATTATGCAGCCATGTAGAAAAATAAGCTTGGACAAAAGGAGATCCTTTCCCTAATATCACCTTTTCTTTCCTTAAATTTCTCTCTAGTTCATACTCCTTTCACTTGTTAAAAATGATTGATAGATTGATTTTTGAGACAGTCTCTTGATGTAATTCAGACTGGCCTTGAATTCACTGTATACTCCAGGCTTGCCTTGAATTCATGGCAGTCCTCCTGCCTCAGCCTCTGAAGTGCTGGAATTACAAGTGTACACCACCATGTCTGTCCTCCTGTCACTTTTTTTGTGTGTTTGTGCCGGGAATTAAACCCAGGACTTCATGCTTGTCAGGCAGGTCCTGTACTAGTGAGCTACATCACTGGTATGCTCTTCTGCTTTTTAACTGCTCAGAAATGTCATTTATGCCTCAGATAGATGATAAAACAGGTGGTGTTAGAAAAATACACTACTTGCATTTGATTTGTATGTTATAAATTCAAGAGGAATGTTGAGCCAGGCATTGCGATGCACACTTTTGATTTTAGCAGTCGGGGAGACTGAGGCAGAGCTCACAAGAAGACTATCTCAAAATAAAAAAGGGCTGGATGTAGCTCAGTATAAAGGCTTCAAGTTGCATCCCCAGTACTGCTGCCCACCATGGGAATACTGAAAATTCAACTAATTTTACTTTATTGTTTGCAATTCAAGTTAAATATATTATTATCTTCTTAATAAGAAAAAAATAGTATTATTAATACTTTATTGTATTTGCTATAATTCACAAAAGAGTAGAAGCCTTTTGTAAGAAACTAGCTAGTTAATCATTAAAATCTTTTTGTTTTTTATAAACAAGAGTTACTTGTAGAAATTTTGGAAAGTCAGAGAATATGATAAAACTACACATAAATTTACTCATCCAGATCTAATGCCTGTTAACATATTTATATATATTCTTCTAGCTTTTTTATTTACTTATTTATTTTTAATATTGAGGATTGAGTCCAGGGTCTTCATATTCAGGTACATCTCCAGTCATCTTTATTAATTAATTAATTTAAAATTTTTTTTTGGTACCGGGCGTTGAACTCATGACCTTGCACTTGGCAGGCAGGTGCTTGTTCCTCTAAGCTAAACCTCCAGCCCTCATCTTTATTTTTTCATTTGAGACAGGGTCTCACTAGGTCACTAATTGCCCAGGTTAGGATTGAATTTGAGCTCCTCTTACTTCAGCCCTCCAGAAAGCTGGGATTATGGGCATGGGCCACCACAGCCAGTTTAGAGATTTAGATTCATAGATTGATAAAATAATCTGTATTAATAGATTTCTATAATTATAAAACTAGGGTGTATATGTATATGTGTTTCTACTTAATTTTAATAAGCATTTTCCCCATGGCATTAAAATACTTTTTGCTTGTTTTAATTTTGGCCTGGAGATAGGGTCTTTTTATGTAGTTCAGGCTGGCCTTGAACTCACTGTATAGTCCAAGCTAACCTCAAACTCTTGCCAGTCTTCCTGCATCAGCTTCTTGAGTGTTGAGATTAAAGGCATATGCTACCATGTCCAAGTCCCAGACTAAATTTGATGGGTCACCTATAGCTACTACTTTCGTATATTTTTTAAAAGCTACCTTTTTGCTTTCTGTGGGCTATTTTTTTAGTCTTTTCCACAGTTGTGTTATCTTTCTTGTTTTTTGTTTGTTTTTTGACATGGTCTCACTATGCAGTTCAGGCTGGTTTTGAACTCACTATGTAGCCTAGGCTGGCCTCAAACTTGTGGTATCCTCCTGCCTCAGCTTCTAGAATGCTGGGATTATGGGGCATGTGCCGCCATACCTGATTTGAGTTATCTTTCTTTGATCACCTGTTACCAAGTGATTGAGTTCAGTCTATTAATTCTGTTTATATGACTATAGAAGAGAATAGCATTGAAGACATTTTAGGAAAGATGGAACAATAAGACTAGGATTTTTATCCCTAACCTGATGCAAATTAAAATGGTGATTTTCTTTTTTATTATTTATTTATTTATTTATTTATTTATTTATTTATTTATTTCTGCTACCAGGGATCAAACTCATAATCTCAGCCTTACCAGGCAGGTGCTTATGCCACTGAGCTAAATCCCTGGCCCAAAATGATCATTTGTTGATGATGCATCTTAGAATAGTCTTACAGTATAGCAAAACTTCAAAAGAATAGCATATTTTTTATAAAGGAATGACCTGCTTATATAAAATTTTAGTTAGCTTTTCCTCAGTTTACTTTTTATTTTAACAATACAATTAGGTGATCTTCCATAGCATTACATATAAAAGCTACTTTGTTCCTTCTGATGATTGTATAGAATTCTATGTAGTACATGATATATATCTATTTAATCAGTTTCCTACTTGACATATAATCAATATTTCCAAAAATTTTAGGTTTATCACCTGATCCTTCTCCAATGCTATAAATACATAGCATTTGGACCATGTGCCTTAAACATTAGTTTTTTGACTAAATTAATTAAATTTTGCGATCTTTTGTTTAAATTCTTTATTGCTGTTGTTTTTTGTTCCTGGGAATTGAACTCAGGAACTCTCACTTGCCAAGTGTTGCTGAGCTATATCATCAGCCCCAATCATGTTATTTTTATCATTTATAAAAAATTGAATAGGAGAAATTTCTGTATACTTAAGAATTCTGACTTTTTGAATCTTGTGGGTGCTTAGAAGTTATAATCAGGCTGTCAGCATTATTAAGTGAACTATTTGTCTTTTTTAAAAAAGTTGTGTGTGATACATATCTGCATACTATAAGGAAAGAAATCCAACAATACAGAAATATAAATAGAAGTAAAAGTTCCTTTTATAGATCACCACTGTTGTATATTCTGGAATTCATTTCTTTACATTTACACTTAGGGGTATATGAATGCATATACAGTCATACATGCACTTTTAATTTTGTTTTTGATTTCTGTATGCTATTATCTTAACCTCATGAAAACATCAATATTCAACTACTTTTATTCTACAAAAAAGATAATTTGTTTTTAATCTATACTGCATGTATTTTCTGTTACTTTTTTTTCACATAGTGATGTCTTGTGGATCTTGTATTTTACTATGCATAGACCAATTAAATGACTGCATTCTGAAGAGGATAAATGGCCAGTTTTTCTCTACTGATGCCACTCTTTCTTCCATTTTTTTCTCTTTCTTTTTAAAGGCAGCAGAAGAAGTTGGATATCCAGTAATGATCAAGGCCTCAGAAGGAGGAGGAGGGAAGGGCATCAGGAAAGTCAACAATGCAGATGACTTTCCTAACCTCTTCCGACAGGTAAAGTGTAAATTTTTTGTTTATTTGAACTAACATCTATATCAGAGATGCACTCATACTGTGATTGTATAACTTGGATGCACAGAAAATAATTTTATGTATATCTAATGTAACCTTTCTGACCTTTATTTATTAACAGGGAAAAAAAAGTAATGAAAGTTTTATTCAATTAGGTAATTCAGACCTCATATTTATTCTTGTGTAAGAATATGTGGCTTCATAGTGACAAGGAAAAGTGTGTGTCTTTTTACAGTGTTTTTTTTTTAACCTTGTTTTGGAGACATGGTAGATGAAGCATGATATGGTAGTATGAGATTGGTCTGGTTATGAGACTGGTCTGGTTGTAAGTCTGGCCAGGTCCAGGTTCTCTGATTAGCTTTTTCTTATTTCATTTCAAAATGGCTCTGAGTTCCTGAATTTCTACCATGTGTTGCTGGCCTGAGTCTGTAACGTAGTCTATGCTGTGTAGCTGTCACATCCTTGCAGCGATATCTCATGGCAAATCCACATATAAGAACTGGGAATGGCTCAGAGAATCTCCTCGCCTCTTTTTGCCTTACCCTCTGCTTTGTAGCCAAGTTGATGTGGCTATGCTATACTTTAATTACAGAGGCAACAAAAGAAGTGATATCTTTTTAGAATCTTAGTGAAAAGGGTGACAAGAGTCTCTTTTATACTGTTTTTAGATTTACTTTCAGATATATGATGCACTTCTTTTTCTCCTACTAGCAAGGAAAGGATATGTCAGGTGACAAAAAAAAAAAAAAAAGCTAGCCAGGCGTGGTGGTATCCAGCTACTCAGGGAACAAGGCCAGAGGACTGCAAGTTTAAGGCCACCATAGGCAACTTAGTGGGGCCATGTCTCAGAGTGAGAAATGGCTGGGGATATAGCGTGGTGGAGTGTTTTGCCTAGCATGTAAAGTGATTTAGGTTCAATCCAAACTACACCTAAATAAATAAATAGAAAATTGGGACATAAGTTTTGCCTTTTTATTTTCTTAGCTTCCCACTTTTCTTAGTTTTCCTAGCATCTACTTTATACTACCTTTTATTTATTTCCCTCCCCCACCCCTGTTAGTTTTCTTTTATTTGTTCTTTGGTGATTGGGATGGAGCCAACGGTGGGCAAGTGCTGTGCTGCTGAACCTGCATTCCCCTTACCTCCTTTTAAACCATTTAACAGCTTCACTGTCGAGGGCTAAAGGGAAAAACTCTGTAAGTATAAGGTGGGTCTTCTGTGATTTGATAAACTAGATAAAAATAGTTGTTTTACTTATTTAGAATATCAGAATTATCCTATTTGGAATGTCAGAAATTGATATTGCCTCATTTTTTTTCCATTTGTCAATTTTAGTTTATGGAGATCAGTGCTCCATAGTCCAGAGAAAAGTCTTAGAAACAAAAGAAAAAGCATGTTAAGTTATTAAGGTGGAATCAAATAATTAAAGAATCTAGAACACTAAATTTTATGTGGAAATTCTTTAAGTTCCACAAATGGTTAGCTACATAATTCAACTGATCCTCCCAATGAGAAGAAACCAAAGAAACCAAAATAAGATTTTGTTTGTCTGATGTTTTTAAGGTTTGCCTTAAATTACTACAGGCCTTATAAAATAGTGAAGAATTATAGAAGAATCAGAACCTCAGAGAAGTAAGCCTGGAAACTGAGGCTACTTTTCCATTGAGATATGTTCTAGTTCAAGGATAAGTAACTGAAAAGCTGATCAGAGATTTTTAATAGTGTTACAAGATTAAGAGGACAAAGTTTAGACTTGAAGCTTGCTGAGGAGTGAAACCTGGGAAAATATAGGTGGAGATTGTGAAGGACTCTAAGAGAAATGATGAAGTGGAAGTAGAGCAGTTCTCACAGGAATTAAATTTCAGATTCAAAGTCTCAACCTCTAATTGAAGCAGCGGGTTTTAGGGTTATTAGTACCCCTAGCCACCTATAGAAAACAAATCTTCTGCAGCAAAAAATAGTATCCAAACAAATCTGCAGCAAAAAATAAGTTATTTCTGTTTTTTGGTGCATTATATTAAACACTCAATTAAAAATCAGCAGTCATATAAAAATTACATGAACAAAAACCAAGAAGAATGCAGTCAGTAAAAACAGATCCACAAAAGACTTAGATAATAGACTCATCTGCCAAGGGCTTTAAAGTAACTATGTTCAAGGCAATTAAACACAACATTGAGAATTGACAGAATGGGAAACCATAAAGAAAAATTGAAGATGCATGGACTAAAATTGAGAAGTTCAGTATAGTAGTTCAGTAGCATATTAGATGCAGTTTAAGAGAGGATTATTCACTGGAAAATAGAGCAGAATAATATTCAGACTAGGTATGAAGTATAATGAGAAACAAAAGGACAAAAATACAGAAAAGAGCACTGTAGGGTGTAATTTACAAATATGACTATGATCACTCCCCCAACACTCATACTTTCCCTGTACAGTATGATATTGCAAATCTTCCCATCAAGAGGTGTAGTCTTATTTCCTACCTTTCATAATTCGACTGGCCTTATGTCTTGTTTTGACCTGTAGAACATGGCCAAAATGATACAAAGTTCTGAAGCCTAAATTTCTTACTCTCTTGAGAAAAGTTCTCAAGAGTACCATGTGAAGAGCTCATTCTAACCAACTGAAGAGAGGCCACGTGAAACAGAAATTAATTGTCTCACCTAAGACTTCCTAGTCCTACTAGCTGACTGTCAACACTACATTTGATTCATATGAGACCGTATTAGAGTGCCCAGTCTTAGTTGAGTGACAGATGACTACAGTTGCATGAGTGACAAAATAACCAAGTAAGTCTAGGTCAAAAAGCTAATCACTGGCTCATGAGCAGGTAAAATGGTTGCTATCCTACATCACTAGAATTTTGGAAGTCGGTCAGATATTGTTGGATAGCTAACACTGAAATTGGTACGTAAAGATATGATACTGCCATAATGAAAAGCATCACCTTTGAAATTGGCTCGTAGACAGACTGTAGAAAAATAATGATATTAAAAAAGATTGAAGAAATGTTGAGCAAACTTTACTGGAGGCTGAAAAAAAGATAAATTCATGTTCTATAATTATGGAACAGTTAGCAAAAAGTGTTGTCTGTGCTCACCTGAAAGACAGAGAATGTATATTCAGTCAACTCATGAATTATGTTAAATAGGTGCTTCTGCTTGGGTACCTTAAGAAACTGCCAAAGAAAGCTGAACCTTGTGATATCATCACAAAACAATGTTTAGTTTGTAAGGAGAGTTTCAAGTAAATACTATATAAAGTACACAAAGCTTGTTGGGTTTGAAAATGACTGTTTCCTATTTCTAGTTTCTGCAGCTCCCAAAAGATTTGCAAAGTAAAAATTGTCTCAGGATCAAGTCAAGAGTGCCTGTGACTATATTCTTATAAATATTTCAGGCAGTGTTAACTAATTTGGTAGATTATCCTCTCAACTAAAAGATAATAAATTTGCTTTGTAACTTCAGGATGCTATTACATAGCAGCCTAACTTGGGCAAAGTATAGAGAGATCTGTGCAGAAATGAATTATAAATGCAGTTTGGCTTTTGAGATAAGCATTGAACTATATTATGATCCATAAAAACCCACAAAATTGTCAAGACACTTGTTTTGATAAATGTACCAAAAGAATTAAGAGGGGTAGAAACAGTTCAAGGTGAAAATACGTCTTTCGGCCTTCAACTTTTTATAGTTAGGAAGTTAACTGAAAAAACTGTTCAGTTGTAAACGTTGGTTATTTATAATGAAAGAGGGATTTCTTGGTGAGGAGGTAAGAGGGGTAGTCTGTATTAGGGACCTATATGTAAGAATAGAAATGACATTGTTTTAAAAAAATTTCTATCCCTGGATTAAGGGAACCTGACAACATGTACCCATTTGGATTTCAGAGTTGCTGTCAACCATTGACTACAGTGTACCTCCTATCCTCCCATCTTCTCCTCTTTGAACAAAAGTGTTTTTTGAAGTTCTTTCTCCCGATTTCATCACTAAATATTGGGGGTGTTGGGGCAGATAACTTGTCTTTTTAGTTCCCAGGTCTTTGGATCAGGAGAAGGTACCTGAGAGCTGCACCCAAGGAACCTTATTTGCTTCAGGAGATGACTCATGAGAAAAATGGATGTCAAGCCTGATGCCATGATTGGATGAGACTTTTGGGGTCTTGGGAGGGGGTGAGTCTGTTTTGCATGTGGGAGGTATGTGAATTATTGTGGCCACAGGGTGGACCATACCAGATTGTTTTCAGACATGGCCACAATAACTCCTCCCATTCTTGTATGTTCACCTTTTGCAATGTGACTTTGCCATTTCTCCCTCAAGAAGTACATCTGTTTCCCCACTCCTTGAATCATAGCTGGCATTACATCTTACTTAGATCATTAAAAAGTGACCAAAGTATTATATAAGTACTAAAGCCTAGACCTCAGGAGGCCTTGCAGCTTCTGCCTAAACCTCTGGGTACACTGTCTTGAAGAAGGTTGGTCTAGCTTCCTGGATGATAAGAGGCCATATTCAACAGAAATGAGCATGTTCCAGTTAAGGCTGTCTAGACTTACCAGCCAACAGCCAGCACAAATCATGAGACTTGTGAGTGACCATTCAGCCCCACTCCAGCCACCAGATGATTATATGCACATGATTTCAAGACCAGAACGATACAGATGAACACAGCATCATGAGCAAATGGAAGGTTGATGTTTTAAGCAAGCCATTGAATTTTGAAGTGACTAATGTAGCAAAACAGAGCAAAAAAGATACAGAACACAAAAGACATTTGTGGTCCACTGAACTGATCTAATGTCATGTACTTTAAATCTCAAGAGAAGAGAAAGAGAATGGAACAGAAACAGTATTTGACAATATGTGAAGACATGATGGCTAAGAATGTCCTTGAATTGATAAGATACCAAGCACAGATTTAAAAAGTACTGTGAGCCCCAAGCAGGACAAATACAGAAAAAACTACATCTCTAAGCCTCTCAAAGTAAATCTGCCACTCGCCCCTCTAAAAAGAAACACACACAGTCTTAAAGCACTTGGAGGAAAAGATTATTTTCAAAGGAATAACAAGATTGACAGTTGAAGTTTCAGTAAAAACAGCGGAAACCAGAAAACATTGGGATATTTTTAAAGCACTGAGAGAAATTCGCCAGTGTAGGATTCTGTCCTCACTGACAGTATCTTTTAAAACTGAAGATGGAAGTCCTTTACAACAACGCTGTATGTGATGTAATGTGAACCAGGAAAATATCTGGTCAGCAACACATTGTATATTTGGCAGTGGAGTAGATGGCAGCATTTTGGCTTGTTGTGGGATTTATGTATGTGTTTTAAAATATTTTGTTGTTCACCCTTTTAACACACTGGATGTTTTATGTTTTTGTGTTCGTTAATATTGGTTATAAAAGTAATAATGCATCATCTTAAAGATAGACAATCTATATTACGTTCATTTTATACTCCTACTGATTAAAATAGTCCCTGCCATTTTTAAGCATTTACTTGTTGAAGTCAAAGCAGCTTATCAGGATAGGAAAAATATTTACCACTTAAGAATTTATTTCTTTTTTTTACTTAGGTTCAAGCTGAAGTCCCTGGATCTCCTATATTTGTGATGAGACTAGCCAAACAATCTCGTCACCTGGAGGTGCAGATTCTAGCAGATCAGTATGGCAATGCCATCTCTTTGTTTGGCCGTGACTGCTCTGTACAACGAAGGCATCAGAAGATTATTGAAGAGGCTCCTGCTGCTATTGCTACTCCAGTAGTATTTGAACACATGGAACAGGTATGTCTGTTAAATGCTTTTAATAACTGTTTTCTTACACAAAGCTACATTTCTATTTAGTTCATGTACTAATCTGAGAATAGTGGAATTTCAAAGCATGATTATGGATAATTGATAATGTTTCATTCTTGGAGGAAGAAGAAATTCTGCTATTCTCTTGGTAGGAAAATTGTCAAGGAATATTTCAAGCTCTAAAAGTATGTAATACTTTTTAAAAATATGCTAATTCAAGTACAGTAAACAAGAAAAACACATGGAGATTTTTAATCATGTTTTTAACAATTGCACAGTAAGCAAATAGTTTCATTTTGTGGATTATCAAATCTTCATATGAATTTATTCAAATCCATTTTCACCTTCAAAAGTATTTTTTTTTTAATTTTAAAAGGAGTAAAACAAAACAGTAAAATGAAACAAAACAGTAACAGGACAGTAGGAAATCCACAATCATTACTATATTGCATATTGTTACCTTCTAAATAGTTACTGACACCACCAGACCCAGGCCTGCAGTCACTGGAAGTGTCAGGTTGCTTCCCTACTTCATTTATTTCAGTTATTAGCATATCAGCCTGTGCTGTGCCTGATTGGAGGCGGATTGGGAGGGGAGCAAAGCAAAGACAACTTCCTTGCTGTTTCTCTCTGGCCAGCAGCACCTCCACCACACAAGGAGGCTGCCTGCCTTCCTTGCTGCTTCTCCCTGACCAGTAGGTCCTCCACTGGCACTCAGGGAAGTTGCATGGTGTCCTTGCCACTTCTCCCCAGCTGACAGGCCCTCCGGTGGTACACAGGGAGCCTGCACAGCTTCCTAGTATCTTTAAAGTTCTCATTCTGTATTTTTGTATGAAAACTAATTTTTGAATCACAAAATGTGCCTTGGAAATAGGTAGTTTCAGAATTTGAATGTAGTCTTTTCTGGAATCATGACTCAGTCTTTATTTTATTGAAGTAAAATGACTGAGTCTTCATTCTATTTTTTTCTTTTTTCATTTTGGTTTTTTGAGGCAGAGTTTAACTCTGTAGTTCAGGCTGGCCTAGAACTCACTATGCAGCCCAGTCTGGCCTCAAATTTACAGTGATCCTCTGGCCTCAGCCTCCTGAGTGTTGGAATTTCAGGCGTGTGCCACCACACCCAGCTTCAACTATTGTTCTCTGAATTCCAAATAAGCTAAACATGTGGTTAACCTTGTTGGACACTTATTTCCTGTGATTTGTGTATATAGTAACATATATACTTCAAATACAATATTTTAAAGAAGATACAACTTTCTGGTTATCTTTTTCATGAGTTCATAGATAAACTGGTGCCAGAGACCCAGATTCATTACTCTGTCATTTCCAAAGACAGGAATTAGCAGACTCTTTTTTCTCTCATAGGCCAAGTCCAACTTGCTGCCTATTTTTCTAAATAAAATTTAACAGGAACACATGCACTCATATGTCATCTCTGGCTGTTTTATTGCTATAGTGGTAGAGCTGAGTAACTGTGACAGAGACTGTATGGTTTGAAAAAGCCCTTTGCTGTGGGTAGCATTATCTTCACAAGTTAACTAAAAGGTTATGTTCACATTTTGTCCATGGGAGTTGGATGAGTAAGAGGACATGAGAACAAGTATATAACACAGTCTAGATGTCACACATCACTTCTGCTCACATTCCACTGAACTAAATTCAATCCTACCCAGCACAGCAGATGTTAGGAATTACAGTTACTCACTAGAATGATCATGTGCTCAGCTAAAATTCAGGAGATTCTTTACTAAAGAGAAAAGTTGCTGGAAGGCATTTAGTAATCCTTGCTTCGGTCTGTTCTTCCATATCCCTATTATCCTTATTTTGGGGCAGGTTAAGAACATACTTAACCTTTCCCCAAAGAAGACGTCCTTAAGTCCCTGATTACTGATTACTCCTATATCACCTAGAGATTCAAGATGTACATCATATCAAGATCGCAAGATGACACGCATTCTTTTCACTATGTGTATATGCAGCTCTTCTGGGGTGAGAGAGAGCTAGACGTTTTCATTCTACCCCCTAACTTTTATATATCCAGTATACATTGATAGAATAGGAACAAGATATTTGAAAAAGTGAAAAAAATACATAGCAAACACTAATCATAGGAGTTAACAAATCTTTGTGTCCATTCCCTGCTGTGGGATAGAGTGATAACCGTATACTTTCTGGCTGCCCTGGTTTTGCTCCTTGGATCTAAGTTCCTTGCCCATTGTCCTACCGGACTCCTTTGTTTTCTGAGAAGTTCTTCCTTGTTTAGTTTTCTCTGAGAATTGGGTTTTGCAAACTATGCCTACTTTGGTGGTACTTTGATAGCCTACTAGTTGTACAAATACTACACTAAGCATCAACCACCACTTTTGAAGGCCAGGCCTGTGGCTTGTTCTGAAATAAATTTCCCTGAAAAATTTAATAAGCTTCTGGGCTATCAGCTTCATACTCAGAGATTTCTTCTAGATGTAGCAACTTTTCTTCTTTTGCTTACTTGTTTGTGTGCCTGGGCCATTTCTGTCTCCTCAATTTAATGTTGACTACCTCAAGGCAAGCTGCAACTAAAGCAGCTCCCCTAATTTGATCTTTGACACTGAGTTGTTTCAGGGTGAGAATCTAATCTTGTATTTTGGGGGAAGACCAAAGTAGTTTGTTTTTTTAGCATTCTGTCTCAAATCATTCTTCTTAAGGCTTAGTTGGTGTGTTGTCGGTGTCCCATTATTATAGGGAATGGTTTCCTAAATGTCATGTCATGCCATAACAGGGAGGCCAACTGTGGTGTCTGTTTCCAGCCTGTGGTGTCTGTTTTCTTGTTATCCGTTATCCTGTTGCTGAGTAACATCCCAAGTTTTAATTTTTTAAAGAGCTCCATCCTACCTTCAGTTACTAATACTGCCTGCATTGATTAGGATACAAATTAAGCCACTATAATAAAGAGATTTTGAAAACACAGTAATGCAAATAAGGTAGAAGTTTGTTTTTATTTCCCATTTTACAGGACTGATAGGATAGTTCTATTCCAGGAGCAGTCTTGGGATTGGAGTTCTTTCTATTTTGCTTTTCCATTCTTACTATGTTTTCATATTTAGGGCTAAGACTGGCTTGCAATACCATCATGTTATTCCACTGTATAAGAAGGACAAGTCAGAATTGGAAGATAGGGAATTTTCTTTTCAAAATATGATTCAGTTTTATGTATTACTATCAAAATTAGTCACTGGCTAAGAAAGATTGCAAAATCCTCCCATAGCTGATGGCCACATTTGTAGAAGGGATAGGAGGGAAAATACTGGGAATACTGAAAACTAGAGGATAATAAGTGTCTTCCATTATGGGTTTGTTGCCAATCTCCCTGATCCCCACTTGAATATCCTTATTATTAAGGTTGTGATCTGAAGTGACTTTTCTCTTAGCTTTTCTTTAAGTCTGTCATCCATGTGTAGGATACTATATAATTATCAGAAGAGGTGAGATGTGTCCAAATGTGGCTAAAAGCATTTGGGTGCTCTTACAAACACTGGACAATTGATTCGGGGAGAACCTGATGATAGTTGCAGTAATCAAGCAGCTAGACAAGTTAATCTTAATCTCTGTTTATCTTTCTTTGAGTGTGCGGTGAAACTTGCCAAAATGGTGGGTTATGTGAGTGCTGGAACTGTGGAATATCTGTACAGCCAGGATGGCAGCTTCTACTTTCTGGAACTGAATCCTCGGCTACAGGTGGAGCACCCTTGTACAGAAATGGTGGCTGATGTCAATCTCCCTGCAGCACAACTCCAGGTGAGTCACCCTGACAGGGCTCGAGTTAGAGCCAAGAGAAATTAGGAATGTGAGAGATGCCTGAAAAACTGGTTTAATCAGCTTCTGATAAGAGAAAAGCACCTCCTATGAGAGTTATACTTTATATTCATTTCTCTTACTCTTTGAGGTTATACATGTGAGGGCAGGTTTCCTTATGTTGTACAAACCTAAGAATATTATTGTATTTTCTGTCCAGATACATCTACTGTGCATAGTTCTATTTTAGCATAAACTTTTAAAAACAATATGTTTTGTTCAATTGTTTAATTATACTAAACTCTACAACATTATAATTAGCCTCTATTCCTTTTTCCTGTGTCTTTTATTGAAGTAACTGTATCAGAGTGGTGTTTGTGGCTTTTTTTTTGGCAGACTGTGATTACAATTCCACATGTTTATTTTTTAAATTATAGAATAATTGCCATCAATCTTGTCTTCTCTCATCACAGGAAATAAATACAGTGGGACATAGTAGTAATTAATGATAAAGTTTGATAATGTTTTTATATAATACCACTAAAGTCTAAAGACTTATTTACTTCTTTCAGTGTTTTAGGGGCGTGGGAATGATAATTATAATCTTGTTAAGACTTTGTAGTTGTCTGAACATCTTCAGTAGCCAGGATTGCTGACTTTTCCTTTGGATATTTTCATTCTCAGTCTTTCAAGGAGAAATGCCACAGATGGAAATGTGTGTCTATTAGATGATGAATGTAGAAACACTTCTAGCAATTTATCTGTAGGGATATACTCAGTTTTGAGTAATTTAGGATTAATGATTATAGAATACAGGATATAAAAATAGAATGTTTTAGGTAGTGATTCCAAAAATGAAAAATCTCTTGGGTTATCTGATAGTCTCCACACTTTAAGGAAAATAACAGTGAAAAATGAATGATGTGTGTTGTGTTATCTTTCAGATTGCCATGGGGATCCCTCTATTTAGAATCAAGGATATACGGATGATGTATGGGGTATCTCCCTGGGGTGATGCTCCTATTGATTTTGAAAATTCTGCTCATGTTCCTTGCCCAAGGGGTCATGTTATTGCTGCCCGGATCACTAGTGAAAATCCAGATGAGGTAACCCATCACTTAAAGGGTTTATTCCTTTTTTTCTTCATGAATTTTAATATTAAGGTAGTATTTGAGGGCATACTTCTGAAATATCTTGGGGCTTCCTCTGGAGAGGTAAATTTTCTTTTTATTAATACATGTTTACAGTACATAATGATTATAGTTATTGTGGGGAGTTCCTACATGTGCATAATACATTTCATTCTCTCTCTGTTTCTCTCTCACATCTTCTATCTTTCCTTTCCCTCCTATTCCTTCCAACTCTTGGTCCCCTTCTAGAGAGGGAAATTTATATAGGCTTCTGAGAACAGATAAGTGATCATTGCTTTACTTATCATCGAATCCCACTTAAGTCACTATAAAGTCCTCAGTGTGTTAGTACCTTTGGGCCTTGGCCTTTGTGGATTTTCTGTTTCATTTCTGCAACTGTTTGTAATTAACATGGAGCCTGAATATGGAATATATCAGTGTTTGGTTCCTTGGAGTTATAATGCAGTTTCTCTTATTATTCACTCTCTAATAGGGTTTTAAGCCAAGCTCAGGAACAGTTCAGGAACTAAATTTCCGTAGCAACAAGAATGTTTGGGGTTATTTCAGTGTTGCTGCTGCAGGAGGACTTCATGAATTTGCTGATTCTCAGTTTGGTCACTGCTTTTCCTGGGGCGAAAACAGAGAAGAAGCAATTTCGTAAGTATAATGACATTTGATAGCATTTTATAAAATCAGTTTGTGTTAATACTCAATGAAGAAAATGAGCATAAAATAGAAATCATTTCTTGGGAGCTGGGAATTTAGCTCAGCAGCATAAGCACCTGCCTTGTAAGCAGGCGGTCGTGAGTTCGATCCCTGGTACTGGTAAAAATGAAAAAGACAAAAAAAAGAAAAGAAAAGAAGAAGAAGAAGAAATCCTTTCTTGGCTTTCAAAGTACTACTATGGAAAACCTTTTTGAAGAAATGTATCTTTGTTCTAGAATCATGTTATATTAAATTATGCATTATTTGGCAGATGTTTTTCTATTGTTCTGGGCCCATTCATTTGTTTATTGGAGGTTATGCTTTTTGAAGCCGAGTCTCACTCTATAGTACAGCTTGGCCTTAAAGGCTTGCCTTGAGCTGTTGATAGTCATCCTTAGGCCTGGGATTACAAGTATGCATGTACCACCATGCCTGACTTACAGAATCATGCTTCAAAGGTATCCTGTTTTGTTTTGTTTTTTACAAAAACATTGTTATGGTAGAAGGTAGATTCTTGACCAAGAGTATAGTATCAAATAAGTTATAGATAAGTATTTGTTACCAAAATAAAGGTATAGCTATAATTTTATTATTTTATTTTATTTTTTATAGTGGTGATGATCCCTCAGCCTGAAGGTCCATCTGTGAATGTGACTTTAAAAACTTTGGGTGGCTGGTATTGTAGCTCAGTAAAGGGGCACCACTTGGCTGGCATGTATGAGTCTTTAAGTTCCATACTCACCACTGTAAAAAACAAATGTATATATATTAGGACGTAGAATTTGGATGAGCGGGGGCTGGGGATCTAGCTCAGCGGCATAAGCGCCTACCTTGCAAGCAGGCAGTCGTGAGTTCGATTCCTGGTACCAATAAAAAACAAAAAAGCCAAAAAAAAAAAGAATTCGGATGAGCACAACTGCCTTGGTTGTGCTCCGCAGCTTCCAGTAAATCTCCAGTAGTCAGAGTCCTGGGCCACGACCATAGCAGCATCCCATTCCACGATAAAGAATGAAGTCATTACAAAAAATCTAAGTATCACCATGACCAGGAGTTGCCAATGAAGGAAAAGGTAGTTGCTATAGAAGAAGGTCATAGCTGCACAGCTAGACCAGACAAATTTAAAGATGGCAAAGGCTAGTGTACTGTCTTTGAAACAGTAAAAGCCCAAAATGCTAACCAGTTGAGTATTAAAGCAACTGTCTCCCAGTCCCAACAAAAAATTCAGACAATGACAGCTTCTTTACTGGGCTTGATGTGAGCACTGCTACTGGTTCCCTGCATAGGTGTGATAGGTGCATCTCCATGTGATGCTCCACAAGTTAGCCTAGAATAACATTCAGAGAAACTGGGGGATGCTGAAAAGAAAAAAAAAAAGAAGAAGTAAAAACTCTGTGTGTTTATAGAATATGTATTAGCTACTTTCTGTTGCTGAGATACAATACTCAACACTCTGAAGTTAAATTAAAAGAAGTTTACTTTGGGTCACAGTTCCTGTGGCTTTGGTCTGTGGTAAAAAGGCTTCACGGCTTGATGGTGAGAGGGGATAGTGGAGAAATACTGCAGTGACAACCATGGGAGCCAGGGGCGGAAAACATCCCCACTGACCTACATTCCCACGCCGGGCTCCACCTCTGAAACATGAGGTTTGGGAGACGTTTTAGATATAAACCATGACATTCTTCACTGTACCCCGAAAAGGCTCATGTGCATTTCATGTAAAATGCATTTAGCTAATTTTAAGAGTTGCCAATGTTTTAACAGTTTCAACATAGCAAGAAAAGTCTAATTTCAAAGGCTCCTGAAACTCAAGATGAACTCTTAGTTGTGAGCTCCTGTAAAGATTCTTAAAAAGTTAAATATTTCTTACCCCAAATGGAGACATAAGGATAAAAACTAATGTGACAAAAGCCAAGACCAGAACTAAGTAGTTCAAAAACTAAATTCTGTAACTCCATGACTAGAACTCAGAGCAGGTGGTGGTGATCTGTGAATTCCCAAGAAAGTTCCCTTTCTCTTGAGCTCAGAGGAATGAAGCAATTCTTTATTTTTTTATCCCCCCCCCCCCTTGAGACAGGGCTTCATTATTCTGGCAGTATAGACTGGCCTTGAACTCACATTGTAGCCCAGGCTGGCCTTGAACTTGCAGAAATCCTTCTGCCTCAGCCTCCTGAATGCTGGGGTTTCAGGCATGCACCATCACACCTGGCAGCAGTTCTTTAAAATGATTGAAAAACACTAAAATATTTGTTTCTAAAACCAAGTGTATTCTGCTTTATCCCCAGAAATATGGTTGTGGCTTTGAAGGAACTATCTATTCGGGGTGACTTTCGAACTACAGTTGAATACCTGATCAAATTGTTAGAGACTGAAAGCTTTCAGTTGAACAGAATTGATACTGGCTGGCTGGACAGACTGATAGCAGAAAAAGTACAGGTGTGTTTTTCTTCTTGCCTTAAATATCCTCTGTGATTAGTAGGCTGGAGGTGTATTTAGTCTCTGTCACTAGGTGAAATTTTAGGACTCTAATATCTATTTGGAGGAACAGGAATGATTTTAGGCACTATTTGAATCCTTGTGCCAGGCTAGAAATGTAGGTGGAGTGGTAAGATGCTTGTGTATCATTATAAGGCCATGAGTTTGATCTCTAGCAGAAATGAACAAATAAAATGATAGTACCTGTGCTGCAGAACTACTTTATATGTTGTAGTATTACTTCCCACTGTGTACTTGAAGAGAAGTATGCAAGGACTGGAATACTGCATTAACTTTATTCATTGACATTCGGTCTGTCTGAATCAGAGCTAGCAGTTTCCATATCTACTAAGTGTTAATGAAATCAATGATCATATCTTGGTGCTGAAAGCTGGGCTATTCTGAAAGACCAAAACTTTTGTATAAAATTATTAGATTCATATAAATTGTCTAAATGTCAAGATTTTGACTGTCTACCATTTTTATTTAAGATTATCAGTAGTCAAATCTTTGAACCTTTTAAAATTTATTTTGGACAAAAATTTATTTTTGAGCTGCTCTCAAAGTAAGTGTGTTTGATTCTGGGGCGTATCAAAAATCAGTCAGGCAATAATGATGAAGATAGCTCTTCATTATGATTTATAACAAACTTGAGCCTAATTTCACTTTTGTGGCTGTGATGTTAAGTGACTATGCCTTTGATGTGTCCTCTTTTTCTTCCTTTTAGGCAGAACGACCTGATACTATGTTGGGAGTCGTGTGTGGGGCTCTCCACGTGGCAGATGTGAATCTGCGGAATAGCATCTCCAACTTTCTTCACTCCTTAGAACGGTAGAGTTTCTTTTTTTTTTTTTTTTTTTTTCCTTTTTCCTTTTTATCGGATACCGGGGATCGAACTCACGACTGCCTGCTTGCAAGGCAGGCACTTATGCTGCTGAGCTAAATCCCCAGCCCCTAGAGTTTGTTTCTTATGGGATATATAAGCTAACCAATGTTCCTGAATATAGGATTGCCATTCAGACAGCTGTTTATTTTTCTATTCCTTCCTGGTAGCTTGGAAAAGCTATTTTTTATTCATGGATTGGTGGCAAGGAAAAGAGAAAAGATACAGTAATTCACGGCAAATTATTTTAGGACTCTAACTCCAGATTCTAGAAAATAGCTTATTCCACAGGTGAAACAGGTTGCTCTTTTAAAACTGAAATCCAGCTGTAGTAAACATTCTGTTGTGTGCAAGCATCAAAATTCCCCAAACCTTTGTGATAAAGATCTTACATTTCTCCCTTCATTGAACCCTAAATATATCATGTATTGTTTATATCACTTCTCAGGAATTAATAATTGAGGCTGCTACTCAGGATGACCTCACAAGTCTTTCAATTGAAAGGTCAGACATATATGGGGCTCAACTAATTTCTAACACTCATTCTGGAGACTAAGCTCTGCCTTTGAATTTCCTGAAGAATTGATGAAAGAGCCAAGCATATTAAAACACTTCAATCACTTTATTTCTTTCTCTGTTGTTAGACTTGTATCAACTCCCTTTTAAAGTGTCTGAAAGGAAGAAAAGAAACACAATTTTGAAAATTGAACGGAGATTGCAGTTACTCAAACACTGTGATAAATATCTTTTACTATGTTACTCTCAGCATGACTTTCAACTCCATCAGTACTTTGTCCCCCCTTTTTGTTTTTTGCACTGGGGATCAAATTCACAACCTCCTGCTTGTCAAGCAGGCACTTATGCTGCTGAGCTAAATCCTTGTCCCACTTTGTCCTCTTTTTACCAGTGTAGTCTTTCTTATTATTATTCTTAAATGTAAAATCTCTGTTAAGGGGTGGGGATTTAGCTCAGCAGCATAAGCACCTGCCTTGCAAGTGTATGGTCGTGAGTTTGATCCCAGGTTAAAAAAAAAAAAAAAAAAAAAAACTGTTAAATCATTTCCTCTTGATGCACAAATGTGTCACATACAATCTCTTCTGCAAGTCATCCCCCACTTTGATGTTCTTATTTTTTAATTTATTTTTAAAACTTGCATTATTTGAAAGTTGTTTATTTTTATTTTTTAATTTTTAAATTTATTTGGTACTAGGAATCGAATTCAGGACCTATAGGATTATGCTGTGCTACTGAGTTATACCCCCAGCCCAACTTGTTTGTTTTTATAACTTAAGTTTTCAAGAGCTGCATAAATAGCATTTATCACTTTTAATCGGTACCGGGGATCAAACTCACGACCATGTGCTTACAAGGTAGGCGCTTATGCCACTGAGCTAAATCCCTAGCCCCACTTCTATATACTCTTCACCCAAATTCAGCAATTACTGTCAACTTGCCACTGATGACTTATCATTCTTTCTCTTTACTAGTTTTTTCAGATTTTGTTTGTTTATTTTTAAGAACAGATAGAATATTCACATGCTTCAGAGTTCAAAAGGTGCAAAAAGACATGTAATGAAAATCTCCTTCTTACTTGTATTCCTTGGCCACCCAGTTTCCTCCCCTTTTAATCAGTCCATGTTGTGGAGACATGTATCGTATGTGTTTCTTTTACTCCCAGGTTTTTAAAAATGTAAATAGTTTCTTCAAATGTAAATTTTTCTTTACCTTGTTTTCTTTCATTTAATGGTATAGTCTAGTGTTTCATAAGAGTACATGGGGGCTGGGGATTTAGCTCAGCAGCATAAGCGCCTGCCTTGCAAGCAGGCAGTCGTGAGTTTGATCCCTGGTACCAATAAAAAGACAAAAAAAAAAAAAAGAGTACATGAAAAACTTCTTTCTTTTTAATGGCTGGTTATTGTAATAAATATGAGGAGATGTTTAACTAAGCTAAGAAGGGGAATACAAATCAAGACCACCATGAGCTATTACCTGAACCCATTAGGATGTCTGCTATAAAAAACAAAAACAGAAAATTACAAGTATTGGAAAAATTGGGACTTTGATGTTCTCTTGGTGGGAAGGTAAAATGGTGTAACCACTATAGACAACAATAATAAAATTCCTCATGAAATTAAAAGTAGAATTATGATATGATCTGGGATTACCATTCTGAGTATTACCAAAAAATTGAAAATGTAATCACAAATAGATACTGTCATGTTAATAGCAGCATTATTTACTGTAGCTGAAAGGTAAAAATATCTCAAATGTCCAGTGACAAATAAAGGAGTAAATAAAATGAAGTGTATACCTAGCAATGGAATATTATTTAACTTTAAAAAAGAAACCATTCTGACCTAGAATAAACTATGAATGAGGGTCGGGGATATAGGTTAGTATTAGTATGCTTGTGTAACATGTGCATTTCCCTGTAGTGCAAAATCACACACACACACACCAAGAAAAACCAGGAAGGTATGGATGAATCCCAGGTTCTCAGGAGGCTGAGGCATAAAGATCACAAGTTTGAGACTTGGAAGAATTTAGTGAGACTCTTGGGGCATAGCTCAGTGCCCCCTGGGTTCAGTCTTCAGCATCAAAAACAAGCGAACATGAACCTTGAGGATATTAGGCTAAATGAAATAGCCACATAAAAGACAAATACTATATAATTTTACTTATATGAAATCTCAAGTGTAATCAGTCTCATAGAACATGTGAGCGTCTAGGGGAAGGAGGCATTAGGAAATAGTTGTTGGGTGGTTATAGAGTTTTGATCTTGCCTGATGAAAAAGTTCTGGAGATTGGTTGTACAGTAATGTAAATATACTTAACACAGTAGAACTACACATTTAAAAATGATTGAGCTACTACATTTTGTTATGTGTATTTTATCTCAATAAGTTTCATTATATGGTTTTTACATAATTTTATGTTATCACTTTGCTGATAGTCATTTAGGTTGTTTCTCATCTTGCTATTTCAGGAAATGCCACCACCAAAAATCTTTGAGATTACTTTATAAACCATTAAAACTTTCTAGAAGTACTTTTTTTATTTCAGGGGTCAAGTCCTACCTGCTCATACACTTCTGAACACAGTAGATGTTGAGCTTATCTATGATGGAATCAAATACGTACTTAAGGTATGCAAACCCCACAGAAGACTGCACCTTCATTTTTGCCTCTGTCACCTACTTCTCTTTAGAGATAAGAAAAAAAATTGGTTAGTGTAAGGGATGGAGGTGTTAGTGAAATTACAGTCATTATTTGTGTGAATGGCTGAAGCAGTATTTGATGAGTCTGTGAAAGTGTTTTACTGGTTTTCAATCTCACATTAAAGCTGAGAAATAAAATGGGAATAGGGAACAGCCAGAGCACGGAAAAGCTAAAGTAGCCTTATTTACTTTACCAGGATAGATCCATGGCTGATAGATGCTGATGCAAATAGCACCAGGGCCCTGAATTTCCTTCTATCTTTTTACATGTATCTCGAAATATGGAAATTTTGTTTGGGGCTCTGCCTAGAAGGAATATACTAACTTATCCCTGCTGATTTGTATTCATTACAGGTAACTCGGCAGTCTCCCAACTCCTACGTGGTGATCATGAATGGCTCATGTGTGGAAGTTGATGTCCATCGGCTGAGTGACGGAGGACTGCTCTTGTCATATGACGGCAGTAGTTACACCACATACATGAAGGAAGAAGTTGATAGGTGCGTGACTGAGTGCTGGCCATTGTATTAATTTTTATTCTTAGTATTGCTAGTTTATAGGATTTTTCTAGCCCCTACCTGTAGCAGTACTGGGTATTTAATTTTTATTTTGACAGGGTGTCATTAAATTGCCCAGGTTGTCCTCAAATTTGTGATCTTTCTGCCTCAATCTTCTGACTAGTTGGGACTACCGTTATGCACTGCCACGCCTGGCTAGTGTACTCATTTTTATTTAAAAGTATATATATTTCAGTGTTGCAGAAATGTTTACAATAGAAAACATACCAGAAGCTGGATATGCTGGTGCACACCTATAGGTGCTTGGGAGGCTGAGGCAGGAAGCTGGCTTGAATGCAGGAGTGTGGGGCCATCGTAGGCAAAAATTTCATTTATTGAGGGAGAGGAAAAGAAAGAAAACAAGTTTCCCTACCACTCTGATGTGAATGGATAATAAAAAATCTATACGTCACTGTGCTGGGTTTTTCTTTTCTTTTCTTTTGGTTTTTGAGATAGGATCCTGCTATGTAGTTCAGACTGGGCTTGAACTCACTATGTAGCCCAGGCTGGCCTCAAACTCACAGTGATTCTCCTGCTTCAGCTTCCTATGTGTGCACCACTGTGCCTGGCCTTTGTATTTTTTTAAGTAAAGGTGACTGTCATTTTATGACTATATAGTACTTCCTTAAATGAATATACCAGGGTTTATTCTGACCCTTATTGGAGAATATTGTAAAAATGACACAAAAATGTCCTCTGTATGTTCATGTATTGAATAAAGCTTTTTGGTTTTTGGTGTTTTTTAAGAATGATATTCTCTGCTCTTCCTCTATTTATCCTGAAGTACCTTATTAGCTCACGTCTCCCATTTACCTCCTAGATACCGCATTACAATCGGCAATAAAACCTGTGTGTTTGAGAAGGAAAATGACCCATCAGTATTGCGTTCACCTTCTGCTGGGAAGTTAATCCAATACATTGTGGAGGATGGAGGCCATGTGTTCGCTGGGCAGTGCTATGCTGAGATTGAGGTCAGGGTGATGAATAGACTGTTCGTTCATGGGAAGGAGTATAGGAAAAGGGTTAGCTGGAATAAACTCAAACAAAAATAACAGAAGGAAATAAAAAAGAAAACACCAGTTGGTTTAATTCAGGTTGTGAACCTTAAATTTTTACAAACAAAAAGCTCACAGTTTTTCCTTGACAAATGAAGAAAATCTGGCCCTAAAAATAGATACTAGGCAATAACACTTACTGAATATTAAGTGTTGTGCCAACTGCTAGCTATACAGAAAACATGGTAGGTGGAGTTGGCACAAAGCAAACAGTTGCTGAAATGTGATGAATTCTGAGAGAACAAAGCACAAGTGCACAGGAATTCCTAACCTGAGTTGAGGCTATATAGTAAGGGAAGACACCTGAAAGAGGGCACATTTGTTCTAAGTTTTGAAAGACAGCTAATGCTAGATCAGGTGAAGAAGGTCGTGTGAGAGTGTTTAACGTTAAGGGGACATTGTGTATAAAGGCACAAAAATAAAGAATGTTCTATAGTTAGGAGCTAAAGAAGCTGTGTGAGGCCTTGAATGTAAGGTCGTGAAGGATCATATTTGCTATACCAGTAAGTTTAGACAGTCCTGAATGTAGTGGGGAAATCACTCTGGAGGATTTCAGGCTGAAAAGTGATCTAAGATTTGGCCTCCTGAATGATTGTTTTTGGGGACCTTGTTGGAAGTAGATAGCAGGTAGAGAAATCTTTTAGGAAAATTTTGAAGTAAAGTACTTTAAACCAGAAATGAGTAGCACCTAAACCAATGCCGTGGCAAAAGATTTTTAAGAAGAATTTAGAACATGTGCCTGGCTAGGGTTGACTAGTAGATGAAAGCAAGAAAGAAATGAAGAGTAGTCCTTAGGTTTTAGCCTTCTGGGTATCTTAGGGTAGACATTCTGAGAGTACCATGTCCATTAGTATGAGGAGGCCAAATTGTTCATCACTTCTAAGTACAAAATAAGTAAAATCACAAATTGTTGCAAAAGTTAGAAATAGGTGAGCTGTTAGTAACTCATTAATATTTAAAGCTATATTCTAACATGTTCTAATTTCTCACCTTTGGAATCTGTAGGATACTTTGATAAGATTCCCACTTCTGGGGGTTCATGAGTTAGATTTACCTGCTAAGGGAAACACTGATCTCTTTAAAATATTCATTTACCTAAGGAGAGATTAGATTCTAATTTATGTATTTTCCATTGTAGGTAATGAAGATGGTGATGACCGTAACAGCTTCTGAATCTGGCTGCATTCATTATGTCAAGCGACCTGGAGCAGCTCTTGACCCTGGCTGTGTAATAGCAAAAATGCAATTGGACAACCCCAACAAGGTTCAGCAGGTGAGGAGAAAGGGACTGTTGCCTTCAAAAGCTAAAGAACATTGTGGGGTGGGGAATGGGGGGGGTTGTACTCAGTTTGCCGGTTTTTGTTTTTCTTTACTTACATTCTTTTTTTTCCCCTCTGATTTTATGTCTTGTATTTATGCTGATCATATTGTGGAATTAGAATTTGCAAGAATTAATTTAACATGGGGTGGGGATTTGGCTCAGCAGCATGAGTGCCTGCCTGGCAGGCACAAGGTCATGAGTTTGATCCCTGGTACCCCCCCCATAAAAATTAATTTAATAATTCAAAGATGCTGTAATTTTGCTGTTTTGCTTCTTCTACTGCCTTCTTTCATAGTAGGTAGGTGTGCTGAGGAGATGCCTTGATTTTGAATGATGGCTCCGAGGCGCGGTGGTGTTTTTGTGCCTGAATAGAAGTTAATGAATGACAATTTCTTGTTGGAATTGACAGGCTGAGCTTCACACTGGTAGTCTGCCACGGATCCAGAGCACAGCACTTAGAGGCGAGAAGCTCCATCGAGTGTTCCACTATGTCCTGGATAATCTGGTCAATGTAATGAATGGATACTGCCTTCCAGATCCTTTCTTTAGCAGCAGGGTATGCATTAACTCTCTTCTCCAAAATAAAGTATCTTGAAGATTTTGTAGAGGGATAGAAAAAAGCTGGTGTAGAATTCTCCCACTTTTTAGTTTGGGGATGCAGTCTTTAAATCCTTGCTTCTTAGCTTTGTCAGAAATTTCACATTTAGTTGGGATTATTCCTTTTAAAACAGAGAATAGGCGCTGGGGATTTAGCTCAGGGGCATAAGTGCCTGCCTTGCAAGCAGGCAGTCGTGAGTTCGATCCCTGGTACCGATAAAAACAAAAAAGACCAAAAAAAAAAAAACCAAAAAAAAACAAAGAAAGAAAAACAGAGAATAAAGCCAGTATTTGATGTTTACTCTGCTTTTTTTTTGGTGAGACAAAGTCTTGTTCAGTATCTTGGCTGGCCTTGAGCTCACTGTGTAATCCAGGCTAACCTCAAACTCATACCAATCCTGTCTCAGCCTCTTGAGTGCTCGGATTACTGGGGTGCACTGTCACCCTCAGCTACTCAGCAATATTAAAGTAAATATTATGTGATAGTGATTTTGGATACCTCATTTTATTAGGGAAATTATAACTTTAGATCCTATTTTCTGTTTTTTTTCCTCAGGTAAAAGACTGGGTAGAGCGCTTGATGAAGACCCTCAGAGATCCCTCCCTGCCTCTCCTTGAATTGCAAGATATCATGACCAGTGTCTCTGGCCGTATCCCTCTCAATGTGGAAAAGTCAATCAAGAAAGAAATGGCTCAATATGCTAGCAATATCACATCAGTCCTCTGTCAGTTTCCCAGCCAACAGGTATTTATGGGCAGCACTACTGTTTTCCACTGAAGGTCATGTTGTGGAATTCTGTTCTGGTTAGATCCTCCTTACTGTCTGGATGTTGGCTTTTATAATTTTAAGCATTGAGTCCTCCAAACTACCTCAGGATATAAACTCAATAATGAAAGCAGTATATATGAAATATAAAGCATCTTGTGTGAGAAAAGCATGCTTTGGCTATGTGATCCATTTAACTTTGTTCTTAGGGATGTTCGCTAATTAGACATGTATTCATAAATATAAAGTGAGAGACATAATGATAATTCTATTATCAGAGCTTCTTTACTTCCTTAGCAGTATTCTTAACCCCTACCTATATTCTTTCCTCCTCTCTCCAACTCTTTTTTTTTTTTTTGTGGTGACTGAGATTAAACCTAGGACTTCATGCATGCTAGGCAAATGCTCGGTTACTAAGTTACATTCCCAACCACTTTGCCTGTAAAGTAGATTTACATAGGGAGTAAAGTTGGGCAAGTGAGAAGTAAAACTTGGGTTTCAATTTAAATAGATCTTGTTTGTCAGAGCCTCCGAGTAGATGGTAGTGTTTGTGGTGTTGTCATAATTCCATTGGCATCAAAGAGTCAGAAGAATAAAAAGTTGCTTGCTTATTATGTTAACCCCTAAGCTATGCCTGGTAACTTCTGGCTTCTGCCAACAGGTTAAAGGTAGGAACTGGTGTTTTACTACTAAGAAGATTCTTAGTAATGGTGCTACCACTGATGCTTTGGGTCCTTTGTTAGATTGGGCTTTATTTACTTATTTTTTCTTATGCCTTAGATTGCCAACATCCTAGATAGTCATGCAGCTACATTGAACCGGAAATCTGAACGGGAAGTTTTCTTTATGAACACTCAGAGCATTGTTCAACTAGTACAGAGGTAATCAATATGTAACTCCATGTTCCTGCCTGCACCTATCTTTCTTTTAAATGGTCATGAAGAATATTCCCTCAGATCTGACTTTGAGAAATTAGAAAGCACTTTTTACTTCAGAAGGTACCTTATCTTTTTATTTATTTATTTATTTATTTATTTTTAGTCTTTTTCGTTTTTATCGGTACCAGGGATCGAACTCACGACCGCCTGCTTATAAGGCAGGTGCTTATGCCGCTGAGCTAAATCCCCAGCCCCGGTACCTTATATTTTTAAAATATCTTACGATTGGGACCTAACTCTGATACTCAGTTTTTTTTTTTTCAATACCAGGGATTGAACTCATGACCTTACGCTTTCCAGGCAGGGGGTTATGCCACTGAGCTAAATCCCTGACCCAATACTCAGTATTTCTGATCTTTTAATATTTTTCCATCCATCATTAAGGCAGTGAAATTCTGTTGTTTCTTTGATGAATATTGCAATTTTCCTTCTGACACAGGACTTAGAATCACATATATTCTTGTTTTGTTTTGTTTATTTTTTTTTGAGACATAGTCTCACTAGGTAACCCAAGCTGGCCTCAAACTCATAGCAATCCTCCTGCCTCAGCCTCCTGAGTGCTTGGATTACAGGAGTGCACCACCCTTCATAGCTATTGTTTCTGGTTTAAAGAACCAGTTAGACTAAAGGGCTATTCATAGAGTATTTTCAACTTTAACACAGTATACTGAAAAATTTTTCAGAAGTCTCTGTCTTTTCAAGGGTGTGGCAGTAATTTCAGCCTGGCAATGGGAACTGAATCAGAATGATAAATACAAGTATGGAATTTTTAAATTTTGTTTTTATTTTCCTTTTCTCTTATTTTTTATAAAAGACCTCATTTGTAGTAAGGTTACTTTTAGGCTTGGGATTTAAATTCATCTGTTTGGTTAATTTTAGGTTTGTCCCTATCCTGCCGTATATTCAGAAGAAAAGCTGTTCAAGGGAAAAATCTAGAAAGTAAATTTGGCCTTTGGGTTTATTATTTAATACTGTTGACCTGTTGATTTTTTTATTGGAAACTTTTTCTGTCTGCCTAGATACCGAAGTGGCATTCGAGGCCACATGAAGGCTGTGGTGATGGATCTGCTCCGGCAGTACCTGAAAGTAGAGACACAGTTCCAGAATGGTAAACTTCCTCTTGAGGAGTCTTTTTCTAGGGAAATTTGCAGTTCCAATGACCAAACCAGACTACCCCTGTAGGACTGTGTCACTTCCTTTTTTATGCGTGGGTGTGTATTTTGAGGATCTTGCTTTGTAGTCCAGGCTTGCCTCAAACTTGTGCCTCACCTGCCTCAGCCGCTGTAGTGCTGGGACTACACGTGTGCCCCTCCATTCACTGCTGCATTATAAACTAAACTGCCATATTCCATTGGCACCAAAACAGCTTGAGAAACTGTGAATTCAGTGTTCTTCTGATAGAAGTCTAAGGTAATTTTTTGAGCAGAGATTAGTATTTTCCATTGACATCTTCCTGACTTTAAATGAAATTGGTTGAGTCTTTACTAGGCTGAAATAGAAATTTCTTGATGGACTTGCCTCTCAGAAGTAATCCAACCACAGGCGTATTGGAAAGGCTCTGATTTTCCACTACTCTTTTGTGAATCATTTAGGTGGAATTTGTATCAGGCTTTCTCTTCAGAGCTTCCCTGAATGATGATATATAGTCTAAGTGAAAAACTCCTTGGCTGTTTTAAAGCTGTGTACTGTTGGTATTGCTTCCTGCCACAAGATGGCAGTGAAACACCATGGAATTTGAAATAGTACCTAAAACTGTTTTCTGTTTTGTTGCCTTTTACAACGTATTACAGCTAAGTTGGTTTATTCTCACTAATGTAAAGTTGTTTAGTTTGGGGATAATTGATTAATTGTAACTTATCATGTTCTAATAGATTAAAGCAGGAAGAAATTTGGTCATCAACTCAGACAGAGGAAAAGAGCATTTGACAAAGTTTAGCATTCATTCATGCTAAACTTTTGTAAACTAGCAAGGAAGCAGAACTTTTATATCTTGTAAGAGGGACCCACAAAAAATCTACAGGATACATCATATATAGTGGTAAAATGTTGAAAGCATTCTTTTTAAGATTAAGACAGAAAGGGGTTTAGCTCAGCAGCACAGAGGCTCCCTAACAAGCACAAGGTCCTTAGATAATTCTTGGTACCAAAACAACAACAACAAAAAAAGAGTAAGACTAAGATATTTGCTACCACTACTTCTGTACTGGATGTCCTGGTCAGTGCAGTAAGAAAATAAGAAGTTTAAGGATTGAAGAGGAATAAGCACATAGATCTTCCACTAATACATGGATATGATGTCTTATTCATAGACTCAGAAAACCCTCAAATTTATTATTAAATTATTTAAAGTCTAACAAGGTTGCTAAATACAAATGTCAACATATAAAATTCAATTGTATTTTTTTATAGTAGAGCAGTTGCTTCAGAAAAGCAACTTAGCAAATATATCCTTCATTCATTCATGTATGTGCTGTGGTACTGGTGGTTGAACTGAGGATCTTTGCACTAAACTATATCCTCAGCCCTTTTATTTTTTGAGACAGTGTCTCACAAAGTTACCTAGGCTAGGCTCAAATTTTTAATCATCCAGTTCCTAGCGTGGTGGGATTACAGGCACATGTCTCCATGTCTGGCTTGTAATTTCATCTTTTATCAAATTCAAAAACAGGAAAAATTAAGTTGTATATTTTCTGGTGGTAAATATCAATAAAAGCAAAAAAAATGATAAATATGAAACTCAAGTTAGTAATTGCAATGAAGAACAAATAAATGTACTTAAAGATGTTCTATGAAAATTTAGTAGCTTTGGAATAATGAGTATTTAAACTGTTGGTATATATTTTCTATGTTCTGTGTATGTATATCACAATTAATAGTTCTTAAAAGGAGCAAGTGAAAAAGAGGAAGGAGATAGTAAACATCAATACTTTCTTTTTTGTTAACGTTTCCTCCTACCCCAGATAAGTATATTTTTTATTTCTTCAGTTCCTAATAATTCATAATAAAAATATATTTATGTTATCACTTCAAAACTATCTTGATAGAAGAACATATGAATTTATGGGGTCTGTGCCTAGATCCCCAATCTCCCAAACAAGTGTGTGCCCAAAGCCCAAATGAATGAGACAATGGTATGATCTTTAGGGTTCCAGGAGGACTGAAATCCTCTGCAGAGTTCTTAACTCTAGTGGCTGAGACAGACAGTATCACTAGGCATACCATATTTATTTAGTATTCAAACAAGGAAGGAATTAAAGTGGAAAAGGCAGGAAACCTGAGTAGGACCTTGGGAGGGGTTCAGAGACCCCTCCAAGCAACAGACGATGCTAATTAAGGAGAACTATCCTAGGAGAAAGTCTGCAGGGGTCCTCAGCTGTGGCCTGTCTTGCCCCCTGAGGCATCTTCTCATTATCAGTTCAGTTATGCCCAGGCCATGCCACAGCCCTGCACATGTATTCAGCTTCAACGACACCAACAATACAGGACAACCAATTTTTTTTCTTGCAGTTCTGGGAACAGATTCCAGGGCCTTATAAATGCTAAGCAAATTGTTCTACCACTGAGCTACCTTCTCAAGGAATAACAGCCTTCATTTTGCTTTAACTGGGTCTTTTTGAAATTTACAGTTCTATAGTTATTGTTGTCTGCTGCTTTTCAAATATATTTTAGCTTAATTTTTTGTTCGTTGTTTTAAGACAGACTCTCACTATGTAGGTTCAGCCTGGTCTTTAACTCATATGTATCCTAGGCTAGCCTTGAACTCAGAGCAGAACTCCTTTCTTGTAGTCCTCTTGAGTGCTAGGATTACAGAGCCTCCATACATGCATATTTTAGTTTTATTTTGAAAGAAAAAATGTGTATGTCAATCTATGATATTTAACATAGATACATGAAAGTTGCTGTGGTCCAAGTCTAGGAAATCACGGTAAGTGCAATTTGAACATCACTATTCTGGTTTGTAATTTAACATGGGGTCTGAACTGAGGTGGTAATGTTTTAGTATTTTCATAATTTCCTAAAATTCTGACTGTTAAGAATATAAACACTAATTCTTTACTCAGGAATTTAATTCGGAGGTAAGACTTTTCTAAGAACTGAATATTTCTTATATCCTATTGTATATATTACTGCCATATACCAGAACCTTATGTTAGACATAACTTTCTACCCTAGAATCAACTTGCTTCAGGTACCTTTTAGACAAACTTGATCTAAAACTTTTCCTAGTAGTTAAAGGGAATATTTTTAGTATGTCAAACATAGAACCAGAACATCAAGCTGAACTAGACCTTAAAGATCAAATTTAGTGGTACTGACATTTTTTTTTTAAGCAACAGAACCTTCTTTTCTAAGAAAATCACTTTAGGAAGCTAAATGAGAGAGGTTAGAATAAACTACTATGGGGCTGGAGATTTAGCTCAGTAGCGTAAGTGCCTGCCTGGGAAGCGCGAGGTTGTGAGTTCAATCCCTGGTACAAAAAAAAAAAAAAAATAGAAAAACTACTATGGGGTTGGGAGTTCTTCCCAAACCCTCTGTCTCTAAAGCACATCCTGTCTCCAATTATTTTATTTTATCTTACTTGGTTTGTTGTGTTTTTTTGAGACAGAGTCTTGCTATATAGTTTAGGCTAACCTTTAACTCATTGCGTAGCCTTGGCTGGCATCAAACTCACAGTGATTTTTCTTGCCTCAGCCTCCCAAATGCTCCAATTATTTTATTTTATCTTACTTGGTTTGTTGTGTTTTTTGAGACAGAGTCTTGCTATATAGTTTAGGCTAACCTTTAACTCATTGCGTAGCCTTGGCTGGCATCAAACTCACAGTGATTTTTCTTGCCTCAGCCTCCCAAATGCTAGGAGTGTAGGTCTGCATCATTATGCCTGGCTTCCAGGTTTTTTAGTGTAATGCAGGTGAGGTCTGGAAAGACCAAATGAATTGCTACAGAGCACAAAGAAGTTGGTAACAGAGCTAGGCCTTGTGCCCAAATATTTTATTTTTTAATTTAATTTTGCAGTGTTAGCTTTTAATCTTGGGACCTTCATACTGAGCTCCCCCTTATTATTTTTTGTTTTTAGACTAGTCTCCCTAAGTTACTGTGTTGCCTGACTGGGTTCCTATTTGTTATTCTCTATGCCTCATCCTCCAGAGTACTGAGATTATAGGTGTGCACCTCCACACTTGGTTGAGCCCAGGATTTACGTGCAGATTTGTATGATTCCTAGTCTAATATTCCTTTAGTATTAGTCTAATACTCCTTTAGTAACTAATGTGCCATTTCTGTACAAATGCATCCAAGAAAATTTTTATTATGTTTTTTCTCACTATCTGGTGAATTGTGAACATTTAGAAATTGGACCAGGAATTTAGCTCAGTGGTATAAGCTCATACCTGTCAAGCACAAGGTCATGAGTTTCAATCCCTGGTATCAAAAAACAAAACATTAAGAATCTAACACATACCATGTAACAGTGAGCTTTCGTGAAGATCAGTTCTTCTTGCTGCTTACAGGTCACTATGACAAATGTGTGTTTGCCCTTCGTGAAGAGAACAAAAGTGACATGAACACTGTACTGAACTACATTTTCTCTCATGCTCAAGTCACCAAAAAGAATCTTCTGGTCACAATGCTTATTGTGAGTATCATTTTTCAGAACCTGTAATGTTGATGATATGTGAAATGTAGTTGTTTACTTCTGGTAGCTGTGGTCAGAGGAAAAATTACTGTCTTTTATAATTATGGAGTGAATGAAGATTGGGTTTCAGACTTAGAGTTTGTCACATGTACCTTTATCTTGATCTAAAGGGACCTGCTACAATTCGAAAAGAGTTGTTTTGACTATGAGGCATATAATGTACCCAGGAACTCAAATCTCTTAACTATTTAGAAATTTCTTGTGCTTCCTCTTTCCTGTTGTCATCTTGACAGTAGCTTGCTTGCTTTATTTATTTTATGACAGTAGCTTTAAAGAAAAGTCTTTTGTAACCATTGTAGTCTTTCATCTTAATTCTTGTTTATTCCATAAATACAAGCAATGACTCTTATATTATAAAAAAACTTAGGAATTTAGTGCTGTCCCTCCCCACCAAAGAAATATAAATGTATTCTGCAATTTCTTTGACCCTTTTTTGTTTTATTTATATTAAAATCTAAGGTCAGGTTATTGTACTAGTACTAGGCATATTATTTTGCCCCTATAACCTAGTAATAAAGAATTAGTAGAAAATGAAAGTAAAGGATGAGACTTATAAATGTGAATAGGATTAATGTACATTTGACTAGGAAAGGGGCAGGAGTGTTATGTACTTGTGGATTTTTAAAGATGATCTGTAAATCCTTTACTACTTAATTTTTCTGGCTGAGTTAATTCTAGGAATCTAAGAACAATGGGACAAAATTTAGAATGTTTTACCCTACAGTCCTGAGCAGTTGTCTTTCTTTTGCATATTTATGTTTTGGTGAGACAATAGTACCTTTTTACTCTGTGAATTTTCTTTCTTATCCCTTTGTGGTACTTTAATTCCATCATTTCTTCTTAGAGGAGAAAACCCACCATAAAGCTTCACTACCATTTTTTATTTCATACTGGTTGACTGCATTGCCACTCATTCCGCTATTTGCCTACTTAGTTAACACTAAGTCACACTTTTAGACTAGCAAATTCTTAATAGATGTAATCACAGAGAGAATTCATTACCTTTCCCACCCCAAAATGACTAGATGGTGAGGAAATGGGAGATACATTTGAGAAGGGGAAAAAAGAAAACAGTGTATGAGTACCGTGGACTACTTCAACTTGCCCAAGTAACAGCTTTCAGCAAAACAATTACATAATTTTTGGCAATTTACTATTCTTTTTCTCAGTCAATGCAGGAAGAAATGTCTGACTTTTTCCCCCTCTTCCCAAATTTTAATGCAAGGATTGCTAATTCTCATTTGGATAGAGCCACGACTTTCTGGTTGAAAAGGGTAGTTATGAGAGAAACGAAATATCTGTCAGTTTGGACCTAGAATGGGATGGAATTTGCCTATATAGGAAGCTAATTATAGTGAAATTTTCATCTTGTTATGATTACCTTTTTAAGAGCTTAACAGTTTTCTGCACTAAAAATAGACCTAAGCCCAGAATCCTTGGAGTAGCAGAAGAGTAATGATCGTCTAGGGCCGTCTCTGGGTTTCTTAAATTCTAATTTGTAAGATATAGGGGCTCAGCTCGCTCCTTTTGCGGAGTGATTGTAAGTAACGCTTGCCTTAAGAATCTCATTATTGGAACACGGAGCCATATTTCCTCTGAGAATTCTGGAGTAGCGTTGAGCCAGGGCTGTTCATTTCTCAAGTAATCACGCTGGTGTGATAGAGAGAGAAAATGGCAGCTGTTCGGAGCTCAGGCCTTCAATTTTCTTCAGAGTCCAGTCACTCAAGTGTGTAATTACACAGGGGGTGCTGCAGAGGCGTTGGGCCCTGTCAGAGAACTGGTTTGAGGCTTTGCTTTCTGCTTTTACCAGCTGGGAGAGGCAGAAGCCAATAGGACCCTGACTTGGTGCTGTTCTTTTTACCCGTACCTTCTCATTTTGATTGCTTCTTACCTTCATACATGGCACACAAACTTTCTTTCCACCAGCATTTTGGGAAAAAAAAAGAGTATCTGGGTTTGAATGGAGGAGGCAGAGGAGGAGGACAATAAGGATGACAATGACAACGACTACAAAGAAGAGGTGGAAGGTTGAAGATGCAAACCAGGAAGCTGGATTTGTCCTTTCTCTATTTTGACATCTTTACATTTTTGTTTAAAAAAAAAACAAAACAAGACTCAATAAGCATAAAGTATTTGTAGGCTTGTACACCATTAATTTTTTTTCAAATATTAGTTATTTTCGCCTCATCCCAGAGATTTGGAAATCACAAAGCTAGTTGATGTGATTAAGCTTAGGGCCAGCTAGCAGTGACAAATGGATCAGGGCTAAAAATTCAGATGGCACACGTTTCTGTGATCTAATATTATTGAAGGCCAGAGCTGTCTTCTTTTCTCCTTTGACAGTGGCCAGCTGTTCTGCCTTCCCCATCATCCGCATTAATGGCAGAGCTAGTAGGAGCCATTTCAGTCCTTAGGATTACTTGGTCTTACTGTGTTTCACAGATGTCACAGGGAGATGGTAGCATTTCAATTGCCCCAGCTTGTGTTCTCTGGTTCCTCTTTCTTGCTTACCTTAGCTTTCTGATTGAGGTTTTGTGCCCAGCATTCCAATCTCTGTTTTCTAGAAGTAGGAATGTTGATGATGTGTTTTGCTGAACCATGTGATGATTTCTGTGATCTTTGGGGCTAGAAGAAGGGATCAAGAAAATCAGGCTGCTCCAGTGAGTAGGTGCCTTCATCATTCCCAGCAGTTAGCATAAATTGCCTAGTAATTTGCCTCAAGGACTCAAGCAGATTTCTAATTTTTCACCCCATATATAAAGTAAAATAATAAGTAAAATGTTAAGGTCCTGTCAGATTGTCTGGTTTTCTCTATTTGGAGAAAGTGTACCACAAAAACAAAGTCTGGGTAATAAGTAATAAATTCACTTTTTGAAAGCTCGTATGTGTGTGTGTGTGTGTGTGTGTGTGTGTGTGTGTGTGTAGAGAGAGAGAGAGGGTCCCAGTATGTAATCTAGACTGAACTTAAATTTTCTTTTTTTTTTTTTTTTTTTTTGTCTTTTTCATTTTTATCGGTACCGGGGATCGAACTCACGACCGCCTGCTTGCAAGGCAGGTGCTTATGCCACTGAGCTAAACCTCCAGCCCCAACTTAAATTTTCTAGTACCCCAAGTGCTGACATTATATGCAATCTGTCTTCTTATTTCTTAACTTTGAAATTATAGGTAAAAGTTTAGTACCGGAGGAGCATTTTTTATGTTTGCTTGGAACTATTTAAGGTACTCGTTGACTCATTATGTGGTAAAAGTAAAGTATCACAGTTATCTAGATAGTCATGCTCATAGCCTGTAACCCCTTGGATGCTACATAGTCTCACCCTTAATTAATTGCTTATGTCTTAGTTGTATACAGTCCACATGAACATCCTTTCATATAAATACCTTGCATATGATTTGTTTTAGAGAAGGAGCATCTAAAATGTTTACCAAATGCCTCTCTTTCTTCATTTTAACATGACTGTATATAATTTATCCAATGCATAAGTAAATGAGAAAAGTTTCTCAATGGTCTGATCTGAAGTTTATTGATTAAGGTTGTTAATATCAGTTTCTTGTTAAACCTGCCTCATAGCATCTTTTGAAAGTCAAAAAATTCAAGTGTTACTGGAAGAAGTTACCAGTCCATTGTTGATGTTGGAGTTAAGGTCTTACACAGCTGAAAAGTAGTTAATATCTTGGGGGCATTACACGAGGTCACTGTTTTACTATTTTGAATTGCTTCTTTCTGAGGCATTTAATGCTTAGGATGCTATGGTCAAGTTGAACTGTCTTGAGGTTTTCTGTCAGCTGTATAAGTTTGGGTATGGTTTTGAACTGAAATCTGAAAATCCAGTCATCTTGATCAAGAATAAAATCAAGAACACTTGCATTGTGCCAGTCTCAATTGTTACTGAAAGATAATTATGATTGATTTTTAAGAGCAGAATATATTTATTAAGAGAAAGAAAGCTTCTGTCCGAGAGAAAGACAGAAGTGAAATAATTCTGATTTTTGCAAATGACCTGTGATCCCCAAATCAGTTGTATTATGTTGAAGAAACAAATTTGCTGACATAGTTGCCTTTTAATGGCTTTGTCAAAATGTTCATCAAGATGAGAGGAGGATGTTGGACTGCACAGTTGCCCAAAGGAAGCAATTATTTAGGAGAGAAGGCCATGAGCTTCCTGCTGGATGTTTGCATTGTAGAATGAGTGGCTCTGAGGAAAACTTTTAGTTTCTTTCAGGACCTCATCACTATGTGTAGGTCAAGGATGAGAGATCATCTCTATTAACAGTGACAGTGGACAAAATACTATTTGCAAAATTTCTAAATCAGCATGTACTAATAAAAGTAGTTTATTCTTACTATGCTTCGTTTTTCACATTTCAAAAAGGTCTGTGTTTATACATTTGCTAGAAATTCTGTTTGTTTATTTTCAGCAAAAGATAAGACTTAGTTATATTTTCTTGTCTCTCTTTGCTTTTATACTTAAGATATATGGAAAAGTCCTTTAGTATTAAACAGAGTCCTGAATCTATCTACTTCAATAGCAGTTTTTGTTTTCCTTACTCAGATGGGTAAAAACAATAGTTGTACCTCCTTAAATGTAAATCATGAGTTTTATGACTTTGGACAGTTGGAGCAGACCTTTCTTTAGTGAATTGGGAAATGAAAATCGTATTTTCTGAATCATTTTCTCAAAATGGAAAAAAAAAATGGATGAGGGAGGATGGAGATGGAGGGAAGGCAAAAATGGGTGTAAAAAGAATTATGTGTTACATGCATGTACTGCAAACATACACTAATAAAGTTTGAGACACCTTCTCAGCAAGAGAATAACAGTGTTGAGTATTCCTGAAGTATTTATCTGAGGTATAGAACATAGGAGAGGTTTTAGAAAAAGTGTTTTGGGAAATGCTTGTCTGCCTCAAATGTCAAATCCCACGTTTAATTTATATTGCTGTGGTAAAGGACTGTATGGGGTAACCCTGAGATGGGAAAAGATAACTATGTTATAGATACTCTTCAAGAAAAGGGCTGGTAATCAAGCAATGGGGAAAAGATTAAAAAGAAGCAACAAGGTTGGGGGTTTAGCTCAGTGATACAGTGTTTGCCTAGCTGATTCAGGGCCCTGGATTTGATCTTCACCAGCAGCAGCACCAATGTGCATGCATACACACACACACACACACACACACACACACAGGCACACAGATACAGGGACACATGATCTTTCGTGTCACATAGCAGAATGATTCACTACAGAGATTCAAAGTTATTTCTGAATCTGAGTAGAGAAAGCCATATCTAAATATGTATTTTTTAGGCTTTTAAATTTTGTTTTTTTTTAATCGTACCGGCGATCGAACTCACGGACTCCTGCTTGCAAGGCAGGTGCTTATGCCGCTGAGCTAAATCTCCAGCCCCTCAAATATGTATTTTTTAAATGGTGACGTATTAAGAGTTACTACTGCCTTGCAAGCAGGCGGTCGTGAGTTCAATCCCTGGTACCGATGAAAAGGAAAAGGTCAAAAAAAAAAAAAATTACTACATCAATAGCTTTGTTTTTTTTTTTTTTTTTTTTTTTTGTCTTTTTCCTTTTTATCGGTACCAGTGATTGAACTCACGACTGCCTGCTTATAAAGCAGGTGCTTATGCCGTTGAGCTAAATCCCTAGCCCCCAACACCAATAGCTTTGTAAAGTCTTTAAAAGGACAGACATTTATAAAAACTATGTTTGTGGTTTTTTTGGCATATGTAAAAATTATATAGATAATGAATGAATTTAGGGAATAAGCTGATATTCCACTGGATTCCAGTAAAACTTTTTTTCTCAGACTATAGTAGAGATTTTTAGTAACATTTTTAATTTTTTGGAAGAATTGCCTAATAATGAATAAATTATTGATTGTATGTTAAGAGTTTGTTTTTTCTCAAAATCAGCAAGAATTTACCATGTTTAAAGTCATGGAATGATTCTCACAAGATAAATGCTTTCGGATAGAGAATTGCCAGAATATGAGATGATGTTTTTAGTTAGTGTATATATATAACAATAATTTATCCTTGTGTTTCTGTTTTGCATTCTCCTGGGATGCTAAACATTTGGTTTGTAGAATTACAACTACTGGGGTGGCTCCTTTTGCTTTGTTCTACCTTTTTTTCCTCACAATAGGAGAGGGAACAAGTAGGTTATTAGTCTCTACCTCTTTTTTTTTTTTTGTACTCACAAGCTTGCACTTGCCAGGCAGGCACTTATGCCACTGAGCTAAACCCTCAGCACAATCTCTATCTTGTTTAAAAAACTGATTGAAATTTTGAGATGTCAACTATTATTTCTTACCCAGAGTCCCCATAATCATTTTTAGTCATCTATGATGATTTCTACTGATGTTAAAAGTATAATGTTAATTTATAAAGAAATACATTAAGAATTTTTGAATCTGAATAATTTAGAGATTTTATACTTAAGATATATGGAAAAGTCCTTTAGCTATTCCTCCTTTGCAGCTGTTTCCCTTAGGATCATCTTTTCCAAACTGTGTAGGATAAAAGTAACAGGAAATTCCCTGGTACCAAAAAAAAAAAAAAAAAAAAACAAAAAACAGGAAGTTTACATTTTCTTAGTAATCTAGCTTTGTTTTGTTTCTCTTTTCCTATTTCAAAGTCCTTTGCACTGCAGTTCTTATTAAGGTAGATTTGTTTGTACTTTGTCACAATAACAATTAGGATCAGTTATGTGGCCGGGACCCTACTCTCACTGATGAGCTGCTGACTATCCTCACTGAATTAACTCAACTCAGTAAGACCACCAATGCCAAAGTGGCACTTCGAGCCCGTCAGGTAAGGACAGTTTTTGGTTATCTTGAAGGAGTGTTGTTTTTCATAGTTTAGGAAATTCTACAAACAATGAGCTTTTACTTAATCACCTTACAAAGAGTTTTCTATGTATATCACAGTGTTCTCAGAGTAAATGTTTTCATATGGTATTTTTTTAAGAGAAATAAAATGATTAATGTTGAGTCTCTAGAGTAGGAGCTCTTTTCCCCTTACAAAATCGTGATATTGTTCCCTACCCTTCCTAATACCCCTGTGGTACTAAATAGCTTCAGGTGGAGGAAAGGAAACAGAGGGGAAGAAATCGACTCAATATTTTTTACTTCCTAAAGGGAGCTTAGAAACAGATGAGAATTGTTAAGTAGATAGGAAATAATCAAGTGTGGAAAGCAAAAGATAATGAAATGAATCTTAGATGCTAGCTATCTGAACAATCCTAGAGAAGTCCAGTTAGTTTCACCCTATAGTCTTCATTTCCATTCCAAAAGGTTTCAGCAGGGAAGCTGAGAGTTGGTGCTCCCTTTGTGTCTCAGTGCTTGGGCATTGACAAGGAAGCAGTGTTTGAAGCTGTTCAGTGACCTTTTGCTTTCTCTACAATTGTATCCATGTCACTGAACTACTCAAAATTATTGAGCCTCTCAGTGACCTGCTGAGGGTATTCAGGTCCCACCTTGTCCCTGTTTGTTTGTGACACTGCTTTCACTTTGTCTGCTTCTCACATGCATTGGTGTTACATCATGATGCCCTCTTGGTGCTCAGTATCTGGGACTGTCAAATCAGCTTTTCCTAGTCTGCCTTTTTGCTTCTGAGTTACAGAGGCTAGCTATCCTGCACCCACCTTCCCCACAGCTGCTCTCTGCCAGATCTGATTCCCAATTAACAGCTAGTCATGCAGTCCCCAGGACTAGCAGCTTTGCAATGGTAAATCACATGCACTGATGGAACTTGATTGAAGCTGTTTTCTCTCCCTTCCCCCTGCCTCCCTTGGGAAATTGCCTACAACTCAAATCACGATGAGAGTCAACTGAGATTCAGTATTTTGTAGCATTGACTTTATGCTGCAGGACCTAGAAGTTGTTTTACTTGGTCTCTGTTTTATCTTTGATGCCTGCACTTACAGAGTTATATTTATTGCTTTCGTATCAGAGCTGCCTAATAAGAGTCTAGAATAATCACTCTCTTGGGAATTTATGCCTCTTATTTTGCTCTCACTCTAGGTTCTTATTGCCTCCCATTTGCCATCATATGAACTTCGCCATAACCAAGTAGAGTCTATTTTTCTATCAGCTATTGACATGTACGGACATCAGTTTTGCATTGAGAATCTGCAGGTATATATATATATAGTAACCCTTTTCTATCACTTTGCGCTCTTGACCTCTTTATTCCCACAAACATAATTAAGTAATCAATTAATTTCAATTTCCATATAATGAAGTTTTATACCTTGACTTTTAAAAATGAATTATACTAAAGGTATTTTTTCATAAAAATGCTATTAAGATTGTGGTTTAGCTTAAAAATAAAATAAGTTTGCCTTGACAAAAGTGTTCTATTAAATTCTTTACCTCTTGTGGTTTTACCTAGGAGGTAATCTAGAATTAAGTAGCAACATTGTTTGATTTCTGATATTTTTGAATCAGGCACACATAAATGGCTGTTACTTTTCTGGAGACAAAACTATTTAAATGTAGTTTAATTTTAATGTTTACTATTAAGTTTTATAAAGAGCCGGGGCTGGGGATTTAGCTCAGCGACATAAGCGCCTGCCTTGCAAGCAGGCAGTCGTGAGTTCGATCCCTGGTACCGATAAAAATGAAAAAGACAAAAAAAAAAAAAAAAAAAAGTTCTATAAAGAGCCAATTTATAAGAGATTATTGTTAAATTTTACCACTAATTGAAGGGACCTCAAGTATTTTTAAAACATCATTTTCTCAGCGGTGACTTTCTAAGCTTTATTCATGGTGCATCTCTGAGGGAGGTTGAGGCAGAGGGTTCACATGCCTGAGCTCCACCTGGATAATGTAGGAAGATCCTGTCTCAAAATAAAAATGTAATCATACCCATATACCTTGGTACTGACTGCTTTGAAATTTGTCACATTTGGTTTTCAACGTATTTTGACATGAATATTTTGCCACAGTTCGTATGGTTTGGTAGTGGACTTTAAACCTAGGAATTACCCTTATTGATTGCCCCATCACTAGCTACTCTTTCCAGCTGAAACAATTTATTTGGTGCTCATTGTTTTTGGTACTTGTCACATCTTCCAGAACCAATTAATGACAAGTACCTAGGTAGTACTATAAGAACGGGGCTGAGAATGTAACACATTGATAAAGCATCACTATTCGATCCCTAGCACCTTAAAGCATGCAAACAAGAAGTGACTTTTTCTACCTAGAAATTAGGACTTAAATTGTTGCATGTCTGACCACAGGAATCTTCAGACTTCCTCCTGGGAAACCTAAAAAGGTTTTTCCTTATTTGATTCTCAGTTGAAATCAAGGGGTTTCAATTGGGGCTCAGATGTAAGATTTTATCATAATGGAGTATTTAGACAATATTTAGAAAGGGAAATATAGATGTATGTTGGAAAGGTTAATAGTGATCATAAATTCTTAAAGTACAATTAATAATACATTTTAATGAATTCTAAGAATTTTATGTATTTAATCTTCACAACAGCCCTATGAAGATAAGTGTTATATCCTCGATTTCGTAGCTGAAAAAACTGAGGCACAGAGCAGTTATATCTGAGTATGGCCATCATAGCATTCATAGTTTTTACTATGCTTTAAATTTTTCTATTTTGAAAAAAAAAATTTCTATTTTGGGTGTTATGTTTTAAACCTACCTTTATATCTTGCAGAAACTTATCCTATCTGAAACTTCTATTTTTGATGTCCTACCAAACTTCTTCTATCACAGCAACCAGGTAGTGAGGATGGCAGCTCTGGAGGTGAGTATTTACAGCATGTGACACAGCCTTCTCCTTGGTGTCTTCTAGGTGTTTGGTTATCATGCCATTTCTTTTTCTTTGATCATAAGACTGGTTCCTAAGGGTAATCTTCTTTTCCTTTGAAACAATAAGTGCTTACTTACTTCCTTAGTCAAGTGTTTCATCTCAACTAATCAGTTTCTGGGTTCCAATCACAGGGAAATAGTGGCCATCATTTTTCAGTACTTTCCAGGTATTTGAATTCTTCCAGTTCATAATGGAAGATTCACTATAACACAATAAATCAAGAAATATATGGTTTTAAAAAATGTAGTTGGTTCAAACATGTGTAACTTTACCATTTTGTTATCTATGCCAAATTAAAATGGATTTTAGTTATGTTTTGAATTGGAAAGCAGTGCTTACAAAATTTTGTCTTACAAGAAAGAAGCCAGTAGCATTTAATGAACTGTAGGTTCATATATTGAACTTCTCCATTTATGAAGTAAAAGGAAATCTGTGAAGCCACGTTGGTGGCACATACCTGTAATTCTAATATTATGGAAGCTGAGACTGAAGGATTAGAAGTTTGAATTCAGCCCAGGCAACTTAATGACTTACCAGTGTCTCAGAAAAGTGGGAGGGGGCTGACTGGGGATGTAGCTGAGTGTGAAGGCCTGTGTTCAATCCCCTCTGACTGCCAAATAAAATAAAAAGACTTGAGAGGTTAAATTACTTGTCCAGAAATTATATAGATAATAAGTGGAAGAATTCGCATTTAAATTCAGGTCAGTCTGACTCCAAAGACTTTTCTATTTCCACTGTAGCACACTACCTCATGAAGGACAAAAATTGCAGGCCCCAATTACTTGTAGCCTTCAAATTGCCAAGTAGATACATTTTCAAGATGGAGAAAAGGAGTGATTTAGGTGATTTTATGTAATGTCACCATAATCTGTTGCTAGCTTGTTGGGGTTGGTTTTTATTTGTATTCTGTGATTTAAGTATATAAAGTATCTCATTTAGTAAATACCAAATACCTGAATTACCTAAGTATTTTGGGGGGCTTGTATATCATTTAATGAAAAGTATCCTTACATATCTCACATACTGATAGAATCCCCTGCAGCATTTTATGCTTATGGCAAATTGAATGTGAAGTGCATGGCAGTAAACTAACGTTTTTGCTGAAACATAGTCTGACACTGTTTCTTTAACTCGTGAATAAGTTAATGTATTTGAAATATATCAAATTGTGCCTCCCTTCTTTTGCCTGGAATTGGGTATCTAGATTATTCAAAACTGACTTTACGCAGTAGGCTTAAAAAACAATGATATAAGATAGGAAAAGAGTTAAAGTGTACTGCATTTACTTCCATATTCAATCTGTATTCCTAAGTAGCCCAGAATAAAGAACTCTTATTTTTTTTTATCATTCTTGCTTTTGTCTTCTGTTGAAATGATTTTTGCTAAAGATCAACCCTTCTATAAAGTTTAACTTAGAGTGGTGGTGATGAACCTTATAGCACATGTGTTTTTCTTTTAAGGCAAAAGATATTAATGTGTGAGTTGATTTTTCTAAATTAAAACCTCAATATTCAAGTTTAAGTGCAGTGTTGGCACTTCTTGATAAATAAGTGAGCTTGGGTTACAGTTTGCACACTTGGTTTCTAAAACATTTGCCATCACTGGCTTAGGGTAAAAGCATTACCATGCATCTAGAGGCATACAGCAGAGGCAGTCTACCTTTATTTCCAGCTGTATCCATGAAGCTAGTAATGAGGCTCAAGCTTTTTTATGGCAAAATATGTATAAGGTATGATTTTTAAAAATACAGTAAATGTTTAAATTTTTAAAAACTTATAGTGAAAGACAAATTGTCCTTAATCCCCTTGAAAAATACTCCCTTTTGCTTCAGACACATTTACCCCATTGTTCTTGAAACTTTCAGAAGCACTTCTGGAAGTCCTCCCTCCATGTCTTCAGTCACACCATCCTGGCTGCCTTGATGTCATGAATCAGTTCTAAATGTTTATCTTTCATAATCATTTTGACTTGGGGAAGAGTCAGAAGTCAACTGGTACCACAGCTGGTGAATAAAGCAAATGAGGACACATTATAATGTTTTTTACAAGCCTGTGTTTCCATTGAATGACACTCAGCAGCAACATTCACCATATTTTTAATCATACCTCATAAAGACACTTATGAAAGAGAACTTCTAGAACTGCTTTAGTAATAGCAAGAATGATAAGTGTGTTTGAAGCAAGAGTGAGTAGGAGGATTAATGGCAATGCCTTTTTTACTGTAATAATATTTTCTGTTTAAATACATACTTTTTGTTACCAGCTCTTGTATGTATAGGACCTTGGAACCTCTCACTGCAAACTACCACCTTTTACATCCAGTACTTCTCTTTAAGACTTTTTCCTGGTATAACCATTCTCTTTTCTTTTTTTTTTTTTTTTGAAGTTCATTTACTAAAGATTACTTTTTAACCAGGTATATGTTCGAAGAGCTTATATTGCCTATGAACTTAACAGTGTACAGCACCGCCAACTTAAAGACAATACCTGCGTGGTGGAATTTCAGTTTATGCTACCCACATCTCACCCAAACAGGTGAGTTTAAGTATGTTATATGCACCAAAGCTAGCCAGAGGCCTATCAGGAGAGTTATGAGGAGTAATGAATATGACAAGTCCATGTGTTTTAAGGCTAGAAATACAGAGTAAACATGAATAGATTTGAACCGTAAGAAAAGAGTTTCTTAGGGGCTAGGGATTTAGCTCAGTGGCATAAGTGCCTGACTTGCAAGCAGGCAGTCGTGAGTTCGATCCCCCGTACCAATAAAAAAGAAAAAGACAAAAAAAAAAAAAAAAAAGAAAGAAAAGAAGAGTTTCTTGGTGCCTGCACCTTTGATCTGGAGAGATGTTATGATCTAATTAAGATGAAAGTTCAGGATTACACCATTCCATTTTGGCTGTGTTATATTACTGAAGAAACTTTCCTTCCCTCCTTCCTTATTTCCCTCCCTGTTGTTGGAACTTTGCCATAAAGTCGCTTTTTAAGTAGTTTTAGTCAGCAGTTCAAACATTTTGGGTGGAATGCTTTCCTTTTTTTATATGTTTGTTATAGATTGAAATTGTACCTGAACTAGTTTTATTATCTCCTGAAAAACAGACACTTGAATGTAACCATTGAAATTCAATCAGATTTTTAAAATAACACTTAGGACCCAACTTCATAAATTTAAGTCAATTACTTAATTGGTCATGCTAATTCAATTAGTATTTTTTCTTTCCTAAAAACTTTAAACTGTACATATGGAAATTTATTGCAGTATTTCTTTGGTTTTAAAATGAAATACTTCATCTTATATACTCATTTTCAAAAACTATTCTGAGGTAATGAAAATCTAGGTATTCCACTCACAGATACATTCATTTCCTCCTATATTTTCATTCTTTTTATTAATACCATAGGAAATATAAATACCACAGCCAATCTTAACTTGCCCCTCTCCAATTTTTTTTATGGCCTTTGGTTCTTCGCTTGGTATTATAAAGTACTGTTTCTTTGGGAATCTTTAGTTATAGACACCAGAAATGTTTTTTTCTGAATTGCTACTTCACCCAAGCAATAGAGCCTTTCTAGAGACAAAGAAGTCTGTGCTAAGACTTTTGACCACTGGATGCCACTGTTGATCCACTAGAAGTCAGCAGATGAGCAGAATCACTTTCAGAAAAAATACATCTCTTCTTCATCTCAGAAGATCCTTTCAGTTCTCTACCTCAAAAATGCCTTATGGCTGGCAGAGAAAAGCATATATCCTTGATTTAGCAAGCATCTCGGTACATTTTTGCCTCCATGGATTTCAGAATCTCATTTTCAAGAAACGAATAGTTGTCCTTCAGTGAGTGGCAAAGTACTCATAGCACACATAGCTCAGCACTCGGTCTTTCTTTTCCTGCATTGCTTTGAATAATTGTAGAGAACTACATGCTATACTTAATCCTCCGTAATTCTCAAGACAGTCTTCCTTTCTTCCTGTTTTCTACAACCTCTTCCCTTTGGGCAGTGATTTGTAGTCAGTCTGCAGGGTTGCCTCTGATTTCTGTCCCTTCTCATAGTTTCCCTTGTCTTTCTGAATTGTTTTCCCCCTTAATTCAAGGCTGTGTCTTCAGTTTGGTGGGAAAGTTGACTGAAAAATAAGGGAAATTCTTAACTGCTTTGTCAAGAAATCTTACTCATTTATTCTACATCAAAAATATGAACCTTGTTTTGTCCTGATGTTGTTTTAAAACTTGCATACTTGCAGAGATTTATTTAGCTCAGTAGCAAGGGCAAGGTCATGAGTTCGATCTCTGGTACCAAAAAAAAAAATACTTGTACCTACCAACAGCTGTATTACACATGCCTCTATGGATAAAGACCAGGCTTAGACAGAATTGGTATCTATAATTTCTTGGTTATGTATGTAATTTTAAAGCTTCTGAAACACTGTTGTCGTCAGTATTATCATTATTATTTGTACAGATCTGAAAGTAAAGATAAATGCAATATAAGGAGGAAAGAGAAAACAATCTTCATGAAAGTCAGAAAAATGTTAAAATGGCTTTAATCCTTTTTTGATCTAATGTCTAATTTTGTTAATTTAGGATTAGATGATTGGATTTGAGCACAAAAGGATGTAGAGTTATACTGTCAACTACTTTGAAGCTTACAGATTTGTTTGCTTGACACATTTTGGTGGGAAAAGTTTGTCCCACTAGATGGTTTGGTACTGGACCTGCCAGCTAGAACTTATTTGCCTTATGATTCACTTATCCTCCCCAGCCAAAACAATTTGATACTCATTGGTTTTGGTACTTGTTGAGCCTCAAGGAAGCAATTAATGGTAAATACTGAGGCATTACAGTATTCAGTTTATTCAGTTATTAAAGATTTGTTCCTCAAGTTGAGTTTTTTAAGATTTTGTTTTCCTTACAAACGTGTTTGTAATGATCTGGAGTTACAGTGTTATTCTGACATGAACTGGTATTTTGCAGTTCAGCGTTAGCCGTCTAAAGAATTCAATCATAAGGCTTGATCTTTTTATTCCTATCTTGGTATTCATTTGAAGCAGACTAAATTTGTCTATCACTCTGTTAGGAGTATCTTTGTAATCTTGCTTTGTATCAAAGCAAAAGTATAGTCTCTTGTTGTTGTATGGAATCACCTCATGGAATTCCACTTCTGCAGTTTGTTTTTGATTAGTGATTTAACCCCCTCGGGTTTGGATGAAACATGGCTCTCAGTCTGTAAACTGACAGCAGCAGAGTATTTTCTCAGGAAAAAGCCTCACATGACTTTTGGATTGAATGCCTGTGGAGTCTTTCAATTTTTACAGAAGGCAAAACACATTACAAATGCGTGAGATAACTTTAAGAAGGAAAAACATACTTGTTTTTAGCACATGAGGGTAGTTACTTTGCGACATGCTTAGTACCCTTTTATTTTTGTTTAATTTATTCTAGGCTTTGTATTGCCTGAAGTTTACTTTGATTTTTATTATAATGTGACTGTATTTCTCTAGCAGTCTTGATATTATTAGAAGCAAATCATATCCTTAATCAGTATGATTTCCTACTTCAGCCTTCTCTAGTCAAGATATGTTCCCTTCTTCTAGATCTTTTACCCAAAACTTCCAAATTTTCTTTGGGAAGTTTTTGAAAAGTAACTTGTAGCCATTTTTTCTTGAAGCTGAAATATGTGAGTTTCTTTAGTCATTTGTGTGGTGCAGGAATAATGGACAGCTTGTTTATTTCTCTGATCTAATTCTCTTATTTAGGAGTCTTATGAGCACAACACCTTTGTGAGGTCAACTAGTGTTTTATGTGGCTTAATCCTGTAGCTCAGAATATATCACTTGGTATTCCTTTTTCTTTCTTCTTCCAGTGAGGCTCAAAGTTTAGAGTCCAAGTTATGTTTGTGTCTGTCTTTTATCCCTGTGTCAATCCCTTGTATCACCTGCTGCTCCTGGAAATGCAAAAGTTTGTTACACTAATACATCATCCTCGGTGCCTTTATTTTTGAGAATTCATTTAATCATTTCACATTCAAATTTTCACTCAGTTTGGGATGTAATGACTTAGAGTAATCTGGAAATAAGCTCTCAGTCAGCGTATGTATTTAACAGTCTAAATTATAGCTGTTTTTATGCAAACATATATAAAGTATTATGTCCCATAAACTCCATGGCCATGCGTATTTCTTTGTATATTATGACGATCTGGAAATACAGAACTCCAAATGATATTTTTATAGGTAATAACATACTAGTAAATATGGGTAATTTTAAAGCTTTTAATCTGTGATTCATGTAAGTGTCAAACTTGATGCAGAAGATGGGAGTATACTTTGTTGTACATTTCTTTACATGAGTGAGAACCAATTGGTGTCTATTTCCACCTAATTCTTAGCTGGAAATCTGTGCCTTAGGTAAGTCAGATTGCTTTGCATTTTCTGTGTTGTTTGCTTGTGTGAATTTGGCTTCCTATGTTACAGGGTTTTAATCCAAGTAATTTTCTTTTTATCAATTCTTACATGCATAAGAGGTCGTCTGTGTTCTACCCTTATAGCACAGTGTGTTCATAACTGGATTTACGTTGCTCGGCACCTTCGGTGTTTAACTTTTGGTGGGTATCCTCTGTACCTTCTTTCTATTTGTGAAAGAAGGTTAGAAATTGGTTTGCCATGTGACTTGTGCCAATGACAGCTTGCTGCCATTCTTGAGAATTTTCATAGTCTTTGACATCAGAGATTAGTACTCAAATACTCAAAAGTCACCCAACTTGTGGCTTTTTATTTTTTAATTCATGGGAGCATTTGGTAGGCTAGAATGAACTTTTTTTTTTTTTTTTTTTGGGTCTTTATAGACAAAGTTCCACTATGTATGTAGTTCAGGCTAACCTTGAACTCACTTTGTAGTCTAGGCCGGCCTCAAAGTTACTGCGATACTACTGGCTCAGTGCTAGGATTACAAGCTTGGGTTACCACGTCCAGCTTTTTAGAATGAATTGTAAATAAATAAAATTTTGTAGTTCTTGCTTCCTTCATTCAGGATAGTCTGCTGATAAGATGCAAGCATCTGGCAAAAGAGAAGATTCTCCTCAGGTTTAAGTGCTTACCAAAGTGCTTTCCTATATCTATGGCTCCACTTCTAGTGTCTGCTGTGTTATTTTGGCACTAGTCTAGACTTGTAAGATTGGAGAATTGGGTTTAAAACTTCCAATAGATCATTTGAGTAGCCCAAGGTTCTTTCTTGTCAAGGAAGACTAGCTGATTCCAGGAGGAAGGAAAAAATCCAGTACCTGTAAATCCCTGTAGTTTGGTGCATCATATTTGTAGCTAATTATATAGCAGGCAGCTATAATATGCTGTAGCACCCTATTAATGTACTTGTTTCAGGAAGTGCAAAATCTTCCAGTAGAGCAAAGAAGGGGCTTTGGAGCTGAACAAATGAGATAATAATCATGTTGTTGTAAACTTAAAGCTCTTGCAGTAGGATGTCTAAACTGCAAGGAGGTGGTACAGAGAGAGATGTCAACAGAAATACACAGTACAAATGTGTTTTACAGCTCTTGATTTGGATTCTTCTGCAGAAATATAGTCACGCAAGTAGAATACCATTTGTCACAGCCAGTCAAATTGTTTCTTCTCCTGTGGTACTGTTGTTAGTGACTGCTAGTAGGTTATTCAGCCAACCTCTTGATTCTGTTTTGCTGCCTGATTTCAAAAGATTTGCCCCGTCCTGGCTCTGAGTCACCCAGCTTGATGTAACCATGGCTTGTTTATATGCATCCCTGTCATTTTCATATCAGGCCTTATTTTCCCCTTCAAATTAGGTAAAAGAATCTAGAACATTTTTATATGATAAGAGATGTATTTAGAGCCAGCTAAAATCAAGCACAATGAAATTCAGCTGGAAGGGATGGGAAAGAAACTCAGAAAACTTAGAGCTGCCAGAGAAGTCAGTGTTTAGAGTTCACCTATCAGGCAGTAGGTCTGACTTTGCATTCATATTGAAACAAGCTCTCCAGCCGTTCTGGGCAGGCAGATCAATAAAATCAGAGGTGACTTAATGCCAAGAACCTCAGAATAAAAAAGGATTTCTCTTGTCCTTCTTTAAAATTTATATGGATGTGTAATACTGGCTTCAGGAGTAGAGATGAAAAAATGTCAGGTCTAGATTCTGGTTTATGACACCATATTTAACAGCATTCTTGGAAAGCATACACTTTGGTTTCTTAGTTATCATATTTGTATAATGGAGCTAATTTATCAAAAGATAAGTGATTTCAGTATTTATCAAAACATAGTGAATGAAGATTCATCATAATAAATGTTTTGAATAGTCCAAACAGCAAATTTGGAGAGTCAGATTATATCTCATTTATGTTTTCAAAAATATAGTTGATTGCCTTATAGAAATTAAGCATTTTTAATGTTTTTGCATAATGAATATGCAGCAGAATGTAGTATGTTTTAGTTTTTATTTTAGTTTCATGTAGAATATTTGACTCATACGCAATCTTTTATTTTTCACAGGCCACAAATTTAGCCTTCTAGTTAAACACAATAGCATTCAGTGTTTCATATTCTTAAGTTGTTCAGGTTACCCTATATAGGATAGCAAAATCTATAAATGATCATTATGGGCATGACTAAACATTTACCTCTTTAACAGTTTATCCTTTCTTCCCTACTCACCTCTCCTCTGAGCCCACAAATTTTTATTCTAACAAAGAGAATAAGCTGATTCTAAACTTAACCTCTTAAAAGATTCATGTGGAGTCATTCCTTTAAAAATTGGAGATGTTGGGAGTTTTTTCGTGTTTTACAGTGTAAATGGTGTGTAATTCTTGCAACAAAGCAGCAGGGGGCTCCTTATGAGAACCGGAGAATTGTTGATTAGGAAATGCTGGCCTTTTGTTGGTGGTGGCATTCTTTTCAATTTAGGCCTTCTTTGGAAAACGTGGCCCTTATCCTGTGAATACTCCATAAGGGATTAGAATGTAGTGTTCTCAAGCAATGAGACCATTTTATTAGTTTATGAAATTGGTTAACAGTTGAGAAAGATTACACCAGTTTCAAACTCCAGAAACCTAGATGAATGGCACATGAGATTGCCCTGATTGGAAGGTTCTTGTCTTTGAACTAATTAAGTCATGGTAAGAGACTGTGCAGGTGATACCATTCTTTACAATCTTATGCCTTAAATGAAAGACTTCTGTGCTTTCATTAGAATCTATAGTTTTCATTCCGCTATACTTCCCTCTGCTGTAGAATCTGCATACTTTTTGTGTGTTCATTAGGACCAAGTCAGTTATAACTAAGGATCTCATACAAAATAAAACTGTTCTCCTTAGTCAGTGGCCCAAGGAATCGAGACAGCAAAGGATCAGGTGTTTACACTCAGAGTTTGCTCTTGCTGCCTTATGAATTCACTCTGTGATGCAGGTTTGATGCAGAGAGCATTGCTACCCACAAATCACACAAGGTATACAGTCTGTGTGCAGTGATATGTCACAGCTTTTTATTTATATGGCCAACTCAGTCTATTCTGCTCCTTTCACTGCTGTAGAAAGTGCATCATTTTTCTCCCTCTATCCTCCTTCCCACATATCATCAGCACCACCCACTATGTTTTGCCTATTAAGTCCTCTATGTGCCTGAAAACCCCAACAATGATTAAATGCTGATAAAAGAATATAAGATGGTTGATATAAACCAATCAACCTTTTTACAGTACCTCTAAATTATGGGTGGTAAGTATGACTTGGCCCTTTAACACTGAAAATAAGGGTTTTTATTTGATTCTTTTTAAGTGAGGAAATGAGCAACATTGAAATTTTAAGAAATAGTAGCCAGAACCAGAGAATGCAAGAAATTTTCCTTGTTTCCCATTCCTATCTTAATCTTTCTTTCATGGTGTTAGCATATTCTTTATAAGAAAGTTTCAGGGCTATGTTTTAATGTTTTATTTATGAAAGACCTAGAGTTTCTAAGCTAACAGCAATTTTAAAAATAGTCATCCTAAACTCAACTAATTAAAAAGTTTTAATTAATTTTAATAAATTATACCACTCTAGTGGTAGATTCATTTCTCCTTTCAGTTTCCTTTAAGCTCCTGTAATACAGTTCCTTCAATTCTTCTCCCTATGGGAGGTTATGGTTAGAAAGCTGGGAGCCCAACTTACTAGCCTTCCTTTGGAGAATTTGTGGGTCTGACATATATCCTAGAAAAGCAACAAGATAGGACCTGTGGGATTAACCTCTGCTTATTACACCTTTGATAGTAGGAGTCTTCAGGATCCTTGTGGAGAATTACATTTCATGTTTCAGCTTTAGATAATATACCATATCATAGAGTTGAATTAATGTTCATCATTCTGTATTTTATCACTACTCAGCATTATTATTTTTTGTAATAGAGTTATTTTTTAAAATCTGCGATAAATATGTTTTGACCCTTTCCTCAACAGCTGCAGTGGTGAGGTAGGTCAGGAAACATGCCTCTTTGGAGGTACCCCGGGGGTTGAAGGGTAATGAGTACTTAATTACGTGTGCTGAATGCCAGAGCTGCCAAACTGGAGCTCCTGTGACTGGTCTGTATCTGCTCTGACAATTCTTTTATTATGGCTTTCACTAACCTATCAGTAACTAACTGTGGTTGTTTAATTACAGAGGGAACATCCCCACGCTAAACAGGTACCGTATGTTTAGTTTCTTTTCCAATTAAAAGCACCTCTTTTTAAAAAAATTTTAATAACTTAGACTAGTGAAACCAGGAAAAAAAAATAACACTACACTTGACAAGCTAATGTATCTTCTATGGAGTCCTGAGCTTCCATTTGGATATACTAAACTACTCTTTCTGTTTGGAAACATGTCTTCAGCATTTCTTCAGCAGTTTAAAAAGCAATACTTAAAAATCATCATTACAGAAAAGCTCCTATTTATTGGTACGTAAGAAGGAGTTTGTCTGTATGATGTTCAGCTTTGCTGCAGATGTCTTTTGCTAAGTTCTCTGTCTAGTTTGGTGCTTTTAGTGAAGAAACTCTGAAGCTTACTTCTATCTTGGCACATTTTCCACAATTTTTTCAATTTTTAATTTCTCCTTGTAGAAAAGTTGGAATCCAGAAATAGCTGATCTCATGTTTTATAAGTTTAGTAGGTATTTTTCTAAAGGGTTTTGGCAATTTGGAAGTAATTTAATTTAAACCTACAATAAGATTAACATTGGAAAAATATACCTAAGTTTTGATATGGTTAGCCTTGTAAGAGGTTTCCAGGCCAGTATAAAATGATATTTTAGTATATATTTTGAGTTTCTCCTGCCACCTGAACCAAGCAAGGTAACACACAATACAAATTTGAGAGAATAGCAATCTTAATTAGAATTGAGTCCACAAAATGCTAAAAAGGCGCTAAGTTGGTAGCAAGCTCTTTGTAGATATAGTGGTACCTTGGTACCTTAATTTGTTTGGCAATTTTTTTGAAGATGGCTGCATTTGTGTTTGTATGGAAAAAATGGCCATGGTCATATTTGTTACCCAATGTGGAGTTTGTGAACAGAAGCAAAATTTTGAATGCTTTTGTTTACAAACTGAATTGTTTCTAAATAGAACTGTTTGTGAACCAAGGTATTGCTGTAATGTTCTACATGGAATTATTTACAAGGTTGCATTTATTTATTCTCTCTAAGATATTAAGTAATCAAAAATCGATCATGGCTTTTAGAGCCCAATTTAGATTTGGAAAAGAAAGGGAAGTTTCTTTGAACCCAGGGCCTTTGCACTGAACTATATATTTCCCTAACCCTTTTTTATTATTTTGAGACAGGGTCACTAAATTGCTAAGTTGTCCAGACTGGATTCAAATATGTGATCCTCCTGCTTCAGCCTCCTAGAATGCTGGGATTATAGGAATATGTCATTGTGCCTGGCTGTAAAGGAGTATTTATAGGGTCTTCTAGTCTTCCCTTGGAGAATAGGATTAGTTCATTCCTGCTTGCCTTCAGTAGGTTTGGCCCATGATAGCAGTACTAGAGGGAAACTGTATTTCCTGTGAGGTTCACTTGCATGAAAAAAATGTTTAACCTATGTTTGCCACAAACCCAGCTCATTAGCTTATTTAGAGGAGAGAGAGAGTACCTTTAAGTGTTGTCTGGAATCCTTTTATTTTTCCAGTCTCATGTCAGGCAGGTAGAAAAGGTACAGTGACTCACAAACTTGGTCCTTTAGTAAATACATGTGATGATCCTAGAAGAGAGAAAGATGGTAGCATTTCTGAGTTAATATAGCTCAGAATCCTAGTTTGTAGGGAGCACCATGTTTAAGACTTGCTTGATCTGTGTTTCATTTGTTTGTTTCACTCATGGTATAAACAGTCTCCTCTCCTGCTGTGCCTTTCTATTCCTTACAACTGTCAAAAGATGAAGTACTTTTCCCACAGTCATCACTTACCAAAGGTTAAAATCCAAGAGTGTCAGTCTCCATAGTCTGTGTGAGCAGCATTTCTATAAAGAATTCCATTGCCTTTTATAAGTATAATTTGCAAGAGAGTGCATTAAGTGCCCAAGTCATAAGTCCACATTGCTGACTTTCCTCCTCCTGCAGTATTGCAGATATATATTACAAGATATTTGGGCAGTTCCTCAAGGTGCAGGTACCATTGCCTCACTCTGAACTTGCTTAAGATTCACATGCCAATAACACATTAGGAAGTCCAGAGGCATCCTTGGTCCTTCCTAACAGGCTGTCCCGATCAACTGCATTCAGAAACACCTTTTGGTATTATTTTTCAGTACATACTACTGAGGTGCACCAAGGAATATTCCAATTCATTATGGTTTTAGATTGAACAGATCAGTTCAGTGCTCTTAAAGCAACTATTTGCCATGCTTACACATACTTTGAGACCCATGCTCTGCCCTTTTATATCTTGGCAGAAATTATTAAGAGCTTTCTTTGAAGATATTTTTGCTCTAGTCTAGAAGTATTTAAACATAAAAAGGGAATTTGATAATTTGAGGTTCAAAATGTCTCTCTTTCAAAAAGAACTAATATTTCTGATAACAGCTATCCTTGTCAACCCATTAAAGAAAATGTAAATACCTGAATAAAATCTTTTGTAGACTGTGACTTATTTCTGTACTATCGATAATGCTTTTTGTAATGATTTATTCTAAACCATTCTATTCTTATTTATAATTATTGTCCTGTATAACTATATCTATCTATCTTATCTCTGTATGTGTGACTACTTAACCTATTATAGTTCTTAAGTGTTCCATAATGCAACTCACTTGGCTGGCATACTCTCTTTTAAAAGAGGGGATGTTTTGGGAAGGGGAAAGATCAGGATGGTTTTTAACCCACATGGACTGTTTATGTATCAGGCGTATTATAGTAATATGAATATTAAAACTGGAGAGAAATTCTTGACAGACCTTAGATTTCCATATAATTTTGGAGTTATAAAAATAGTATCAGGAAACTCAATTAAAACATGAATCTAGCAAAACAACCTTATCCTCAGTGGGTAAAAAACCAAATCTGCTCTGCAACCTGACCCATCCTCAGAATTTCCTCCCAATTCCCTTCCCCTATTGCTACTCTCCCAGTCCTTCCTACTCCTCTTGTCTAATGAACTTGATTGAATTACCATTTAGAATGTCCTTCTCCTCCAACCTCAACCACTATGGCATGACTCATGTAGCTAGTGTCAGCGACGTGCTGTTGGACAACTCCTTCACTCCACCATGTCAGCGGATGGGTGGAATGGTCTCTTTCCGTACTTTTGAAGATTTTGTCAGGTAAGACATTGTAGAAATCTGTCTGTATAAGGAATGCCATAGATTTCACTGTTTTAGGTTGTCACCTTGCTGAAAAATAAAAATCCCAAAAATAGCCATGAGCCAGCTAAGGAGATGTTGCCCTGGCTCCCTTAATTTATCTTTCCTTAGAGAAGTATGTATCTTTTCATTTCCACCGTTTTTTTAGGCTGTACAAGGCTCTGTTTGTAGTATGAGCTGGACAGAAAAAGAAAAAAAGAAGCAAACAAAAATCTTCTTTTCCTTAGGAGCTAACAGAAGAAACTGTCTGCTTTGTGATGAGTGAAATGTCAGGAGAAATTAAACACAACACTAGAGTGAGCCCTACCAAAGATGATACATCTTTTGATTAAATATATTCTGCATCTATCTCTTGATGTATACTGATGATTTACCCTAGGGGAGGAGTAATTACATTGGTTCTGTCTCAGGCTCTTTGCATTACTTTAAGACCAATGATGATAGCAATGCTCATATCTTGAATACTGAAAAAAACAAAAAAAATCTTTAGATCATTTTTTAAAAATAAATATATATGGCTTATTAAAGTTTAAACACTCCATCCACCTAATTTCTTCCACATGGTGAAATTTTGCACCTCATGTCTAGTGTTTCTATTCAGTTGACTATTGAGTACAAAGTAGGATAGGGATTATTCTTTTAGACTTGGCTACCAATGGCAGCATGAATTTCCGGTCGGTTAGATTTTTCTGCCATTTAGGTTTTCATGTTCAGTGTTTTTCTGGTGTTTTTCAGGATCTTTGATGAAGTGATGGGCTGCTTCTGTGACTCCCCTCCCCAAAGTCCTACATTCCCAGAGGCGGGTCATACATCTTTATATGATGAAGACAAGGTATTGTGTCCTTTTTGGGAGACAGCTTTGTTCCTTCAGACACGGGACTTTACTATATACATTCTGAGTCTGGAACATTACAGAGAAGAATTAACCCTTTAATCCTGTTTTATATATATATTTAATTTTTTATGGCACAACAAAATGTTTTTTAGAAATAGGAAAATAAATTCTAAATGTAAAAAGTTAAATTGGAATATTAATCTTGGAATTTATAGATAGAATGGGTTCAGATATCGTCTTTGAAACTGCCTCTGGGTCTCTGAATGTTATTTGAAAGATTTAAACTTTTTTTTTTTTAATCAGTACCAGGGATCGAACTCATGACTGCCTGCTTGCAAGGCAGGCGCTTATGCCGCTGAGCTAAATCCCTAGCCCAAGATTTAAACTTTAAAAAAAAAGATTTAAACTTTGATTGCTCATTTCATAGTGGTGCTATTATAATTCTCAGAGTTTAGACTTCAGAAAAATAGACTTTTTGCTGAATACTTTGTCCTTGTATTATCCCTTCTTTTTATTTCTCAGTAAACAAACTGTTCTGTTCTTATCCTACTTCATTACTGTGTTGTACTATGGTTTGATATTTTTGTTTGATAAAGTGTAAGGAAATATATAGGAATATTTTCAGTTGATTTCTTTAACTCATTTCTGTTCACATTATGTGATGATAAACAGCAAATAAAACAAATAAAATGGTTCCATCCCATTTCATTGGTGACAAAGTTTGAGACACAGTGACTTATAGGTTCATGTGAAATCAAACTTTGAAGCCACCTCTGGCTAATACCTTTGCTGCATTATCTTTCATGTGCTTTATTCCATCTCTATTGTGGCCATTGAGCAGTAGCTTCCCTTTTTTAGTCCTACTGATTGGCAAACCTAAACATCGTATGGGGGTGTGCCTTTTTTAGTTGTTCTGCCAGGTACTGTAACTTCTTCCTGCTTCTGTAGTAGCCAGCCTCATGATTCTTTGATTTGTGTCTTGGGTTACAGGTCCCCCGGGATGAACCAATTCACATTCTGAATGTGGCCATTAAGACTGACTGTGACATTGAGGATGACAGTCTGGCAGCTATGTTCAGAGAGTTTACCCAGCAAAATGTAAGTCCTTGATTAAGTGGAAGCTGATGGTGCCTTTCCTGCTGGTTGTGCCAGTCATCCTTTTTTCAGTTGCTATTTGTAAGGTTTATTATTGATATTGGCTATGTCTTTTATCATGAGAATAATCAGAACAATGACTAATTTTGCTTTTTGAGATAAAATTTCAAAGCAACTTAATGATATATAAAGGGTCTCTTATGTCAAAAATATAGACCTGGAAAAACTATCTACCTGAAATATTTAAAATATTTTTAAGGGATGCTGTGTTCCTAAATCACTCTCAGAATTCCAGTTTTAAGTTTCCAGTCACCTGCTAAATGTTTCCGTTTGGTTACCCTGGCCTTATATGTATAAGGCCAAACTATCCAGATCCCTCTGTGTCCTTCCTTTACAAATAACTATACTTCTATCCTCCTTTCAATTTTATGTCACTTAAACATCTAATGTTGATATCAAACTTTGTAATCTAAACTTAAATTCTTAGCAACCATAGTAGTGCAAACCTGTATCCCAGCAGTCTGGGGAGCTGAGGCAGGAAGATCGTAAACTCCTGCCCAACCTGGGTATCTTAGTGTCTTAGGGAGACCCTGTCTCAAAATTTAAAAACCAAAGAAGGATTTGGAATGTAGCTCGGTACAGAGGTCCTGGATTCAATCCTCAGTACTGAAAAAAAATTTTTTCTGCCAGTTGTGGTGTCTGTCGCATATCTGTAATCCCAGTGCTCAGAAGGCTGAGGCAGGAAGATCACTGGGAGTTTGAGGCCAGCCTACACTACATTGTAAGTTCAGGTCCACCCTGAACTATATAGCAAGTCCATGTCTCAAAGCAAATTCCCCCAAAAGACAAAATAAAACAAAATATATCAACTTCACCAGGAGTATTTTTTCCTCCATCCATTCCTTCTTTCCCTCCTTTTTTCCTTTCACTCATGTTAAGAACTGTATCGGGCTGGGGATTTAGCTTAGTAGTGTAAATGCCTGCCTGGCAAACATGAGGTCATGAGTTTGATTCCGAGTACCAAAAAAAAAGAAAGAAAGAAAGAAAGAAAGCCGGCTGTGATGGCTCCCAGCACTTGGGAGGTTGAGCCAGGTTTATCGTTGTGAGTTCGAGGCTAGCCTGAACTGCATAGTGAGACCTGTCTCAAAAAAAAAAAAAAAAAAAAAAAACCTATCAAATTTAATCTCACAGATGAAGACTTCTGAATAGCTAATTAAAATGTATTTTTATCTCTTGAAATACTAATTTATCATCATGTATGTATTAGCAATAATAATATATTTCATTTATAAAGAATTTCTTCTCTAAATTTATTTGTACTTTACTACAGTCTCATGGGATTAGATAAATTTAGATAAATCAAGAGTTATTCCACTTGTACACATGGAGAAAATCTCCAGATAAGAGACATTAAGGCCTCTCGACTGCCACCTGCAAGATGACAGAGCAGAGATTAGAATTTAGGGCTTTGATGCTGGCTCTGGAGGCCAGAGATCCAGGAGCTTTAGTAAATAACATATTCTTAGCCATGAAGATGTTTATGGTGTAGTTAAGAATACTGAGGGGGCTGGGGATTTAGCTCAGCAGCATAAGCGCCTGCGTTCCAAGTGTGCGGTCGTGAGTTCGATCCCTGGTACCGATAAAAAACGAAAAAGACCAAAAAAAAAAAAAAAACTGGATAGTTAGGGCCGGGGATTTAGCTCAGCAGCATAAGCACCTGCCTGGCAAGTGCGAGGTTGTGAGTTCGATTCCTGATACCAAAAAAACAACAACAAAAAAATACTGGATAGCTATTCTTTTTTTTTTTTTTTTTTGTGCTGGGGTTTGAACTCACAACCCCATGTTTCTCAAGCAGGCACTTAGACACCGCTGAGCTAATCCCCCTGTCCAGGGATAGCTATTCTTGAAACAAGAATTTCCTATATAGTAGGTACTTTTTTTGGCGGGGGTGTGGTGATGGAAATTGAAACCAAAACCTCCCACACACTAGGTAAATGCTATACACTGAGCTATAGAAATAGCTCCTACAGTTGTATTTCACTATGGTATGTGATAGGTGCCCAAGTATAAACTACCCTTAAAAAACAGACTTGTGTTCTCTTTGAATAACAGCACAGAGCACATAGTATTTGTTATAAAGATTACAATATAGCATGGCTATAATCTCAGCATTCTGGGAAGTTGAGGCAGAAAAGATTGAAATTTTGAGCCCAGCCTGGAAAACTTAGCAATTTAGCAAAATTCTATTTCAGGATGGCAGGATGGGACCGAATGGGATGGAATGAAATAGAATATAATGAGCTAGGGATGTAGCTCAGTGTAAGGGCTCTGGGTTCAATCTCCAATACCACAAAACAATAGCAACAGCAATAAAACTCAATAAACTAGTTGTGGCAGTGCATACCTGTAATTGCAGCACTTGAGGCTGAAGCAGGAGGATCATGGGTTTAAGTGAGACATGCACCCCTCAAGAATCCCCCTCCATAGATGTTTTTAAAACTTAATTCTGCAGTATCAACTATTAGTGCCATTGATGCACGTAATGCTGATGGTAGATACCTAGGAGGAAAATGGTAACTTTTTGACTATCATGAATCAGGATTTATTCTATGGTGCTTTCAGACTAACTGGGGCTGCAGTGGCAGTGCAAGTAAAAAAAGGTAATTCCAGGGCCTCGTGTGTGCTGAGCAAGTGATGTACCACTGAGCTACATCCTAAGGTCTTGGGAATTTTTCCTTGCAAGAGAGATTTATCTTCCTTCTTATTCTTGAATAAAATTAACCTGAAGTCAGTGACAAAGGTACTTTTAGTGGGAGAGTCTATAATGTGGCTGCTGTTGCTTCATGGAATAAATCTATGAAAATTTCTTCCCAGCTTTTGAGGCCCTCACTAATTGTCCTTATTTGACCCTTTTTTTCCATAATTTGACCACAGCTTTTTGTTACCTTTGGATCTATGTGTTATTTGTCATCACACCATTGTTTAAAGAGGCGGTTTCTTTGTTTTCACTACATACTTCTTTTTTTTTTTTTTTTGTACTGGGATTCAAACTTAGGACCTTGCACTTGCTAGGCAGGCACTAAACTATATCCTGGGCCCTACTACACATATTTTTAACATTAATGAGCAATGCAGTATTATTTTTTTCCTCTTCTGTACTTGTAAACTAAACTGAAGCATGGGGAAAATCTAATGTCTGCCTAAGACTATAGGAAAGTTATTAAACGTACCAGGTTCTGTGCTTATCCAGGAATATTTGGCATTTTCATCTTCTTATTTTAATAATATATACAGGAAGGAAAAGCAATTTAAGAAAAAAGCTTAAGTGATGACTAGTTTTGTTTTTCACTTCATGATTATGCTCCTAGCAGTTTAGAAAAAGTTTTTTTCAAAGCACACATTAAACTATCAAATAGGTTGATCCAAATTGTTCAAATAATCTTCTAGTCCCAGCATGTCTTTTTTTCTCTCATAGAAATTAGGATCATATATTTGTAAATGACTTGTGGAGGAGATTGAAGCAGTCAGTGTAAATGGAGTTTCTCCAGGTGCTGATGCCTAATCGCTGGGTAATAGCTGTGGACTTGCTGTGAGACCCACATTATTACAATGTAATCAGAATCCTGTTGCTCTGCTGTTATTGTCAGCCACTTGTGGAATTTTAAAAGCAATAACAATTTTGCTTTTAAATCATGGCATTATTAAAGTTATTTTCATTTCTTGCTAGAACATAGCTATTGATGTTTGTCTTTGAAGAACTTGATGGTAGTGGAATTCTTTGTTGGTATCATAAGAAGTGTTTCTGTTGCTGGGCACACTGGTAGTCTTAGACTCACCACTCCACCTCTCTTTCAGCACAGTCCTCTCAGTGGTACCATACAGAAATAGAAAAATGGGGGAAATGTCCAAGAACATGCTTTTTTATAGGAGGAAGCAAACCTCGATTAAAAAATATATTCACAGTGTCGAGAAACTTAAGAACTGGCTCATGAAATAACTCTTGAGTTACAACAAGGCATGTGATGAAATTAAAATTATACAGATTGTAGAAATCTTTGTTTACACTATTCATAAGTTCTCTTGAGTTATTTAATTGGTGGGATTGCTTTTCTTTTCTACTTGTTGCCATGTAACCATTTCATTAGGGACCATTAAAAGCATTTTTTAAACTTAATGCAGACTGTTTCTAACTTTTGAAGTTAGGATACAGGCTAGGATAGAGGAAGGCTTAGCTCCAAAGATCTAAGACTCGTATAAGAGGCTGCCGTGAAACCAGTGTTCTGTGTTGACTTTTGATGTACTGCTTGAATATGTCAAGTGGAGAGAAGGATGATTCCTAAATTTAAAGGCTTGTTAATCTTTGCTTTTAACTGTTTGTAAATGGGATCTAAAAAATAAAACCAAAAAACTTCATATAAAGGGAAACTTTTAAAAGAACTAGGTTAGGATTTGTTAGGTTAAATTCTAGCAGTACTGTGTCTAGTGGTAAGTAATACGTATCTATAATCTAAACAACACTTTAGAATCTGTATTTTCTGGTTTGTTTTGTTTGTCTGTTTTTTGTACTGGGATTGAATTTACAACCTCCCGTTTGCCAAGCAGGCACTCACACTGCTGATCTAAACCTCTGGCTCTTGTATTTTCTGTTTTGCAGAAAGTTCTTTATTTTTCTCTGCCTAATTACACTCAGTAGTTTATTTTACATTTGCCTGTCTTTTGGTATATAGTCCAAACTGACCTTGAACTCACTTTGTAGCCCAAGCTGGCCTTGAATTCGTGGTGTTCCTCCTGCCTTTGCCTCCTGGGTGCTAGGATTCCAGGTACATGCCACCGTGCCCAGCCAACAATGAGATATCTATAAACACACGTTGTGTTAAGATTTACCTTGATGTGAGTCAGTTCTTTTAGAACTTAGGTGATTTTGTATAATCATTTCTCTTCCACAACATTCTCATTCAAATTTTCCCAGATTAATATAAAACCCATTCCACATAACTTTGTCCCAGGAGCCATCTTAAAATTTGTGTCAGTGGCTGTGGTGGCACATGCATGTAATCTCAGTACTCAGGAGGCTGAGGCAAGAGGATCACCATGAGTTCGAGGCTAGCCTGCACTGCATAGTGAGACTATGTCTTAAAAAAACAAAAAAACAAAATTTATTTATTTATTTGCAAGTTTGAAGATCCTGACCTGAGATGTTGATATCCAAAAAGGTTGTTTAGCCTAGAGTTTCCTGTAGGCTAAATAAGGTATAATTTAGAATAAATGGAGATGTCATCTATTTTCTGTTTTATGTGTTTGTTCATAGAAAGCTACCCTGGTTGACCATGGGATTCGGCGCCTTACTTTCCTGGTTGCACAAAAGGTATTGATTGACAAATGTGAATTGTATTTTTCTGATATGTCTTATGCTACTGCAAAAGTTTTAAAAATAGGATTGCAATAACATGGATATTGAATTTATACAGGAACTGGTTTTTAAATAAATTTAATTATTAAAAAATTAGATGACATTTGGGGTTCTAGGAAAGACTTCCAAATTTATCACCTGTTAATTCATTTTTAATGTTATTAATTACTGTTATTTTTTTCTCTTCTATCTTTTACATGAAAGGATTTTAGAAAACAAGTCAACTGTGAAGTGGATCAAAGATTTCATGTAAGTAAGAAGACAGTTATGAAAGAGATCTTAATTTTGTTTACCACGTAGTAAACAGAGTATGTATGATTTGTTTAGAAGAGTTAAGATTGTTGACATTCGGTCCATGTTATTTACTTAGTGTAGTACTGGGGATTGAACCTGTGGCCTTTGCACTAGGGTACCCACTCTTTTTAATTTTGAATCAAGGTCTCACTAAATTGCTAAATTGTGCAGGTTAGGCCTGAACTTATAGTTTCCTGCCTCAACTTCCCAGAGTGCTGGGATTACAGGCATCTACCACTATACCTGGCTTGGTTCTTGTTACAGAAAGTATTATTGAATTTCAAGTCTTTTGACAAATGCTCCAGCTAAATGTTTTTCCTTTTTTTTTTCACCCTGTAATGAATTTGGGTTTTGGCAGGTAAATTCAAGTTTCATTATCAAGAAATCTCAATTCTGAAGAGCAACAATTTATTATTTAAAATGCCATAATAGAGCCCAAGGTACTATTTTTGCCTTTTGTTAATTGTTAGAGCAGGAAATAAATAAAAGTCGAGCATTCTGTTATTTGTTTCCCCCATGTAACTGAATTAACTGCTAACATTTATGAGATTAAAATTTTTATTTAAACAAGAATTAAGTTAACAGCCTGACATCCTAACTATGGGATATCTTGTGATCATACCCCATATGATGACAGCAATAAGTCCAGAAATCAAGTTTGCAAATCAGGATGTCATTCTCAGAATGACTGATTAAAGTTAAAATATTCCATTAAAAGTCATTCTAATGTAGCAAAATAACATTCCAGAGGATGTTAGAATTGTTAATTTTTCTGATAAAAATTTTATTTTGTTTTTTGTTTAACAATTAAGATATAAATTGGTTTTTAAGCCCTGTTCATTTTGCAATAATGAAAATAACATTTGGTATTCTGGAAAAGACTTTCTAAACTCAGCGACCTGTGTGTCATTGCTTTTATTGCCCTTTTGTTTATTAGGTCTCTAGCACTTGACATTTTGTTTTCTCATACAATTCACCTTCCTGATCTAGTCCATAGAGAAACATGAGAGCCTACCCTGCCAGCTAAAGAGCTAAGATTTTTTGAAAAGCTTTAGGAAATGTTGTGGACTACACAACTCCCTTGTGTTATTGATGTCAGGAAATCAAGCAGAGTGCAAATATATATCAATCAATAACTTTAGATAGGAAACTGGAGTCAGTGGAGAAGTATGAGGAGCTTAAAGAGAACCCTGGGGCTTTAGGAAGAAAAATCAGAAGCTTAGAGAATAAAATTGATACTTGGGAATAGAATCTGAGAGCCCATGAATAAACACTGGCTAGGGTAGATGCTGATCAGACAGACGTGTCAGGAGGAGGCATAGGTATTTGGAGGAGTATTGGGCTAGGTTAGATTCTTAAATACTGGTATATCATTTGGGGGGAGGGGTGTCTGGCTTTTGAATAATAACATTTTATTCTGGAGTGTGACCTGAATTTGTAAAATTGCTTTCCTTTTAACTAAATGTGCAGACCAAGTCTTCACATTTACAGCATGCTCACTGATTTACTATAAGAATTCCATGATGAAATAAAATCTTTCACTAAAATTTTTAAAAACCCAGTTATTTCTCACTGATTTTAGATGTGAAGCACATTTTTAAAACCCTTATCCTTTAATCTATGTCGTGTCCTAGAGTATAGCTACTGGCTTTAAAACAGCTTTTTTCCTCCCCACTATCTTGATATTTCTGAATTTAGGTTGAATGAAGACATGTATAGACAAAAAAAAAATCTGCTAAGAAATTAGGCCAGTAGAGGGTCTTCCCTAGCAGTCAGTGTCTGGTTCCTGTTTTATATAGCATCAAGTAGAAATCAGCAAAGTTATTAAGTCTGCTTTGAGCATAGAGAACATTAGGTTTAGGGATGTATTTGTTTTAAAGAATTGAATAGCAGAGTTGGGATGCTTTTATTTTGGACTTATTTTAATTTTAGAAATTATTAGTGGAAACTATTACTAAGCCCCATCCAGGATCTACAAAAACCAAAAAGCCTTGGCAGAAATTGTACAAATTGGCTGGGAATTTAACTCAGCGGCATAAGCACCTGCCTTGCAAGCAGGTGGTCGTGAGTTCGATCCCAGGTACCGATAAAAAAAAAAAAAAAAAAGAAAAGAAAGAAATTGTACAAATCCAAGGTTTATGGGCATGGTGCTACTGTGAGTTATTCTGTTGGTGGTAGCTTGCCATTCATGAAGGATTCTTAGCCCCTGTCATGTCATCCAATGTGTTCTTGGCTCATAGTTAGTGTAGTGTGAAAAAGAGGAAGCTTTCCAGGAGTGTTAGAGATGAATCCTTTGATCTCTCTGGCTTCTCAGTAATCCACTGTGATGTATGCGGCCTCCCCTGTTCTACACTGTGAAATCCCTACATTATTGAATGAGAGAATGTGCACGCAAAGGGGGCAAGGAAAGAAGGAAGGTTACCAAGTTTTGCTCAAGAACAACATTGATTGGTGTGAAATCAAACAAACTATTTTGTTTCATAATTGTGGATCTCTCGGACTGCCTTTGAACCAGAACAAGACAAATAAGGGCTAGAGGAAAGGTTCCTAGAGTGTGTTTACTGGGAGATGTTTATTCAGATGCCATTGAAATCTGTAAACATTTCTAATACTTCATTATGCAAGCACGGTATTCTCAGAAAGCCAGCCACAGATTTTTCTGTTGTTGTCTCTTGATGGCACATGAAGACCTGTTCTGAGATAAGTGTTCACCAGCAATACAAAGATTGAGTTTGTTTCCTTAATCATCTACTTAAATCAAGTACCCCAGTAAGTCCTGGATGCTGCTCAAAATTGATATTTAAACAAATTTTGAGGAAAAATGTCTTTATGAATATATTCTTTGTATTAAAAGACCATCTTGAAAGCATAAAAAAAGAAGCTCCTTGAAATTTTGCAGCTTTCTAAGCTTCATTCTACAGTTTATGTCAGTTAAAATTCATCAGTTCACCCTCTGTTAGTTCACTCACATTTCAGATCTGGATTTTCAAAAAATGCAGCGCAAGTACTAATTGGGATATATTATACTTTTTTTTTTAAAGCTTTGTGAAATTTTTAGTAAAGATTTTTAGACACTAAAATGCATATTTTCAAGATTTGCCCCTCTTTTTTTATCCCACCAAAACAAATATCAGGTCCAAAATCTGATAAAATTCTAAATCAAATGGTTTGACTCTATTAATAAAATGTTTTCATTTCTTGCTTTTAAGATTATATAAAATTTTTAAAAATTGCTACCATTCTCTCAAGATGATTGTTGTTATGAGTGACTCCCCTCTAAAATTAAATGTTTTGGATTATTTGGGCCTTGAGGAAAAGACCTCACTAAAATGAAGCTATCATGGTTAGTTTACCCTTCTTCCCTCTCTTCCTCCCTCCCTTCCTTCCTCCTCCCTTTCTCTCTTTTCTCTCTCTCTCTCTCTCTCTCTCTCTCTCTCTCTCTCTCTTTCTTTCTTTCTCTGTCTCTCTTTCAAAGGTAGTTCTATTTGTCAATCAACTGTTACTTTTCAAGAGGTTGTCTTTGGGTTTTTGTTTTAATTACAGTGTATATAATTAGGTTTCAGCATGTTGAGGTAAAAGAGAATTGCACCAGCAAGCTCCCAATTTCTTCATCTCATTAGGTTTTTAACACGATTATTAGTATCATAATCAGCTATGATGTTTTCTGTTGCAGGTTTTCACATTCTCTGATTTGCAGGGTGTCTTGATTGGCTAATTTAGGAAAATTATTTTGATTGTCTTTGATGATGGTTGGCTGATTATAACACAGCAGGGGCATAATTTCTTCCTGAGAAATGTTTCATTCTTTTGTTTTTTGTTACCAGAACACTAAAAGGATTTTTCTTTGTGTACATTCAGTTACAACACTAATAGAATGCCTAGAAAGCAGTTATATTAGGGATGGAATAAGCATGAATGCTGTGGAAAATTGGCTGCATTGAAGATGAAGTGTAAGATGAAAGAATTTACTAAAACCAGAGTGTCAAATTTTTGGATTTCTTTTTTTCTGTTTCCTATGACTCTAGTTTTTTGAATGCCAGAAGAGATGACTTTATAGATTTATAGTCTAAAAAAGAATTGCTTAATGGCCTTATTTTCCCATTTTACAGAAGTTCTTATTTTCTTCAGTTTTGCATGTTCAGTATTTAAGTGAAGGATTTCACTGTGGAGATAAACACTTAGAAGTTAAAGAAAAAAGTTTGCTTGTATCATCTCATGACACCTTTTTCTAGCTAACCTTGATGAAAGTAATTTTTTTTAATTGGTGATCTTTGCTTAGTCTTTTTACTACAAATAGTTCATTCTCCATCAAGAGTTAGTCTCATTTGTTATGAAAGTATTTCCATTCAGACCATTTGCTTTTCATACCTTTTAATTGCTGCACATTTCTTTAACTGGTTAAGTGGAAAAGAAAGCATTTTTTGGTTAGGAAAATGGTACATTGTACATAGCTGAGTAAATTTAAACCAGTGAAATATTTTCATTAATTAGCTACTAAAAGTTTGGAAAAAATAGAAAAGTTTATACTTAGAAATTTTATATTATCACTTTTCTTGTCTTTTCTTTCAGAGTCCCATATAAGGATTTTATGAGTTTGACCTGTGTTACTTTTTTAAGTGATACTCTGACAACTAGACTTTTGCTGGGTGTGGTGGCTCACGCCTGTAATCCCAGCACTCGGGAGGCTGAGGCAGGAGGATCATTGTGAGTTCGAGACCAGCCTAGGCTACAAAGTGAGCTCAAGGCCAGCCTGAACTGCACAGTGAGACCTTGTCTCAAAAAGACAAAAAGAAAAGGTCAAAAAATAAAACCAAAACTTAGATTATAGAAACCTGTGGGTATAAATCTACTGACAGTTTACTCTCTTCCTGCTCAACTTTGAAGTTATATACACGTACTTCACTGCCACTAGGGCATAGGATGGGAGATACATGGAAGAATATTTGGAACACATCAATCCTGTGTAAAATCCATGTTCGAAGGCTCTTAAAGACTCCAGCTCTGGGCAAGAGATAGCCCTGGTCTTGGAAGAAAAATTCCTAAAAGTCTGTTAAAATTATTTTTACAGTTAAGTTCCTAGGAAAATGTAAAACTGTTTATTAACTATGCAAAGTGAGGGTGAGGTATAATGCCTGTGAAAAATATTCAAGAACTTTTTAGAAAATTCATAAACCAGAAATTTCAGCAAGAGTTTTGCTATTTTCTGCATTTTCCCCTTAAAATCTTAATTTCTGGACCCCTCCCCCACCTGAAGAGAAATCCTCTATTTTGAATAGAGATTTGGACTATAACAAGAATAAAAAGATAATATGTTGTACTCGAGAAGTGAAAGGGCATGGGCTCTGACATTAAAAAAACTTAAAGTTTATTTCTGGCTTTATGATGCTGGGCACATCACTTGAACCAAGATTTGTTCATCTGTAAAATGGGGGTTGTAATTCCTCCCTTGAGAGATTGTTGATAGCATTTAATGGGCCAACACATGAAAATGCCTGCCGCCTAAAAAATTTTGAGTCCACCCTGCTTTCATGGTTTCTAAGGCCCACTGAGGAGTATGGAGGTAGCTAGTCTTGGTTTCTTGTACCAATAAGTGTTTCATTATATTGCACTCATAATGAAGAAGACGCCTAATGAAACCTCCTATAGAGGCAAATAGTAATGACTCGATTCCAACACTGCCCGTAGAGCTTCCCATCCAACAAACAGGGGTATTTGGTGTTAATAAGTTAAATTTCAGAAACTAATGAACTCTGCTAATTGAATTCATCTTGGTTAATTAATAAGGTTCTAGTAAATTGGTTGCTTTCTTTTGTAATGTTCTGCAAAAAGCACTAAGACCTAATCATTACAAGTGTACCAGTTTTACCCCTTTCTTTCCCTTACATAAGAGTGGAAGTAATCAGAGTGGCATTTAATGTTTTCTTTGTCTCAAAATATCATCATTTTAGCCCTTGAAATTACTAACTTGAGAATAACTATGAGGGGAAGCAAAACAGGAGTGGAATATTTGGTAGCAGTGCTGGTGAATTTGTGCCTGCATGCTGCAGCCAGCTATTTATTATCATTGAAAGCTTGAATAGGTTCACCATCACTATTTTGTAGTATCTGGTTAGTTTACATTTAAAGAGTTTTTAAAGGAGAAACTTAGGAAATCAGTCCAGCAACTATTATTGCAGTGACTATTGCATAAGTATATATTGGTTTTATTTGCTAGTATGAGCCAAGAGGTGCCCTCAGAAAGTGCCCTCCACCCCTCACTTGAAAGATTAAAATAATTTTTTTTCTTTGTGTGAGGTTAGATACAAAATTATGTTAATAGTGTAGCAATTCTCAAGTATGGAAGTGGGGTCAAAGTGATGGTTCTTAAAGGATCCTTTCTATTCCCTAGACTACACTTGATCAGAAGCATATTTTCTAGGAAACTGTCTCTGAGGTGCTTGACTGCTTCTATACTTTGTTTGCCCCCAAAGAGTCATATCTATGAAAGACTGACCCATTTTCCTCTTTTATTTAACGCAGAGAGAATTCCCTAAATTTTTTACTTTCCGAGCAAGAGATAAGGTAAGTCCTGATTCTTCCCCTATCTCCTATCTTTAAAAAAATTTCTTAAAGCCAAGAGTGACTTATCTTTGCCATTCTTTTTTCTTTGATTGAACCTATGTTCACTTTACCTCACATGTCTTACAACTCAAGCACATTCCAGAAAGACTTTGGTTTAGGAAACAAATATGTTAAACCACCCAAACAAAGTAGTAACTTTAAAAAATTATCCCTATCATTTGGAGCAGTCCTAATGATGTGATATTAAAGGACTATTATACTCAGTAGTAGGATTATTCTTGTCACCTATAGAGAGTTCATTTATATTCAACTTTTTATGTACATTTGCTTTTCAGTTTTAAAGTACAAAAGTCCAGACCATTTTGTTTCTTTCCTATTACCAGCTTGTATTTTAGTGTTTATCTCTCTGTTCATCAGTAGGCAAGTTTAGTTTCAGTAAAACATCACAGTGAGCATACTAATACAACTCTTTAAAACAGTATATGCATAATTATAGATCTGTGGATATAATATGTTCCAGAGCCAAATATCTATGTTTTTTGTACTATATCACAGGTGGTCAGACCTGAGTCCTGCCCTTAAGTTTTTCAGACTAGTTGAGTAATCCTAAACACCAGCATGTGAAATGGATATTAATCGGAAGCAGTCTGTAGCTATTTTATACCATTAGATATTTTAGGAATTCTGGGGGGATTGAAGTTTTTTTTGATTTTTTGTACCTTTATTTTTAGTGGAGAGCATCACCACTTATAAGAACATAAATGTTGAAAGCTTGAGAAGTGAATATGCATCTTGGCACCAAATCTTACATAAACTAGAGCAGTAATCTTGTATGTAGCTCATTTTTGTTGTTTATTGGCTCATTGTAGCTTCTATTTCTACTTTCAAGTATATCTTTCACCTACACAATCATAATAAAATTTTATAACTGCCTTTTATTCACCTCCTTTCTGATTCTTGTGCCCAGTTTGAGGAGGATCGTATCTATCGTCACCTGGAGCCTGCTCTGGCTTTTCAGTTAGAGCTGAACCGGATGAGAAATTTTGACCTTACTGCCATTCCTTGTGCTAATCACAAGATGCACCTGTATCTTGGGGCAGCCAAGGTAGAAGTGGGCACGGAAGTGACAGACTACAGGTTCTTTGTTCGTGCAATTATCAGACATTCTGATCTGGTCACTAAGGTAGGTGCTGTACTGTAATGGAAAGTTATCTCTGTGGGAAGAAGGGATGGAGAAAATGACAGTTCAAAATCAGGCTTTCATTGTTTGAATCAAGGTTCTCATTCTCTTCTTACTCTGCAGTAACCAGCAGATATGTATGAGTAATTTCTTGGACAAAAATAAACATTCCAAATAATAAAGGCTTATATTTCTTTAATCAGATTTTTCTTGGTAGTGGAAATATGAAAACACTCATTTGAGAAAAAGAAAAGTATGCTAAAAGAAAAATCACAGAGAGAGTTGAGTAATGACAGAAAATAAGGACGAAAGTTAGGAAAGAAGTGAACCCTTTCTGGAGATGTGGGTAATATCTATATATAGCAAGGGCTTCCTGATATATTTGTTATTACTGCATCCCATAGTCATAGGCTCTCTTCAACTTCTCATTCCTAAATAGATACCTAAATAGCTCTGTCTGACGTATGTCAAACAATCCTATAGGGATTATATAGGATTATAACTCTGAGGATGCCTAACATCTCTACCTGTTAGCAGGAAATGATACACTAGGGGGGCAGGAGAAGGGACTGGTGAGACTTTTGCCTCCTTTTGCTGACTTTGATTACTAGCATATTCTGGAAAGGTGAACAATATCTTAGCCTGATTTCTTATGATTTATAACATAACTGTTGCTTAAGTAATTATAATTTCTTTAAAATACATTAATGTTAGTGATTTTTTTTTCCTGTGTAGGAAGCTTCTTTTGAATACCTGCAAAATGAAGGGGAACGGCTACTGCTGGAAGCCATGGATGAGTTAGAAGTTGCTTTTAATAATACGAATGTCCGTACTGACTGTAATCACATCTTCCTCAACTTTGTGCCCACAGTCATCATGGACCCCTCAAAGGTGCACTTGTCATAGCTTCTCTCCTGGCACTAGCAGGCACAAACAAAGAGATTTATACCTATCTTACTTGGGTATAGAAACAGTATTCTTGTTATTAGATTGCATCATTAATTTTTAATGTTTTCATACTGCTTATTAGACTGAATTTCTGGGACAGTGTAAAAATTCACTATATCCATTAAGAACAGTCCTCAAAACTAAAGTTCTGTGGAGTTTGCTTGCTTAATGTTTATAAGCACTGTAAACTCTTCTTCCTCCACTGGTACCAGTTGCCTGATATTTTTCATGATAGTGATCTTATTCCCCAGAATATTCCATCTGGAATAATTAATTTTGCCTCCAGTAGGCATTTTAGATGTTACTTACCTAGAGGCCTTAGTAGGATAAAACACCTTCCCAAAATGTCTAACTTAATTCTCTTTAGTACTTTCCCAGAGTGAGAGAATTTGAATGATAGAAATTTTCACATGTATTACACGTATTTTTTTTTCCTTGAGGCTGTGTTCTAAAATATATTCATATAACTTAAGGAAGGAAAACAAGGTAACTCTATACTTACACTTTTATCCTAGATGTAATACAAACAGACTATTCTCTGGTTCTGCTTCCCCTGACTCTTTATCTCATGTTGCTATGGAATTTGGATAAAATAATCAGTGCCTACCTTTCTCATGATCAGTTGGAGACAGGGACTTTTGTTTTTTTTAACTTGGGATCTAAGACCTAAGAAAGTTTTCTACTTTGTTTCTTCAAAACTACAAGCCAATCATGAATTACTTTGTCTGTTAGGAAAGTGAAGGACAGACTCAAGTCTCATCATGTTAAAAATTTCTCATTAAGATGCTGGGACTAAAGCAGCTGGAAGGCTTGAAATATAGCCAAGACACTGGATAATATTATATATATTTTAGATTTGGCTTGCTGTTTTTTTGGTGCTGGGGATTGAACTCATGACATAGCACTTGCCAGGCAGGCACTTACGCTGCTGAGTGAAATCCCTGGCATTGACCTGCCTTTTTTTCAGAGAACTTTTAACATCAGACCATTAGCCTACACTCTAAATACCCATATGCCCTGGCTCTGCTTTTCTAGTCATAAATAGCTAGTTGTCAGTTTTCTGATATAGAGATTGTTGGCTATATCCCATCAAGAAATAAATGGATCGGGGATAGGGGCTGGGGATTTAGATTTAGCTCAGCGACATAAGCGCCTGCCTTACAAGCAGGCAGTCGTGAGTTCGATCCCCAGTACCGATAAAAAAGAAAAAGACAAAAAAAAAAAAGAAAAGAAAAGAAAAGAAAAAAAATAAATGGATCTGGGCTTGTTGGCACATGCCTGTATTCGCAGCATTCAGAAGACTGAGGCAAGAGGGTCACCATGAGTTCGTGGCCAGCCTGGCCTACAAAAGTGAATTCAAGGCCATCCTGCATTCTTAGTGAGACCCTGTCTCAAAAATAAAAGCAAACACGAAAAGAAAAGAATGGGGTAATTATCTCTTGATTAAAAGCAAATATGAGAATAGAAAAGTTAACTCCTTGAAATCCATTCTAAGGTAAAATTCTTTTTTTTTTGGTACCGGGATTGAACTCACAACTGCATACTTGCAAAGCAGGCACTTATGCCGCTGAGCTAAATCCCCAGCCCAAAGGTAAAATTCTGTAGTGTGGAAATAACCTACAGAGTGGCACATACTCCTGAAGAAACACAAAAAGAGGGGGATATTAGATAATTTAGAGGGATTTGCTGTTTTGTTTTGTTTTTAGTTCTGGAAATTGAACCCAGGGAACACTGAGCTATATATCTCCAACTTTTGTGTATTTATTTTTTAATTTTGAGATAAATTCTCACTGTAGTGTCCATGTTGATCTTGAACTTGCAATCTTCCTACTTCAGCCTCCTGAGCACCTGAGATTACAGGTGTGTGCCACCATGCCTGGCTAATTCTGAGGTTTTTCTAGGAAGCTGAAAAGGCATTTTATAAATATACTTAAGAAAATATTAATTTTGGGGGCTAGGGATTTAGCTCAGTGGCATAAGTGCCTGCCTTGCAAGCAGGCAGTCGTGAGTTCGATCCCTGGTACTGATAAAAATGAAAAAGACAAAAAAAAAATCTAAAAGAAAATATTAATTTTGAATGGTATGTCCTAGCTGCTTTTAGACATATTGGAGACAAAGTTTTGGTGTAATGTGTCAGTAATAAAATACATTATATCCAAGGCCTTTCAATGAAAAGTAACTGTTCTAAATCTGAACTGAGTATTAAACTATCTTGCTTTAGATCTTATGGAACCTAGGTAGCATCTGCCCCATTTCCTCAAACCCCAGCTGGATTTAGCAAAGACCAAACTTTGGAGCTCTAATGTTTAGATAGAATGTTCCAGCACCACCTACAAATTGCCTTTCTTTAATTTGTACAATTTACCAAGAGACATATATTACAAAGTTTAATAAAATTGTATGGAAAAAAACCTCATGGTGGTAATTGCTATGTTGATGTAAGGTCCTTTAAGTGCAGTGAAACATAGTTACCATGCATATAAATGCTGTTTAATAGTTATATAACTAGGGATTTTATTCTTATTTGGGGCTTTTTCTTAAATCTCATGGCTTTTAATTTTAAATGTTACATATCTTTGATGTAAAGTATGAATATAATTGGGAAAGGAAAAGGGTTGTATAGATTTGAGTGCTGTGAGTCAGAGAAGACCATTTAAATGCTAGGCCAGTATGAAATTGTCCCTCACTTGTTCTAAGCAACAATGAAGGAAAAGCCACTTATAAAATGAATATGTGGTGTACATCTCTACAAACCAGCATCTTTTTTCCATTCTTCCTTTCCTAAAGGTAAGCAGTGATGAAACAGGTCTTAGTTATAAAGCATTTTAAGTTTTGTGCTTGGTGATGTGTCTGTTAGATTGAGGAATCTGTGCGGAGCATGGTAATGCGCTATGGAAGTCGGTTGTGGAAATTGCGCGTCCTCCAGGCAGAACTGAAAATCAACATTCGCCTGACACCAACTGGAAAAGCAATTCCCATCCGCCTTTTCCTGACAAACGAGTCTGGCTATTACTTGGACATCAGCCTGTACAAGGAAGTAACTGACTCCAGGACAGCACAGGTACAGTAGTCAAGCAAGCTCTTCTGAAATTCAGTTGGTCCTATAGATACTTGTCTTTAATATAAAAAACCCAGGCCACAGATGACATTGGTTTACTAGTGGGATTTTCTTTGAGCTTAAATGGTTGTGTGAGTTTGCAAAACTTCATTTACTTTATTAGATGTATTATGTTCTAAATTATGAACATTACAAAACTCTCAACCTTTTATTGCACATTGGTGAATGCTATCAGAAGTCATACAAATATAATTCTGCAATTTAGGCCTCTTTATAGAGCTTTTAGGCTACATCAGCATTCTAGTCTTTTCTGGTCTTATTTGTCTTTGTTTCTGTGTAGTTAGACCATTCATCAGTGAGGGAAAAAGAATTGTTAGAGTATGTTAACCAACATTTACTTTTAAAAAGGAAAATTTACCGTAGTGTAATAATACAAATAGCATCAAGCAGTGACTACCATATGTATCCATTATGTTATTCACTTATACATATTCTTTCTTTCAAAGAATTTGGAGTGTTACATGTCTATAAAGGAGCAAAGTGGCAAACCTCAACCTATCTTTAATCCATTTGTCACTTTAGTTTCTCAGCATTTGGGCCATTTGCTGTTAATAACATAGGTTACTTCATTATTGTTCATCTTTTTAAGAATTAATGTAGTATTTTTATGGCTTTGGCCTGAACTTGGGGCATGCATTCTTTCTCATAAATGGATGAACTTGCTCCAGAATATCTAAACCAGGGTTCTAGTTTGTTCTATGTATTTGGGTGCCAGGAAGAGATTGCATCTCTTGTTTTTATCTGTATCCTTTTGAACCTGTGAATAGAGATAGGAAAAGACATTTTTGTTAGTCTTTGAGGATGAATTTTTAAAAATCTTACTTTGAACAGTTGTTACAGTGACCTTTCATTTTGTTCTTTGATTCCCAGTTAGATGCCCACAGAAATCTAGCCTGTGAAAAGTGAGCACTTAAAACAGAGAATGTGACAAGAGCATATGGGGTGAACAAGAGAAAGAGTATTCAGTAATTTTTACTGCATTTGATATTTTTCAGGACAACCTTAAGGACATTTTCAGTCAAAGCTTTCCACAGGCAGGGATGTTTTTAATTAACTTATACAATAGCTTCAAGGCAAGCCTATTCTTGTGAAAAATATGATGGCCACTTGAGACTTTAATGTTTTTGATAAATATGTTTGTTCTTCGTAACTACTTTTTTTGTTTTATTAGAAATTTCATAGATTTCCCTCATCTTGGTTAATGGTGACATAGCATAAAAAACATAGATGCCTCCAAACAGGGTCTAGTACTATGCCTGGCACAAAATAAGCACTCGATAGGTACCTGATAAAATGAATTAGCCACCCTTAACGTAAGAGAGGAGCCCCTTTTACCAGTGGTCTTGCCTACTGAAAGAAGTCTTTCTCAGGCTCTTTCTTCAGCTGAGAGTTCAATAACCACTATAGCATGGGGAACTAGTTTTGAGCCTATGGTTGGTATGTAAACTAACAGAAGGAGCAGCCTTGAACCCAGTTCCCCTATTTCCAATACTTGTGGCTTGTTGCCACACTTTTCCTTCTTTCTTTAGTGAATCACTGCAAGACCATGTCCATTATTCATTTTTTTGTTCACGAGTTACATATTCATTAAGCAGTTACATAACTGCTTATAGTATATTAGGCAGAATAGACATAAATATAAAAAATAATCTCCATTCAGAAACACATACAACAGTGGCAGATGCTACATATATAGTTTTTCTATAGATGATATATGCCATCACAAAATAAGTACTGTGCCCTAAGGGAGTAGGCTGTATGGACCAGATACTCTTCTCTAAGAGAAGCTCTTTTGATAGCCTCTGGTAAAAAGTGTTTGATATGTAAAATGTGTGCATATTTTCATGAACTTGTAAAACATACACTTTACCAGTGTTTACTGCATTTGTTATAGTAGAAAATCAAACCAACATAGATAGCTGCTCATTCACTGACGTCTATTACTATCCATTACTATCAGCTTCTTTCCTTCACACAATCATTTATTCATTCTGCCAATAAGGAGCGAGGTTCACTGGCTTGAGTTTCATTTTGTTTCATTTTCCTTGTTATAGTCTTTGTGGTATAGGCTGTAATGAACAGTGATGTCAAGTAGTTATAGTGTGGAAAAGACATTTGGGTTATCCATTGCATAAGTGAATTGATTTCCAATGTGTAGTGGGAGTGTAAGGGAAAAAATAACATGTAAAAATCACCTTTATTGGGGTATAATTTACATAGAATACAGTGGACTCATTTTTTAAGTACAGCTCAATTCATTCTGACAGTTATATACACCCTGATAGCTACCATCACAATCATGATAGAGAACATATCCTGATTCCCACAAAGTCCTCTCACTGTCTTTGCACTTAGCGGTAGAGTACCAACCCCAGTGTTAGGCAGCAGCTGATCTGCTTTCTGTCACTGTAGGTTAGTTCTGCTTGTCCTAGGATTTCATAAAATTAAAATTGGAAAATATGTACTATTTGGGGCTTTGCTTCTTTTACTCTGTGTTGTTTTATTTTGCTTTGATTGAGATCCATCTATGTCATGTGGATTATGAGTATGTTCCTTTCATTGCTAAATAGTATTCCATTTGTGGATTTACCAAAAATTTTCTATCCATTCATGTGTTGATAAATATTTGGGGCTTAATTTCTTAGTTTCGGCTAGTGGAAATAAAGCTGCTGCAAATACTTATCTATAAATCTTTATATAGATGTATTTTCATTTCTCTTAAACTAATACACAAGAATATTGCTAGTTCATAATAAGTATATGTTTATCATTGTAAGAAACTTATAAACTACTTGCCAAAGTAATTATACTAGCAGCATTATGTGTACCCAAACTGGCTTTTTCTGTACCCCTTCTTCAATACATAGGTACATTGCTTAAGTGTGACTTGCCTTGGGGCTAGGGATTTAGCTCAGCGGCATAAACACACCTCCTTGGCAAGCGCAAGGTTGTAAGTTCGATTCCCAGTACCAAAAAAAAAAAAAAAAAAAAAAAAAAAAATTGTGACTTGCCTAAGTTCATTCCAAAGCTTGACAAAACTGAGTCTCAAACTGTACTCAGGTCTTGTCACTTAATAAATAAGAAAAGTAGTTCCAAGAACATACTTATTCCTTTTTCTCATTTGTTTTCTTACACTGTACTTTTGCCTTATTTAACACTTCGAATTCTTTTTTTTTTTTTTTTTTTTTTTTTGTCTTTTTCACTTTTATCGGTACCGGGGATCGAACTCACGACCGCCTGCTAGCAAGGCAGGTGCTTATGCCGCTGAGCTAAATCCCCAGCCCCTCCACTTTGAATTCTTAAACATTACTATTTCTACTCTTACATTCCTAATGCATTATTAACTCTGTCTCCCACATGGTGGCTTTTCCCACTTGTGGAAAAGTATTGGGACCTGTAGTTGATTGGTCTTTAAGCAGGCTGACGTAAGTTTTGCCCAGATTGACAGATCAGCAAGAACTCTAGTTCCTTTGAGCCAAAGGACTAAGAATTCATTTAGCCTGACGCTATCCCCAGAGTTTAGGGAAGTACTGAATTGCAGTCCTCTGTCTACACATCAGATCCACAAATCTAGTCATTAATGGTAGACTTATATTTTAGGCCCAAATAGATATATGGGCATATACATATCCTTTTATCTCAGTCTCCATTTGTTTTCACTGTGTTGGAAATCTATATTTTATATATTCATACGTTGAGTGCCTAGTTTAGTGTTATACAGCCTCTGAGCACTCAGTAAATATTAATTGAATCAAAATAATGGCATCCTTCATTAATATTTATAAGCAAATAAAACTAGCTAAATATATGGAATGTTGAACACTCTTGAAATATTTGAGTTAAAATTATTAAAAACTGGGGCTGGAGATTTAGCTCAGTGGCATAAGTGCCTGCCCTGACAAGCTCAAGGTCATGAGTTCAATACCCGATACCAAAAAAAAAAAAAAAAAAAAAATTAAAAACTGGTTTGGTGATTTCATTAGGTGCAAGATAGGAATTACAGAAGTTATTTACTAGTTATAGATAGTATATAGAAGAAATATATGTATAGTTTAATGTATAATTTAATATTATTTTACTATAAGTTACATTTTAGCTGCTAATACGAATTATTTAGGTAGATGAATGAAATTCACTTCTGGCAGAAATATTTGACGCTAATACTTAGTACCTTCTAAGCAAGCAGACTGAAGTCTGATGAATTCCTGGAGCCTTGATTTGGCCAAAGAACAAGAATTATCTTTGGTGTGCATAGCTGTTCCTTAGTTTAAGTACGAGGACTTCTCACTTTACTAAGTTGATATATGTCATTTGAAAGCATATGGGCTTCAAGTCACTTTAGAAGGCAAATACCATCAGTCTGTCTCTGAGATGTGAAATTTACATTGTGCTTTTGTGCTGATTTCAACTGATCAAAAAATGAGAGCAGCCTATGGGTAGAGTCGGTTACATACCATCTTTTTGGAGTTGGTTAACCTGTGAAGAGGTGAGAGGACTGAGAACTAAATGTTCAGAGGCATGTCTCAGCTACTCAACCCACCAAAAATGCTTTTCAAGAAAAAACATTTGAGAAAACAAAACCCTTTGGTAACTGTTTTTTCCCCCTGTTTTTAATCTCCATTCTATCATTTTGTTTTGTTTTGTTTTTTCCTTGCAGATCATGTTTCAGGCATATGGAGATAAACAGGGTCCACTACATGGAATGTTAATCAATACTCCGTACGTGACCAAAGATCTCCTTCAGTCGAAGAGATTCCAGGCACAGTCCTTAGGAACAACATATATATATGATATTCCGGAGATGTTTCGGCAGGTAAAGCTTGCTGATAGTGGTGGGGGTGTGTTTCAGGAAGTGAAAATTTTCCTGAATTTCCATCACATGCAACTTTTACTAGAAAAGGGCTCTCCCAAAGGGCAGGAAATATCTTAGCACTACTCTCATTTCTTTCTTTTTTTGGGTGGGGGGGGCAGGGGTACTTAATGATTGCTAACTCAGGTATCAGATAGTGATTGGTGACATGTTACCTTGAGAAAACGGTAATGAAGATCACATGCCTGTGTGGTAGTTTATAATGATCATTTGTATTTTCTAAGTCTCTATTTAAGTTAAGGATATTAAAAAAAGAAGTATGAAATGCTAACTAATTTTCTTATTTTCCAAGATAACCAGATCTCTAGCTGATAGTCTAGGCTAATCCAATGAGCATCAATATAGATAGCATAGACAGATGACTATAGAGTTCATGATACACAGTTTAAAGTGTAAGGGCAAGGGATATAGGTCAGTCAGCCTAGTGTCTGTCTGGCAAATGTAAGGTCATAACTTCAATTCCTGGTACCCAAAATATAAACAAATAAAGTATTTCTTTTGTGGGTTATTTATTTATTTTTATCAGTACCAGGGATTGAACTCACGATCACGTGCTTGCAAGGCAGGCACTTATGCCGCTGAGCTAAATCCCCAGCCCTGTGGAAGATTTATTATAGCTGAATAAAACCTAGCATAAAAAAAGAGGATATTATGAATCTCATCCTCCATATGAAAATAAATTCCTTTGATCTGTGGTGAATCATCTCTATGCTGCACGTTTTTCTTGCATCAGTAGAAAGCAGGAAAAGTATATCACTAGTAGAAAATTCAACATATAAAGAATAAAATACCAAAAGAATACTGAATTTGTCTTTTTAAAAAAAAAAACTATGAATATAAGATTTTCCCTAGTTTCCTAGTCAGTACCACCAGTATTTGAACTGCAATAAAGTAACGTATGTAGCTGTAAATTATCTATAATTCCTGTATTATTCACAAATCCAAAAGATTACGTTATCTTTATGTAACCATTTGTTTTCAGGTTCTATCTCTTAAAGCACAGCTACTTTCTTTCAGTATTTCCCCGTTATAGCATTGTTAACCTGTAAGCTGGGTGTTGGTTCAACATCAGCACCATAACTAGAAATCCTATTTTATGGTATTTTTCTGATACAATACACAAAACAATGATTAGAGCATGTATGTATGCAGAAGTCATTTGGCCATTAAATATTGCTTTGAGGCAAGCAAAGAAAGAATTGAACTATTCCCTACTTCCTAAAGGATTTGTCTTATTTATAGAGAAGGTTAGAAGTAAAAATGTTAAAGGTTTTTAAATAGATCGTTTTTTTTTTTTTCAATTTTGAGCAGAATTGATTACACACTTATAAATAATCATGCATATCTTAGTGTATGGGCCGGTAGCCATGAAAAATATTAGAAAGAGGAGTCTTCCCTCATCTTCTAGTAGAGACCATATTCAGGCCTTTATGATTTTCTTTGTGTTAGCTGAGTGTTGTGTCTTACTTTTGTGGATTTTCTTCCATTGCCAGATTTTTGTAGAAAAACAAAGAAAATCCCTTCTTTTTGAGAAGATGATGCTACTTAGTTCTTCATTTTAACATTTCTAGAATAATATTAGAGCTTTTGTGTTTGTTAGTGCTGTAGTACTGATTCAGGTTCTCTCACCAGTTTGAGTGTATTGGAAAAAATACCTGACTTTCGATATGTAAAGAATAATTACAAATCTATATTAACTGAGAATGGAAATTGAAAGATTTAATGTAATGCTTAAACTCTCTGTAGAACACTTTGTAAAGAAAACAAAACTAGATTAACCAAATCTTAGTAATTATTTTTGTCTGTATTAAAATGTTATTTGTGACTGATTAATCAAACTTCTCTTCTCCACTAGTCCCTGATCAAACTCTGGGAGTCTATGTCCACTCAAGCATTCCTTCCATCACCCCCTCTGCCCTCTGACATGTTGACATATACTGAACTGGTGTTGGATGATCAAGGTCAGCTGGTCCACATGAACAGGCTTCCAGGAGGAAATGAGGCAAGTAGTTGAAACCTCCTCTCCATTCCCTATTTCTGTGCCTGCTGGTACCACCTTTCTATAAGGGTGGTCATTAAGTAGTATTAAGTAAGATCAAAGTGACATAGGTAGCATAATTGTCTTACTAGATTTTTTTAGTGCGAAAATACTGAATAGATAACAATTATCATAAAAATTTTAGGCATGGTAATGGTATTATGATTTGCTTTTTTAAAAGAATGTTGTTTTCTAATAACTACATACAAAATATTTATAGTTGAAATTACTTGATGTCTAGTTTTTGTTTCAAATAAAGAAGTATGCAGATGAGAGAATAGATAAAACATGAAATAATTATCATGAATTGATAGTTAAAGCTAGGAACATGAGAATACTGTCTATTTTTCATATGCTGGGAATTTTGAGACCTTTCTATAAAGTATTGTTTTTTTGTTTTTTGTGGGGGTTTTTTAGTTCCAGGGATTGAACTCACAACCTTGCATTTGCCAAGCAGGCACTTCCACTGCTGAGCTAAACCCCCTTAAAGTATTGTTTTGTCTAGTGTTTTTTCCACATTTACTTATTTGCATTTAATTATGCTTTTTTTTTTTTTTTTTTTTAGTATTTTTTTTCCATGCTCAGTTCATTTGATCTGATACTCTTTTTTTTTTTTTGTCTTTTTCCTTTTTATTGGTAGCGGGGATCGAACTCACGACTGCCTGCTTGCAAGGCAGGCACTTATGCCATTGAGCTAAACCTCCAGCCCCAGATCTGATACTCTTAAAAGAAGGATGAATGTATTCTTCTAGGAGCTCTTGTCAGAAGCAGAGGGTTGAACGCAAAAGAAACAGAGAACCCATCTCTTGATAGTTGTCTAAGAATACATTTTTCTAACCTTGGCATCCTTTTTCTTATAATGACATATTAATAATGATCATATTTTCTTCTATACTCTTGTACCTCTGCATGACTTGAGATTGTTCAGATTTTAACTATGCTTCTAATTTTCCAGTACTAACAATGATAAAACTGTAATAAACCGTAAATGTAATCTCCAGATAAATCTCTTTCCTTAGAAAGGATAATCTTGACCTGGGTGTTCATAATAAGCAAGCTGGGTAAATCACTAAATATGCAGATATTTTTCATTTTATTTCATATATTTTAAAAAATATTGTCCTCTAAGTACAAGGTGTTTCAGTAGTATAGTAGAGACTGCCAAGAGTAGGTAATTTAGTATTAAAATGGAAACATGCACTGGTCCAAATGGAGAATATCAGGCTTGTGGTAGTTCTAATCTAGTGCCTTTACAAGTAGCAAAGGCAACAAGATACATAGGGAGGAATCATAGGAAAGGGAGTACACATAGAATTTAGACAAGAATAGATGCATACTGGTCAACACAAAGTTGAAGAAGGTATTTGTGCTGTGTGTAGCATTGGCTTAGTGAGCACCTCAGCAAGAAAAAAAAAGCTCCATTGTGCTAGATTTAAATCCTGATTCATTGCATCGCTGTTCAGGAATAGAAGGCACCCTTGTGAACATGGGGTTGAGAGTAAAATGATTTTAAGTAATGTAATTAAAACACAAAATGAGATTTTTGTCTATGTGAAAGCAAGTTGCAGTGCTGTGTGAAACCTCTTGCCATGATCTTTCTCTCTTGCTTTCACTCTGCTTTCTTTCTGTTTGAGCGAGTGGAGACTGGGGGAGTAGTGAAGTCCCAGAGGGACAGAGCTCTGTTCTTGCTGAAATTACAAGCACAGAGCTGCCTGGGCATGAACATGTAGTGTTTACTCTGCCAGTATGAATACAAATAGTCTTATTATACGGGACTCTGTACCCAAAGACCACACACACACACACACACACACACACACACACGAATAAAAAAATTAAAAGGTTTGTTTTAACCCTTTTAAGACCTAACAAACCTTGATGGAAAAAGAGTACCTTAGATAGGACTATATCTATGAGTATTAGTCTAGTATTAAGGGGGAATCACACGTTTCCCCTTTCCCCAGTACTTTAGTAGTTTTGAAACTAGAGAGCTAATAGCATCTGTTAAAATGTTTTTTGTGTTTTGCCAGTTCTCATTTTCTTTTCGTTCTATACTTTTCCCTCCTTAGTTGACTATTTTCTTTGTTCTTTTTTCATTTTCTTCAAATGATTGATTAGGATTGAGGCTGAGTATTAGCTTGCTGTTTCTGAGCCTTTGAGCTTGGGAGGACTGAGACTGATGTTCTTTTGTGAGCAGTTAGTCACTAACGCCCTGGATAGCTGGTGAAGACAGTGACCTTAGCTGGATTATAGGGCACTGCAGGACAGGAACGTGGTTAGGGTCTTAGTATCAAACTCTATACCAATAGCTTGAACTTACAATGGAGGATGTCCAATGAAAGACTGACCAGTCTAAGGATGGAATTTTAGCAGTCTGAATTCTGAGGGATAGCTGTGCCTAAGAGATGATAAGGTATCAGTAGCCTGTATTGCCTTGTGCTGAGCCCAGTTTTATCAGGGCACACTAACTCTCAGCTGTTGCAGTTTAATTTTCTTTGGCCAAAGAGACAAGTTTTTCATAAGCCTGGCACTCTACATATTACCCCAAGAATGATGTGAAGGGAATGAAAAGAGTTCATGCTGATGAGACTTGGAGTAAATCTGTCCTGTCCCAAAGACAATGGGCATCTGAACAGAGCCTTGAGATACAGTTTTATTTAAAAAAAAAAAAAAAAAAGGAATAAAAAATTGACCTGTTAATGTTCTGAGAGCCAAGGCTCAATGTAAATGTATTGATGCTCCATAGACATTAAATCATCACCTTTGGTGTTCTCCAAAGGTGACAGCTCTACCAGGTTATCATTGTGGGTGATATTGCATTACCTTGAAGAATTGAAGTTTCAGGGTTAAAAAGCTAGCACATAGATATAAGGAATAAGAGTAAAACAAGAGATTCCTGGAGTTTTTCCATGAATTGAGATGTTTTTTTCCACAATCAAAGACAAAAAATCTACACTTATCAGTCTATTGGCTATATCAGTGACTGATCCCCTCCTCCCCCAAGGACAGTAAATAGGTAAGATGGTGATAGGACCAGGACTTGGACCAATTCAGTTCCATTTAGTTTTAGGTAACTTGTTTGCCATTTGAGGAAGAATATTGGCTATTTCAGCAGAGATGTGACCTGCATTTTGAACATTTGTGTCTATGTTACAAGCGGGAAAGAGCATTTCTGGTTTCCTGTTAGCTTCTTTCTCCTTTCTGTTTTCCTTGTTGGCCCTTCCCCAGAAAGATAGATTTAACAAAAAGAATGCTACCCAATACATGATGAAAAGTATAGAACACATTTTTCTCATCAGATTTGAAAGGCATTGCATTTAGTGTGAATTTAGAGTAGGAATAAAAAAAAATGGAGACCAAATCTGTGACCTATATTACTTGCAAATAGCTCTAAAGATGAGTTGCCCAGTATTTTTTAATAGTTGCAAGTAAAAATGAAAATTGAGGAAAATGTGATTGCAATGTAGACTAAACTGATTTCGTTTCTAGCTGCTAGTGATGCTATAATGATGAGCACAGTATATAAATACACAGCTAGATGAATGGATTCAGAAGAAATGGAACTAAACAACAATGCTACATTACTATTTCTTTATTTTAGAGGAATTGTTTTCATTTTCCTGCCAGTTTGCTAACCTGTTTTGATCATTTGGTAGAAACTGCAATTGCAGGTGGGAACATCTTGAGTAACAGTTCACAATCCGGTGCAGCTGCTTTTCACACTAAATCCTGTTATTAAAAAGCTCAGACTAAGATCAAGCCAAGGGCTATAACTGACTTGACAGACAACAAGTTAACTTTGCTTGGGCAGACAAATAAAATTCTAGTCTTCTTGAGACTATTTTTGTCTGAAATAAATTATTAACATTTAAATTTTTTATTTACCTCTAATAGTTGCAGAACTAAATCAGGGACCTCCAAATTGGGCAATGATGAACGATATCATAGAGTAGCAACTTTTGTAATAACTTTAGTGCTACTAGAAATTAGATATCTGTTCTTCTTACATTTCAGAATGTGGATCTTTTAACATTCTGTCCTATCACTCCTGTCATAATGAAAAGTGAAAACAAATAGTGAAAAGTGAGACAAGAAGATGTTGTGTTTAAAAAGTTATAATAGGTACAGTATACATATCCAAAGAATGAATTGGTAATTAGAAATTGAAATTCTCTCATAGGAGAAAAATGTGTCCCAAATTGAATGCAAATCAACAATCACTTCCACACATGGTATTTCACTTAAAAAGTTATGGTATGGGGCTGAGGATTTAATTCAGCGGCAAAAGCACCTGCATGGCAAGTGTGAGGTCATGAGTTTGATCCCCAGTACCAAAAAAAAAAAAAAAGGGAAAAAAGAAAAAGTTATGGTAGCTCCAACAGTTCAATTTTTCAGATAGGCACTAGGTGTCAGGGTTTTTCCTCCTTAGTAGTTCAGCATTCAAACAAGCCTCTTGAATTCCCGTTTGGTGAGACAAATCCACTTGTGTTCTTCTCTTTTATTCAGTTACCACAGTGGGTTTTCTCTACCGCTCCTCCAATGTGCAATTGCTAGTTTAAACTCTCTACTTTGAAATGTGTTCAACCCATATTATGGATGGTTATTGGAGTTTTTGAAGTAAAGGATGATCAAAGAGAAAATAAACTAGTGTAAATTAAAGTTTAAAAACTAACTGCCATCATGACTGATATCTTGGTTTCAGTTTTACTTTATGTTCTGAGAGGTAAAATGATAGGGGTAAGTAGGCATTAGAATTTTAAGGTCTGTGTGCTGGGGGTTTAGCTCAGTGGTATAAGCACCTGCTTGCAAGCAGGCGATCATGAGTTCGATCCCTGGTACCGATAAAAAGGAAAAAGACTGGGCCTGACCAGTACTCATATTTAGTTATTGTTTAAGTGTTCAGGGTGCTGTTGCTCAGTACCTTCAATTCATAATGTCTTTCTAATTATTTTATTTCTAAAAAA